TGTTCCATCCTCTATTATCGACACAATGCGCAAGTGCTCGATAGCTCGAAATAGCCGTCGCCTCCCAGCCAGCCCATTCCACCACAAGAGCCGCGAAACACCACGCGTGCCAGAGTGGCCTTCGTTATCGATTGGCGGGCGGTGCGTACAGTACGCCGATTGCGGCCGATCATCTCGGCAGAGCCTGTCTCAGGGGCTATATTGCCGAGTTTGATTACCTTTGGGGGCCGTCGTGGGGGCTTATCGTCAATGTCTTTGACGCGTCAGCCCCCATTGTCAGGGAATGTCGGGTCTGTGGGATGACTCGGACGAGACATGCGACCTTGGCCTCGGTGCAGACTGCAGAGTGCAGACATGTCAAAGCTGCAGCGCTGCACTCAACTCGCAACAGTCTGCGCATGCCTGGTCTCACCTCTATGCTGACTCCAGTCTGACAGACTCAAGACATCAACAAAGTCTATTTGGCCACGCGAACAGCGAGGGAGCCATCACTGCCACAGACCGTCACATGTCCCTGGCCTGGCTGGCCTGGCCTGGCCTGGGCGCTCGCTGCTTGTCTCACCTGTCGAGGGTAACGTCGTTGCCTCAAATGCACTCTGTGGCTCAGTAATGTGGTCGAGGGACACAGTCCTCGCAAGCTCACGTAGCAGCGCCTTACGAAGAACCGCGCGCCCTCGAATGACAGCGAGACAGGCTCCAGTCTCATGTGCCATCTTCGCAGCCTATCCCGCCTCGAGTCTATCTTTGGAGTGTGCTGCCAACGAGCGATGGACCGCAAAACACCTATATGCATTCCTGATACCCTAAGGTTTAGCAAGGTGCAACGCCGTTTCATCAGCCAAGTCACCAGTAGGCTTGTGGAGGGCATCGTGCTATTAATATGACGCGCAAATGGGTCATGGTACGCTGGATGACAGACCTGCTGGTCAGTTGGACATCCCAGTATGATTCATCATGGCAAATGGAGTCCTATTGACTATGTAGACTGCTTCCTCAGAAATTGACCGCCTCGCTCAAGGACAAGGTCACGGGCGAGCCGTTCATGGTCACCCAGTAGATTGTCGGCTCACTGCCAACCTGGTCAGCAGACACCTGGCCTCCACTGGCCGAAGCCTGTCCCCCGGGGATCGTCACGGGCACAGGCACAGAGCAGCTGTTCCCGTCCGTGCGCACGGTGACCGAGTCAATCGCCTTCCCATCGGCCGAGTACGCATAGGACATCTGGGGCTGGCACCCATCGAGCGTCATCCTGTCCATAAAGTAGTCGCCGACGGCGTCGTGCTTGAGCGACGTGATGGGCCAGTCGGTCAGGCGGACCATTTCTTGGGTAATGGTCTCGACCCACGCCATGAGCAGGGACATCTTGCCCGTCTGGCTGCCGACGGTGATGGAGGGCATGTCCGTCTGGCGCAGGTTCGCCTGGTGGAGCATGTACGGGTCGGCCTGGAGACCGAGCAGGTAGCGTGTGTTGGTGGCGCGCGCGTCGCGCAGGAGGTTGTCAAAGTCGCCCGCGCCGGCCGACGTGTCGATCCACTCCTGCAACGTGCACTGCGCCGTGTCGCAGTTGTAGTAGATGGTCGTCGCGTACCGGGGCACCACGATGAACCCGGCGTACCCGTTGCCCGCGACGGTGGTGATCAGGGGGTGGAACGGGCTGTCGGCGCTGCGCAGCACCGGCCGCGTGTTGTCCCCCACGGCGTACACCAGACCATTGTCCGCCCACGCCTGGAGGACGTCGGCGTTGTGAAGACCGGTGATGGCCGGCGGGATGAGACCCTTGGGGGAGAACCGCGTCGCCTGGTCAATCTCCATCTGCGCCAGCCACGCCTGGTTGAACGCAATCTCGCGCGTGGCGTCGTGGTACGTCGCGTTGTTGAGCTCGAGATGGGAAAAGGTGTGCGAGACGTGGGCAAAGGCGTTCAGGTTGGCCTTGTTCAGCCACCAGGCGGCAAAGTCGTCGAGGTCGGCGCACTCCTTGCTCCAGCCGTACTCCTCAAACTCGGCCGGCCACAGGTCCTCGCCCGTGCCGGGGGGCTTCTGGAACTCCAGAGGAGTGTCTTCGGGCGAGTCATAGTCGACGGCGTAGTCTGGGACGCAGATCTCGTCCGACTCATCCTCGGGGTCCGTGGCGGCGATAATGTCGCCGTTGCCATTGTGGCCCATTTCGAGCCGAAAGTCAGAGCCGGCGGGGAGACGGCCGTTGATGTCCTGCTGCCAGGCGACGTGGGCCTCGAGGTCACCGATGCGGCATTTGAACTCTTGGCCCGAGGGCAGGTAGAGCTCCGTCGAGAGCTGCACATCGTCCACCTGCGGGTTCAGGTGGATCTTGCGCTTGCCGAGGAAGAGACCGCGGGTCATCCAGTGGATGTGCGCGTGCTGGAGAAAGTTGGACGTGGCGGACCAGTCGGTTGCCCAGCTGATGAACCAGACCAGCTGCTCGCGGCCGCCAAAGTTGTTGATGACACCAGCCGTCGTATCCCCAGTCTGCGCTCCGCCGGGACCGAACTTGGCAATCTCCCAGGTGGTATCGGGGTCGGTGATGGTGGCCGGGTAGTGGTAGAGGCCTGTGGTGGAAACGCCAGCATTTCTGCACAAGGTCAGCCTCGAGACGTCGACAGTGGTGTATTTGTGGGAGAGGCACTCACGCTTTGAGATTCGCCGTCGGGAAGGACGTGGTGTTGGTGAAGCTGATGAGCTGCTCAACACCGCTGGCACAACAGCCACCGCCTGAAGCTATCGAGGCGCCTGTGGGAGACTGTGAGCTGGCGTCGACTAACTTGAGACCGGGGGAGGCTTACCAAAGCCTGGTCCAGGATACTCGTCCGTGCGAACGAGGCGGACGTGGAAATCCGTCTGGTACTGGTATATCTGGTCCCACTGCGCCGTGGTCAACGCGCTGTTCCACGAGCCGTCGTAGTCGTAGGACACGGCGCCCATGACGATGATGCTGCCATAGCGGCCCTCGGTGCTCGAGCTCGACAAGGCGGGCAGGGTGATGCCCTCTTTGGGGACAAGGACAGTCTCAAACGGGATGCCATAGCCTTCCAGGCCGGAACTAGCCGTGGACGCAGAGTAACTGTCTCGTGCGAAGATCAGCACCTTGCTGTCCACGGTGGCCCCTGGCACGGCATATGAGGGGGTAAGGAGGCCGAGAAGGCATCCTAGGGTGAGTGTCACCCTGTAGAAGGAAAGGGGGGACAGCATGTTCAAGGGGCACTGATTAGAATCCTCAGAGATGGCAGAATACTATGGACTGAGGGACTCCTTCTGGAGCACGCAGTCCTTCTTAAAACATTCAGCTGGACCAAGAGCATCATGGCAACGTTCAGCCGTCTCCTCCTTTTTTTCTCAACGAAAGAGGCTTAAAAAAAGGAGGAGATGCCATGGCGCCCTTGGCATCCACCAGACAGCCTCTACCTACCAGGAGGAGGGTGGCACAACTCATCCAGCCAGCCACTGTGAGGTTCAGCCCATTCCGATTCGGAAGTGGCACGCTCCCGATGCGTTTTCTCGGGATGTTCGCCATCCCAGGTGCTCAACTGGCCAAAGAGGGAGTCAAGCACCGAAGTCAAGTAAGGGCGCGTGCTCAACGTGAATCCATGGGGCTGCGAGATGGCGCAAAGAAGCAACCACCCAGATCCGGCCAGGCCTAGTTGAGGCGGACTATCAGACTTGCATGGAGCCACGCAGCCATGTTCCACATGGTGTCTTTGCGGCAGGCTATGAGCTGTCCGCTGGCGGAACGCCTTTGGTCACCCTATTCTCGATATGTGAGGGCGTCGTCCGGGTAGCGAGGAGGGTTGTGCGCGACATGGACTGGCTTGCAGCTGCATTGCAGAGACAATTCTCGTATTCTACTTGCAATAAGCATAGATCAGGCCCAGTGGGGAGCGCCATGCATCTCGGCTGATGCTCAGACAGCGCGTACAAGTGTCTCTGAGGTGCCTTGTCTTGGGTTGCGGTACAAGCAGACTGGAGGAGAGGCCGTATCGAGAAAAGTTGGGGCGCGTATCTGGCCTGCATATGGCAGACGCGTCTCCTTGCGTCTCTAGAGTGATCTGGTGAAGCCTAAAGCGGATCGCACGCTTTTCTTTGCCTGCCATCAATGTCGGCGTGACAAATAGACATTTGGCAGCACTGCAGGACGCCGAGTGATGACTGGATCGAGAGAAATGAATACCACGCGTAAAGGCTGTGTACACGTACTCTTGTCAGCACTAAGAATTACATGTAATTCACAAGTTCCTTTACATCCCCACCCGTCGAGAGTCCACAAGGCGCGTCTCACCAAGTCAGATTGGACCCTGACAGAATCCCAGATCTGCCAGATTAGAACATCATGCTAGTGCATGAAAACCGCACATATTGACATGTACGGATACGTGGTCACGATGGAATCCAAGGTAAAGGACTCAAAGGTAGAGTAGGGCGTCACCTGAGACCTGCATGCCCGTCTCGATGATTGGTTCTTAACTTAGGAGGGACCGGCGGGAGTGGCTTGTGCCTTGTCCTGCATTCCGCCTGATCATCCCGCTCGTGGAGTCGTGAAAAGCCCGAAGCCGAAGCGTGGGTCCATCATTCAGGGCCCTTTAAGGCTCTACCTGAGAAGCTCAGAAGACGAGTCTAGCTTTTTCACTAGACGACTTAGCGAGGAAGCCAATCAATCAAATGGAATCGCCCAGGTTTACGTAGCATGAACATGATGCCTGTCAGAGCCAAGGCAGGATTGGTGCCGCGTTACCGCTTCCACTGGATCTAGACCCTCGCTTCCACCCGGATGGGATTCGCAGCCTGTCAGCCCTGTCAGTCTGTCATCCTGTGGCTGAGCCAATTGTTTTTGAACCCTCGAATTTGTACAACAATGACTGTCGTGGCCCCGTCGTAGGTAGATCATCCGAGGAACGCCATCTCCTCTTCCTCGTGTTTTCATAAGCGCCATCCTGCACTGACCACAGACAGCCGCCACCATGCTGGGCAAGTCTGACGCGAATGTTGCCGCAATGGAGAAGCCCCCCAAGAAGTCGTGGTCTCTGCGCCGGAAGCTCCTGGTCGTGGCCGCCATCGCCATCGTCGCAGTCGTGGCGCTGGCAGTGGGCCTGGGCGTCGGCCTCACACGCGGTGGCGGCAGCGACGACAATGGTGGAGACGACAACGACCAGAACAACGGCGGCGGGGACGACACTGATGGCGTGCCCAAGGATGGACCCGACAGGGACGAAGCCTGGAAGCCAAAGGTCAGCGACTCGTGGCAGATCATCCTCAAGTACCCCCTCGACCTGCAGTCCAAGGACGACATCAACCCGGACGTCGCCGTGTACGATCTGGACCTCTACGACAATGATATCGAGACCTTTCGCATGCTGCAGGATGCTGGAAAAAAGGTCATCTGCTACTTTAGCGCCGGTTCATGGGAGGACTGGCGCGACGACAAGAACGACTGGGACGAGGCCGACTTGGGCGACGAGCTCGACGGCTGGCCTGACGAACGCTGGGTCAACGTGTCGAGCTCTGGCGTCAGAGACATCATCAAGGGACGCATCGAGCTGGCCTGGAGGAAGGGCTGTGATGCCATCGATCCAGACAACGTGGATGGCTACGTACGTTGGCGGAATGCCCATGACCTGCACTCAACAGGAAACAATGTGCTGACCAGTCACCTCACAGAACAACAAGAACGGCCTCGGTCTCACGGCGGACGACGCCATTGACTTTATGCGTTTCATGGCCGAGGAGGCCAAGTCGCGCAAGATGGCTATTGGCCTCAAGAACGCGGGCGAGATCATCCCCGACGTGATTGACTTTATCGACTTTTCCGTCAGCGAGCAGTGCGTCGAGTACGCCGAGTGCGACACCTTTGCCGACTTTGTCGACGCCGACAAGCCCGTCTTCAACATTGAGTATCCCAGTGGCGCCCCCGACAAGGTGACCGCCAAGGTCTCTGGCGAGATCTGCTCCACCAAGGGCAATGCGACGGGCTCGGAGGGGTTCAGCAAAGTCATCAAGAAGATGGTACTCGATGGCTGGGTGGAATACTGCGATGGCAAGACGTACACGTCCAAGGTGCAGGATTGAAGTACCTAACGTAGCAACTTTCCCAAGTAGGCAGACTCATGTCTCCTCCCGAGCTGTACTATAGCTCAGCAACTGTACAAAATTGTCCCACTGCGCTGGCCACCTGGTGAAGCCCCCGCCGTGCTGATCAGTGATATAGAGTCCAGCAAACCCTGCACCCTTTGCATCCTGCAACACCTCTTCTATGCTGCCATCCTCGCTGCTCGTGGTGTGGACGATGGCCAGAGCCTTATTACAGACCTCAAGACGGAGCGCTTCATGTTCAGCCCTGAGCACCCTCCACTGCTCGTGGGCCTGCTCAAAGGCCACCACGTAGTCAGCTAGCACGACCAAGTCCGCGTCCACCACCACGCCGGGATTGAACACCAACACGCTAGGGGCTGCCGACGAGTGACGGGTCCAAACGGAGCGGACATGCGTAGCGAGGTCTGCCATGTAGGGCACTGCGTCCGCGGCCGAGGGGACCTCGTCGACAAAGATGCCGTCCACGCGCAGCCGCTGCGCATTCCAGCCGTAGTAGCGGTCAACATCCCTGCATACGTCCTCGCGAGGTCGCCGTCCATAGGTGCAGTGCACGTAGCCTAGGAGTTGGATGTTTGAGATGCTCTGCAACCGACGCAGGCTAGCCCTGTAGCTCGCGTCGGGCAGCGGTCCCGCGCCCGGGCCATTGTTCGGATTGATGATGGCGAGGAAGTTGATGTTGGCGTGTCTTCTCGCGGCCGCGGCCAGGGGCGCCCACGCTTCTTCTTCCGGGTATATGTAGAGCGGCACGATGATGTGTTGCAGCGCCATGGTGGGCGGGGTTGTCTGTCTAGCCCTCAGTTCTACCTTAACGTCAATAGAGTTTAGAGTTGTAATCAATCTTAGACGGGAGTTGTATGGACTTGACCAAGAGCCGGCGGGCATGGGCCGCGTGGCTGGGAGGAAGGAAACGTTGCGCAGGAGATGGGGTTAGCTCTCAGTCAAAGACACACAAATACGCCCCTCCCCGGAGCGGCAGATCAAAGGCGATGCGATGCATGTCTCAGACGTTGCGTGCTTTGCTGTACACGGCGGTCCATGTCCGCAACTCCACTGCGGTGTCTGACAATAAGCCAGCCGCGCGGTGCAATTCTTTTGTCTCTGCAGGGCGGCATCTCTTTTTTTATGCTTAGTCCTGCATTCCCAGGTGTGGTCACTGGTGGCCGCTCTTGCGAGTCTGGGGTCAAGTCGGGTGTGAAGCCACGTCCAGTACCGACGGTCGGTGCACTTTTTGTGTCCGTTCACGCTGGATAAGTCATCCGGGCGTACGACGACGCGCTCTGTCATACCACGTCCATTGGGCGAGTGGGTTCGTGCGCGTTGGTCAGGTCATGATAGCACAGCGAAACCCGAGAAGGCATGAGGAGTATCTGCAGTCCCTGAACTGTCACGTGCCCGCGTGTCAGCTTGCATGATCACGTGCATGAGCTTCCTGCACCTCACCAACCGCGTTCACACATCACGTCGATCTGTGTTCACCATGTACCAGACATGTAGTCAACCATCGTGCCTCATTCATTACTAATTCGCAGCTTTGCCTGCCTCTGCACCCCTTTTGAACGCCTGTCTAATTATCCCAGGAAAAGAAACAGTGGACCACGACCAAGACGGTCACTTGTGAGCCCTCCCCTTGGATACGTAGTTCCAAAGGTCTCGGGCACACTGCGGGATACTCTCCTTGGTGGTCCAGCCGAGCTCCTTGAAAGCCCGCTCATTGGATGCTACGCAGCTTCCAACATCTCCTGCACGTCGCCCTGCCCAATTCATCGGAATCGGCTGTGCTGCAGCGGCCTCCAGACTGCGCACGGCCTCGATGACCGTGGTGCCCGTACCGGATCCGAGATTGAACGTCCGAAAAGCAGCATCGTGCTTGGACGCCAGCGCGGACACGTGGCCGCGGGCGACATCAGAAATATGGACGAAATCTCGCACGGCGGTGCCGTCCCTCGTCTGCCAATCTGTGCCAAAGACATCGAGCTGTGCGCGAGCTCCTGTCAACACCTGCGTAATAACGGGGAAGAGATTGGTTGGTGTGCCTTTGGGGTCCTCGCCCAGCAGACCTGACGCATCACAGCCAATGGGGTTGAAGTAGCGCAACGCGACAATGCGCCAAGCCGGGTCGGCGTGCGCAATGTCGGCGAGGATGGCTTCGCAGAAGTACTTGGACCGCGCATACGGACTCTGAAGACCGGCCACGACAGGTTCAGCCGTGACAGGAGAGCCCTCGCCATCTATGTACGTCTCGGGATGGTGTACCAAGTCTTCCTCTCGAAGAGGTCGACCCAGGTCGGCTTTGGTGCCATACACTGTGGCCGAAGACGAAAAGACAAAGTTGCGAATGTTATGCTTGCCGAGGAGCTCCACGAGGTCCACGAGCCCGCACACATTGTTGCGGTAGTAGGCGATTGGCGAGGCGATGGAGTCCGAGACGGACTTGAAGGCTGCGAAGTGGATGACGCCCTTGATCTTGGACGTCCTTCCCTGAGCCACAGACGGCGTGAGGCTGGCGCTGGTCGACCTGATCCATTCCGAGTAGGATTCTAGGAGAAACTCCATCGACGGGCTGCGGTAGTCCAGCTTGTGAAAGTGCAGAGCGGGCATCTTCTGGCGGTTGCCATCATAGTGCTTGGCAGCGAGCTCCTGGATGCGAGTAAAAACGCTTTCGTAACTGTTGGACAAGTCATCCACAATGATCACACTCTTGCCAGCTTTCATCAGCTCCAGGGAGGTGTGCGAGCCGATGAAGCCGAGGCCGCCAATAACGAGAATGAACTCCGAGTTCAACGAGTGGTCCGCGGGGACGACACCGTATTCTGACCTCGAGTCGGGCGTGGTAGGGGGCGAGCTGGGCGCTGAGGCACTCGGCGAGGACGCCTCTGATCTCCAGAAGTGATTCATGGTGAGAGCTGACGAGGCCAGAACCAAATCCAGCGGTCAATCGCCATGCAATATATATCGTGGGATCCAGCCCAACGCGCAAAGCTATGCTCCTGCGAGAGCCTTTGTGAGTGAGACCTCGCTATTCCGCATCTGACATCGTCAACGTTGTGCCCCCCGCCCTAGCTGAGCGAGACGAGGTACGGTGCTGCGAGCCAAGAGAACCTCTCTGAGTCAATGAGCGCATCTGAGATTGCACTCTCTGCATGCCCGAGCCAGCGGTGCCGTTTGCCAGACCTGCTCACTTCGGCTGTCACCCCAAAGGAGATGAGCGGTGCCAGGTACACGCGCAACGTGATGCAGCCTCGAAATAGAAGCGTTGCAGCTTCGGATTCAGTTGGGATTAGCTCAGGGCCCACGTCACGATTCCGAAGACCTGAACATTGGCTTGTCTCGGAAGGCCACCACGCTGTTGTCCTTCACAGACTGAGGTTCACACGACGCCAAATTCGGCGACCTGCACGCCATGCAGCAGAGAGGGAGGTAAATGGGCGCAAGGCATTGCTAATTTTTGCATCAGGAGCATCAATGTTGTCAACTATCCCCACACGGATACTTCCACTATTGGCAGGTTGGTCGTCAACAGGATCTACCTCAAAGTGGCTCTCTCGATCGGGCATTGAGCCGGATCACCACTCTACCAAGGTAGACCCATGCCCGGCACGCGAGTCACACTTGCCCCATTGGAAATCGCGTTGAGCTGATATGCGCAATGTGAAGGATGAACTGACAAGGTTCAACCACACCTTTGTGATCTAGCTGTACAGGACCATATGCACAACGACAGTGCCCTCTTGACCGTCGTTTTCGGGAAAGAATCGCAGCTGAAATGGCAACTGAGATCAGCGTTATTAGTCTCGGCTTTTCACTGATACTAACACGAGATCAGTCAGGAGGTTTCCGGTTGCACATATGCCGTGCTCCTCCTTGGGGCAACACATCTTACGAATTTCTCTCGGCCCCAACTTTACGCACGCGGAAACCTATAATTAGCTTGCAAAAACGTGAGGGGCAACAACGTTGTGACCTTGGGCGACGTCTATTCACATACACGAGCTGGCAGTGCAAAAACTCATCGATACGTGTCCGAAGTGAGTCCATCTCGTTGGTCACCGGCCGATTCCTACACCACGATTTTACCCAAGAGCACTCCGACGTGGCAACCGCGCTTGCGCTTGCCATGCTCGCGGCTGGAGCAAAATTTTGCAAAGGTCACTCGTCAGACTGCACCGCGGCGCCTTGAGCTGCGTTGAGTACGTTTCCATTTGCTCCGCTTGAAGCATCTATCATGCCCGCGCCGGTCGGCTCAGCACGCCTCTTGCATTGCTTTTGAAGCACATTTGAGGGCCGTCATTCACTCCGCATTGACCGCCTTGCATACGAACCCGGACGTTGACCGGAAAAGACCAGCAAAAGCAACGATGCCAGCTCCACATGAATCTGAGACTATTCTAGGTACGTATACGGATACGCATGTACAGTACAAGCGGCGTAGCATAATAGCACCACGCAGCATCTTGCAGCTTCAGCTCTCGGGATCCTGATCGGCCGGCCGGCTGCACTACCGTGGCGCTCTCCAATTCGCCTTTGGTTCCTTGCGTCAGGGCTACACAAGCAAAGCATACATTTCCCCGATCCATAACTTTCTTTTGTGCAGGGTATCACTCACACTGCTATTCGGGGGAGATGATTCAGATTCACACTCGCGAGACTAGCCATGTACGGTCAAAGCCCAGGGGCCTGCTTGATCAGCTCTGCGAGGGCGCGGCGGGCCTTCCTTGGCCTACCAGTAATAGACGTCCACACCTGTACCTGGTGTCATAGGACGAGGAGGCGGGCATCGGCGTGAGCTCAGACTGCAACTACACGAAGTCTGTTAAACCTTGGTCGTCCGCAGCGGGAGCCATCTGAATGGTTCTAGCAGAAACGGTGTTGACGCTCTCTTGTACTTGGACCATGGTTCACTCACTCTTTACGTTCTGATCACCAAAGTCATGCTCCATCCTGGAACCGACATCTAGCTTCAAGTCCACCGCCTGCTGGCTGTTCGCCAATGGCTTCCTTCTTTCAGCCAGGGCCGAATGACCCTGCCCTTGCGGATTGCGAGCCGGGGAGATTCCAGATCTATTGCAACAGTATCAACTCGGTGCAAAATCTTTTCCAGCCATGGTACCAGGTCCTGAACCTTTCCGTTGGCGGCGCTGCCATACTGATTCCACTCGTCTTGGCCGTGATCACATTCATTGCTCATGCCTGGACGCGTTACCGCTCCCACAACACAAAGTCAGTAACATAGAGCCCCCAGTCCGTTGCGAATCTTGCTGACCGAACTAGGCCTCAAAGGCGGCGTAAGTCTGCACCAGCCGTCCAACGTCAACTTACACCAGGGACGTGGAAATCGGCGAGATCTTTCGAGCTTCTTCACCAAGAGCATATAGAACTTCCAGACCTCACACCAGACGTCTTTGAAACCAAGGACCATCTCTCGGTCACGTCACAAAAGGTGTCTGCACAGAGGACCATCAAGATCTTCATGACAAACGCAGATCAGGCTCAACTTTCCGAAAGGCTCAAAGCCATCAGCAAGGGATCTGATATCGACGCCATCGGGCTGCACTGCTCAGATGCCACCAATCTGGAGACACTTGAAGCCTTGCTCCACGAGCTATTGGAATGCAACATCCCAGCGGTTCTCGTGGCCAGCCATGACAGCAACATATGGCCCCACGTCGATCTCACTGTCTTTTCCGGAATCGTGATAGAGAACGCTTGCATCTTGCAAAGCGGCGACCGCCGCGATTATTTTCGATCTCGAATGCTGCAAGATGTCGTCGGACGATGCAGCAAGATCAGAGAAAGCGACCCGGACTACTTTGTTGGCTTCGCGGACCTGTGGGAAGTGAGACCCCATCCAGCTGTGATCAGAAGGGCCGTGAAACTAGCAGAGCACTTTGGTGCCTTGCTGGAACATGGTCCAGTTCGACCAGAAGAGAATGGGGGAATCCATGTTGGGGCTGCCAGTCAGACGCTCAGTGGCTTTGAGTTTCTCAGACGACCAGAAGTCATCGAGCTACAGCGATCTTGGAGCACGGAGGCCCAACAAGTCCTCGTCTCTGAATCGGAGCAGTCCACCGACGTTGCACGACTACCCCTGCATGGGATCGAAAGTGTGATCCCAAATATTCGTCAATACCTGGAGAAATTCGAAGTACCGTCGTCTCTCGACGATCTGAAGCACCAGCACACCTCTTTTGCGCAGCCCCCCGACTATTCGTCCTCGCCCATCTCTCGAGACTGCTCCTGGACAAAGTCCAGCCAGGGCAGCCCAATGGCCGAAAAGGGGTGCTATCCTATCACAACGGAACCCGGCGCAGCTCACTACAATGCTGTGGTCGAGATGCAGAAGCACTTGAAGCGCTTGGATATGCTTCAGCCCTCCAAGGGCGCCGACACGCACCGTCTGATAAAGGAACTGCAGCAGCTTGAGTGTGGTTACCCCATGGTGAGCCTGGTGGATCGACTAGTCGAAGGCCTTCGAGAACGCCGCATCACAGTGTTCAAAGGTCTCGACACGGGCTTCGGCGTGCCAGAGGGGGTTGCGTACTTTTGGGGCGTTTCCGACGCCTCTAGTGAGCAATCTGAGCTCGACATTTATATCTCTCTGAAAGCGCCCAACGATACCGCCGCGATCCTCCATACGTGGCTCGCGCACTGCGGCGTGTCAAGGGCCGTCCGCTTCGAAACCGAGTGTCAACTGGAACAATCGCTGAGGGCCGATACATCGCCCATCCTGTTACCTGCGAGCATCAAGACAGCTGTTGATCGATCCAGCCACGCAGAAGTTTTGAGCCTACTTCAGCAGGTGCGAATCTCTCAGCTTGATCACACTTTCAAGGGAGCTCTTGTCGATTACTGCCAACAGAGTCTTTTGCAGGATGTGTCTCGCGGAACATGGTATCAAACTGTCTCTTCTGCCATTCTCGACGGTACAATGACAATGGAAGAGATTCTGCAACTGAGACTCGAGCACTACGTTCAGCTCGGCGCTGCTGAAATACCGAAACTCGACTATTTGGTGGACCTGTCGGAAGAAGTGTCACAGCAGGTGCTCGAGTCTCTTTTCTTTGGTCGTCGAGATGCGCTGAACGCAATGACCAACGCTTTGCTTGAGGCATGGAGCCCTGAGGCCCAAGCCGATGGCAAATGCGTAGACCTAAACGCCGACTTGTTTGCGCTCATATTTCTGAGCGCTCTACGCAAAGCAGGATTCGAAGATGTCTACATTGAGGCCACCGATCGATGCCCCTTCTTCCTGTCTCAACCCGACCAAGCCGCCGTGTTCTCCGAGTTGTGGGTTCTTGGGTCTCAATGCGAGATCTACTTTGGCGTGCTTCCCAGAGGTCTGGGGTCCATTGTCTACAATCGCTATAAGGAGCACCTTTTGCAACATCCGCCGGCGGGAGATGCCCGGAAGAATAATGAGATTATGAGCATGTATTCCAACAATGAACCCCCAGCGGAAGATGGTGAAGGCGATGGGACCCGCGCGAAAGCACAAATGTTGAGCCTCACCAGACGTGAGCGTGTTGAATCGTGGAAGAAGCGCTTCACCGAACTCGGCGCCATGTCCATCTTCTGCTTACCAGCAATCATAGACGTCCTTCTCCTCACTTTTGTAGGACGCGGCGTCTTCATGACCGCCTTTATGGATTCGGAGCACCTGCAAGCCGCTGGGTTAGCACTGCTGATCTCCCTCCTGCTCACGGCGGGGGTCACCGGCTGGGTTGGCAGTGTCGGGAACTATTACCTGGTCAACTATGCCTACGACAATATGATCCACTTCCACGTCCAGAGGCTGTCTGGTGGGTTCATGTTGACCCTCTTGGTTGCGATATGTGGGTTTGTCGGGTTCTCGGTGCAATACTCAGTCCCAGTCGGACTCGTGTTCGCGGCATACATGATTATCATTGCCACCTATTTCAACCTCCTTGGCGTCATGGCCACTATGCACCAACGACACAGTCCTATCACGTCAGGGCGCACCGTCTTGTGGCGCACCATTCCGCTCCTCCTGATCTCTCCTGTCCTGTCGACGTTTGTAAACGGACATGATCTTGAAATCTACCTTCCCATCACTTTGTTGTTTGTGGTGTTGGCGATGGTGCAGTACCGAAATCTGTGCCGTGAGTGGTCAGGCTGGATGCGAAACATACCCACGTTCTCAGGCAAGGACATTACAGAGTGGCATGAAGCTCAAGCAGGCCTGACAAAGGAGGAGAAGGAGGGTCAAAAATCGAGCGATAAAGATGCGCTAGAGGCATTCCGCGAGGCTGTGGAGGCCTATAAAAGGGGCCTCCTGTCTGACGTCTCGAAGACGGATCTTGTTGCGAGGGTGGCCGCCGGCATGCCTTATGTCCAGTGGCTGTTCAAGAAAACGTGCCCGAACAGCACGATCCCAGATGCCTTTACTGCCTCCTGGTTTACGCAGTTGGGGGAGTCGCGCAAGCAGCAGCAGCAGCTGTCTCGTGGCCTCAAGGAACATAACGTTCTCATGTTATTTCGCTTTGCCCGATACGATATTGGCCAAAACCTCGGTTTGTTCCTGGTCGCCCTCATGGATCGATGGGTCAGCATCGTGATGGGCGCCAGAGTCCCTCGGCCCAGCTTGTACATCGACTCAAGGTCCCGTTACGGTGTGTGCTTGTGTATCCTCTACTTTTGTGCGTCCGTCATGCTGCTTGACACGACCTTGCAGAAGTACTGGGAGGTTCAGTTCAAACTGTCTGATGAGAAGCTGAGTGGCCACGATCATGCCCAGCGCGTCGCCAAAGAGTGGGAGCGACGGAGGTTGAGATCGCTTCTCCAAGCCCTTCGAGAGTTGCTTGGCAAGATCATGGTCGTCTTTGGAGTCTGCACAGTACTCATGTGGCTACTTGTGATGAACCCACAGAGCATGATTCTGTATTATTGCTACTGCCTTGGCTACACCTGCGTCATCCTGTTCCAGTTCAATCGCTGTTTTACTACGAACGTTCGGGCTCACATTACAATCATCCTCTCGGCCGCAGCTGTTGGCTTTGTGGTGGGCTGTACGTTGCGCGTCGTCCCTTATACAGCCGGGTGGTTCTACGCAGAGATACTAGCACAGAATGTATCGGCTGTCACGGCGGCTTTAGGCACTTTCCTGTGGACCTGGAAGGACTGGACATCGCCCACGAGATCGAACAAGCATTCTGACAGTGAAGACCCCGACAAGCCTCAAATCATCGCACAATGCCGGCTCGAGGCCGAATCTGGAACCAATGACCAGGTTACAGCTTCACAAATCAAAGGCTTGAAAGGCACTGCCATGCCACAGAATGAAAGTGCGATTGTCTTCCGCGAAGTGTCGCGGCATCTCCGCAGTAGCCTGCAAGAACCCAATGCTTTCTCACGATCTGCCCCCTGGTCTGGGAAGCTGCTCCAGACGACTCTGAACATGTGGGAATCTCGAAACATCGGTGTCCTCCTGTGCAGCCGTCAGCAATTTGTACGCTCAGGCCTGTCGCATATCTCATCCGTTAGTGAGTCGACCGGGGAGTCGTTGACCATCAATATTGGCGTACTGGGAGAGACGGAACTGCGAGACGCCTCATGGCAGCCGCTCCTGGCGCAGATAGTGGCGGAATCGGCCCTCTATCATGTTGCGCGCACAGAGCATGGGCTGTCGCATTCCAAAGCTGTGCAAGCTGAGCATTTCCTCCAGGAGACACAGTCCCTATCGAGGCGACTTGAGTTCGAGCTCTCCTATGAGAACGACGCGGCTCTGGACCGACTTATTGGCAGAACAAATGTGGAACTGATGAAGCACCTGTGTCTCAATGTGCCGATCGAGTCGCAATGGGAACTGTTGCCAGAATCCGTACGCCAAGCGATAGTCGAGCGCATCAATGGGCAGCGCGTCAACATGACTAGGGAACTGCTTGCTTGGCTTGACCGGAGCGGTACCGACCTGACTACGTGCGACTTTCACGTCTCGCTGGCTCTGGCCATATCGCAGAAGATTGGGCAAAGAGCAGGGTCTGTTGCGCCGTTCTGTAGCTACCAGTCAACTTCCACGGCGGCACTGAAGCCTGTGCGGATGCCGGACAGCGTGTCATCACCATCCAAGGCACTGGGGGAGTGGCTGCGATTACCAGTCAGAATCATCGTGGCATGGGTGAAATGGGTCGCCATCATCACGGGCGCAGGAAACGACATTGAGCGCGAGCTATGGTACTGTTCGAAAGATTGGTATTTTCAACGGTTCATTCTAGCTGTCACCCTATTCTTGTGGAAGTTCTGCTGGCACGCAAAGAACCTCTGGATCTACGTGATGCTGGTACATCAGCGGGTCGAGGTGGCCAATATGACAAGGCTGGCCCAGAAGGGTGCCCGTCGCAAGATCAAGGGTAGCTCCATCCTCGTCGAGCTTCCCCGTAAGAGAGTCACTGGGTTCGCTGCGGGCGAGGACGGAGGAGCCATGGTGTTGAAAGTATACGACGGCTTGCACAAATCTGCGCCCTCCGGAGCAAGCCCTCTCTTCAAGGCGGTCTACGACGAGAACCTGCGCCTCCAGGCTCGAGTCGATAGTGACACGCTGGTGACTACTTATCAGTACGCCGATGCGACCACGAGACGACCCTTGTCCAAGGAGTTCAGCGACAAGGACTTCCGTACTGTAGGATTCTACGACAAGCATGGCCGAATTCACAGGGGCACGATCACGGTGGGGGAGACCGAATTTGCCTTTCAGTATCACTTCAAGAACCTACCACACGGCAATGCAGACGTCTTGGCTGCTGACTTTAAGGACATCACCTCTGATACCGAGAACATGATCTCGGTATACTGGGGCTGCCCCCCTGATGAGGATGTCTCCAAGTACAACTGGGCGCCGTCGGAGCGCCTGAGCCGCATAGTCAAAGTCATTGGGGGCAGGCGATACACCACACAAGTGGAGTACAAGCATCGCCGAGATCCCCTGATCACCACGTTCCTGGACGGAGAGGACGGGATCAAGACAGCCGTCGCAAGCGCCCCCAAGGCGTTCGCCGAGGAAAGCATGTTTCTGGCTCGGCCTGGTAACGTCTCATTCGATTCGGATGATCTTCTCATCTATCATAGCCTGACCCAGCTCAAGGAACTTCGGCGTCACGCAACTCCGTGGCCGCTGGGCGTGTCGAGGCTGAACCCATGGGGGTGGATCGTCAAGCTCAAGGGCAGCCGCGTGTACCAACACATTCCGACGTGGCAGCTGAGAACTGAGCTCTGGGCCCTGTGGCTCAAATCCGACTCGCTGGATGCGCCCACGGCGTGTTGGCTTGATGAGCTGATTCTACGAGAAGAGCCTCTGCTGCGCAAGTATTGGAAGGCCAGAGATCGAGGTAGACTACACGAGGCCAAATCCTACCTAGATCGACACGTCGGCCAGATCGTATCGGCCATTGACATGCAGACGGACGTGTCCGAGGTGTGTGCTCTGCCGATTAAGACGTCTGACCTGTATGCCATGGGCCTCGGCAAAGATGCGACAGAAATTACAAGTCACCCTCGCGACTGTTTCAGCGACTCTGACGAGCGCATATCGGTGGTCTTTAACGACATTGGGTGCTGGCCCGAGGCGCCTGGTGGTGTGTCCAACTGCCGCCGCGATCTGGTCAACGGACACAGCACGATCCGGAACCACGTGCTGGCCGAGTGCGCCAACGACTTTGGCATCCCCCGATTCCAGATTGAGAGGAATGTGCAGTCGCTCAAGCTGCTCCCACTGTGGGGGCTGGACAGGAAGACGGCGCACCATGGCCTGATTGACAATCTCCTCCAGTCCCAGGTCGACGAGAAGGTGCGCAACACCGAGATCCAACGCGACATTGTCGGGGTGTTTATCCCCCTGGTCAAAGACTTTGTCAAAGGTGCGCGGACGAAGCGGTACACTCGCGCCGACTTGATCAGGTACAGCAACGTGGTGCTCTCCATGTCCAAGTACTACGAGCAAAAGGACTACAGTCGGACCTGGGAGTCCAAGGAGGTCGAGAAGGCCTGGGTCGATGCCTGGCTTGTGCCGTACAACGATCCTAACATTACTGATCCTTCGTCCTTTTTCGACATTGAGAAACCGAGCATGTCCGATTTTCGAGAGGCGCTGGGCATCTACTTGGCGTACTTTTTCATCTTCTCGGTGAAGATTCCGGATCGCTGTCCGCGAGTGTTCCAGAGCACGCATCATGGCATCAGTAGTCTCTTTGGCATGATTCTGCGCTATCGTCGTGGCGTCACCTTTGGTATTTGGGACCATGCCATTCTGTGGCGAGAGTGCTGTCTCAACATCAGTCCCGCGCAGTGCGAGCTGCCCATCTCGGTGCAGTCGATGCTGCTGTCAGGCATTGGGTTGGCGACGAGGCTGGCCTACCTGCATGCCGACGTGATCATGCCGTGCACGTCGCTGTTTAATCCGTAAGTTCTCCCTCCCCTTTGACACGTCTGTCCTAGCCAGGCTAACACTCGCAGTATGTGGGAAGCTGAGATTGCCACCGATCGAGGGCAGCTCAGCAGCAAAAAGGTTTTTAGCCGGCGTATTGACCCCATCGTCAACGGCATCAGCAACATGGAGTCCTTCACACCGGTCGACAAGATCCGCACGGAGAAGCCTACAGTGGTCATGTTGTCGAACGTGCAGTTCATCAAGGGCATCAAGACGGCGATCCTGGCGGCAGACATCATTGTCAACCGCTATGGGTTCAAGGACTACCAGCTCGTGGTGTACGGTGCCAAGGATCGGCAGCCGTCCTATGCCCTGGAGATGGCCAAGCTGATTGTGGAGAACAACCTGTCCGAGACGGTGATCCTGGCCGGGTTTGGCAAGCCAAAGGAGGTGCTCAAGGACGCCTGGCTCTTTATGAACTCGTCCATCTCCGAGGGCCTGCCCCTGGCCATTGGCGAGGCGGCCCTCGCTGGCGTGCCCATTGTCGCCACGGAGGTTGGAGCCACAGCGCTGGTGATGACGGACCCCGAAGATCAGGACAAGCGATACGGCGAGGTCGTTCCTCCCAACGATCCGCTGGCCTTGGCTCGGGCGCAGCTGAGTATTCTGGGCATGGTGGGTCCCTGGGCCAAGTTCACTGAGGAGGTCCAAGCCGAACCGTCTGCTGCGGCATCAGCTGTGCTGCCAGACGACATCACCTCGGGTGTCGTGGACTGGCTTACCCAGCGAATGTACGACAAGTCGCCCGATCGTCGACGCCTAGGTCTACTATCGCGAGAAGTCGTGCTGCATAGCTTTCACGGGAACCGCTATCTACGTGAGCATGAACAGATGTACTGGGTTCAGTGGCATCTGTCAAAGATGAGAGCCGACGAGGCGTTGAGCAAGATCGCGTCTCGGACGTATAGATTTGGCATACCGCGGCCGTTGGAGTATGAGGACGAAGATGATCGATGCATCATCGAGGCAGACGGGGAAGAGAGCGAGGGGAGCACCTTGGTGAGAGATCCGACGGTTAAGTGGCAGGAGTTTGACAACGGGAGGGTGATCAAGGAGAAGAGGTCGGCGAGAAGGCTAAGCAAGCAGCGGCCTCCTAGTTCGATGGTGTGAGTTTGGAATTGGCGGTAGAACAGTACGCACAATGAATAGATAATAGACTTGCATAGAAAGGAACGTCGAAGCACTGTCAACTGTAGAAAGATGGAGCTTGATCTGTCAGTCTGTCAAGGCCTTGAGAGGAGAAGTTGAGCTCGAGGATTGAGTTCAAGCGAGGCATACCGAAAAGTGGAGATTCATGGTTACCCCGCCAATCAACAGATCAAGGGCGCTGACGTCGCGCGTCTCGCCTCGAGCTCACCTGAAGCTCCGTCTCTACTCGTTGTCCAGCAATTGAATCATTCTTCCCTCGACCTTGACCATTCATTGATCATTCCCCTAGTAGTCGCCCGAACCTGCATCTTTCATACCGCATCAAGCCGAGCAGCATACGCCCCGCCCATCAGCGCAATGGCCGACAAGATCGAGAAGATCAAGGGCGCAGAAACGCCTGCCGACCTCTCCACAGCCAGCACGCCCGCCGCCGACAGCGTCTACTCAATGGACCCCGGCAAGGACGAAGACCTGCTCTCCAAGAAGGTCTTTCTCGCCGACCTCACCGCCAAGGGTCAGGCGCTCTACGCCCACAAGAACTACGACGACGCCTGCGAGGTCTTCTCCCGCGCCAGCGTGCTGCAGGCCGACATCAATGGCGAGACGGCACCCGAGAACGCCGAGATCCTCTTCCACTACGGTCGCAGTCTCTTTAAGGTGGGACAGAGCAAGAGCGACGTGCTAGGTGCGTCCGCGCCGCAGACAGAGACGAAGAAGCCCAAGAACAAGCCCAAGAATGGCGATGCGAATGGCAAGAAGAAGAATACAGAGGCCAAGACCGAGGAGGAAAAAGTGACGCAGGAGGGCGTTGGCATCGTCGCAGAAGAGAAGGGCAGTGTATCCAAGACAGCGACCGCAAAGGAAGAGGGAAAGCCAGTCAACAAGGCACTCTTCCAGTTTACAGGCGACGAAAACTTTGACGACTCGGACGAGGAAGAGGTAGGGACTTGAGACGCGACTGGGTTTGAAATTCTGTTTCGTTTGCTAACACCTGCGCTGTAGGACGCCGAAGAGGGTGACGAGGATGACGACGAAGACGACGACGACCTGGCCACGGCCTTTGAGATTCTCGACCTCGCGCGCGTCTGCTACACCAAGCGCCTCGAGCAGCTCTCGAGCGAGGAACAGGAGGCCCAAGGCAAGGGGAAGGACAAGGAGGCAGAGGGCACCGAGTCGGCGGCAGTGAGGCATGTCAAGGAGCGATTGGCGGACACCCACGACTGTCTGCACGAGATATCGCTGGAGAACGAGAGGTTGGTTGAACCTCTGCACCTCGTTCTTCGCACAGTGGCATGCTAACGACCGTCTCTCTACCCAGGTTCCCACAGGCTGTCGAGGATGGACGCACGGCGCTCAAGTACAAGCTGGAGCTATACCCTGAGGAGTCCGAGATCATCGCCGAGGCGCACTACAAGCTCTCGCTCGCCCTCGAGTTTGCGTCCGTGACGACGGCTGGAGAGGATGGCACCACGGCCAAGCGCGAGGACATGGACCAGGGCTTGCGGGACGAGGCTGCCAAGGAGATGGAGCTTGCGATCCAGAGCTTCAAGCTCAAGCTCAAGAACAGGGAGGTTGACATTGCCGAGTCCCTGTCGGCAGAGGACAATGAGCTGGGTCGCAAGGACATTGCCGAGATGAAGGAGCTCATTGCCGACATGGAGCAGAGAGTACGTCATGACGATACTTACCCCCGTGACGATTTCTTGCTTACTTGGATAACACAGCTTCTCGACCTGCGGAGCGATCCGATCAACACCAAGGAGATGCTCGGCGGCAGCGAGAACCCCCTGGGCGGCATTCTGGGCGCCGCCCTAGGCGAGACCTCGGCGGAAGCCAAGGCTCGCATCGACGAGGCAAAGAAGACGGCGAATGACCTGACCAACCTCGTGCGCAAGAAGAAGCCCAAGGAGGAGGCGTCCACCGAGGGCAACGGCAAGCGCAAGGCGGAAGACGAACCTGAGGACGAGGCTGCGAAACGGGCCAAGACTGAAGAGCCCGCCGCCAGTGCCCAATAATGTACTACAGTTCACGCAATCTTCAGGTAATGTAATGGGCAGCAGGGCTCGGCGTTCACGGATCGGTAGGGGTTTCCACATGGGAACCAAGGGGACAATGTACTGTATGTTGTACGAATTGAAATGTAATAAACTGAATGGGTACCCTCTTCCATGGCCATCTACAGCTTGTAACTCCCGCTCGACGCCGTCTTGACACCCTTGACCTTCTTGCCATCGACGTCCGTCACCTCGCCCTTGCGGTTGATGACCTTGACGCCGCCCTTTTTCAGATCCGCCATGGTATCCTTCTGCAGCTGCGCGCGCTTGCTCAGCGCCTTGCCGCCGCCGACGCCGCCCGCCTTGCGGACCCTCTCCTTCTCCCGCCGGCGCTGGCGCTGCTTGTCCTCGCGGCTCATCTCCTGCTTCGCCAGCGGCGCGCCGCCCTTGTGCACCACCTCGCCCGCGGCCGCCGTCTTCTTGTTGGCCGTGTACACCTCCTGGGGCGCCATGCGGCTGCTCTCGCCACCGATCGCCGAGGCCGTCGTCGGCTGGGCGTCCTCCATGGACACCGTGGCCACGTCCGCCACGACAGAGAGCGATGGCTCGACGGGGCGGGGCCGGTAGTGCCAGCTGCTGAGGGCGTCGAGGCGGGAGGACACGTCCTTCCACATGTTCTCAATTTCCTTCTCCTCGCGCTGCAGCTTCTCGTCCGACTGCGAGACGTAGGCCTCGGGATCCTGCGTCTTGGCGTGCTCCTCCTCGTAGACCTCGGCCAGACTCTTGCCCTTTGTGTCGTCCACCTCGGCGAGCAGGCCGCGTCGCGTGCTGGCGGGCATGCTCTCCGTCCCGGGCCGACGGCGGATCACCTCGTCAAACTCCTGGGCCAGGATACGGCGCTTGATGAGGTCCTCGATGCTCTCGCTGATCTCGGGGGTGATGACGGGCACGGGCTTGCCGCCGTGCTCAAAGTCGAGGTCCTGCTCGAGGAGCGAGTTGACGGGCCGATCGGCGGCCGCCGCCTCGCCGGACAGCGTCCATTCGCGCTTGGCGACAGAGGCGGCCTCGAGTTTGCGGATCTCCTCGGCGAGTCGGGCCTGTCGGCGCTCGTGTGCGGAGCGACGAGACTTGGGATCGCCGGCGTCGACATCGGACAGCCCGTCGGCCGAGTCTTCCATCTCGGACTCGTCCTCAAACAGATCGCGCTTGACGTCTTCCATGGCACGCTCGACGTCCTCCGCGTTGTGCTGGGGCTTGCTGTCAAAGCGCACGGACTTTTTGTTCTTGGGTCGCTTGTCGTCGCGCTTGCGCTTGGGTGGCGCAAAGAAGTCCTTGTAGTAGACCTCGTTGGCGTTAAACTCGCCCAGCCCGTCGTCCACCCCGTCCTCGAGGTTGCCGACCATGTCCTCGTCGTCACTGGCGCCCTCGGGCGCGTCGAGGTCCATGTCGCCAAACGTGGGCCCGCCCTCGCTGTCGTCGTCATCGTCGTCTTCGGGCATGTCCTCGCCGTCCTGTGCTTTCTTCGTCTTGGCCGCGAGGGCTTCCGCCTCGGCGGACATGGGGTCGGCATTCCAGTCAATGTCCTCGTCGTCGCTCGCTTGGTCGGTGTTGGGGTCCCCCTTGGCATCCTGGTCTTCAAAGTATTGTGATTGCTTGTTGAATTCATCGAGGGAGAAGAATCCATCATTGAGGCCGTCAGGGTCCGCCTCGTACTCCTCCTCGGGGCCATCGGCATCTTCCTCGTCGTCCTCCTCTACGGCTTCGTAGTCGTCGTCTTCAAAGTCCTCCTGAGCATCTTCGAATTCGAGTTCTTCGTCATCCTCTGAGGCTTCTTCGTCCAGGAGGCTGTTTCCGTTCAGTTCAGCCTCGAGGCCTTCATCGCTGACATCCTCTTCCATCTCATCTTCCTCCTCATCGTCGTCTTCCTCAGCCTCGGCGGGCGAGCCCTCCTCGTCGTCATCCAAGTCTTCCACAATGACGCCTTCGTCTTGTAGTTCTCCCAAGCGGCCGTCAGCGTAGCGCAGCACGCCTTCAATGACCTTCCTCGCCTGCTGCCAGACTTGGTTGGTCTCGAATCCGTCCACGTGCACCTTGCGCACTTTCAGCACTTCGCCCTTGTCTTCGCCCCTCTTCCTCTTCTTGAGGCGGATCTGCTGCTCGTCGACCACCGTCCCTGCAAAGTCCTCTAGCGTGTCCTTTACAATGTTGAGGGACGTGGTAGGAAGAGAAGCCGGTGGTTGCAGGAAGACATGTCGATTGGAAGGGGCGAGGTTCTGGAGGAAGGATGATGTCGGATTGGCGGATGGCATGGTGGCGGGGAGAGCTTCGAGAGTATGCGACGTCGATGTCAGAGTCGGCGACGTGTCGGCTGCCATTGTTATGCGGATGTTTGGCGACCAAGACGATCTGGGTCGACTTTGCGTCTGGAAATTTTGGCTGTTCACGATGGTCTAGAAAAAAATCTGGGTGGGGCTGGCATGCGATAAGCCCCACCTGGCGCCGTCACGGCCTCTGGTGTGCCCGGACTTACCCTAGACCCAAAGTCTGAATTGATCACCTTCACTGTCGAGTTGCGGCGACTTTGTGTTTAGCTAACTCACGGCCCCCTTATTCTGTCTTGCTGGTCATGGCAGTTAAACAGTAAATCAGAGGGCACATCGCTGGCATTGTTGGGACTGGATGCCGCACTGCACATCGACCACGTCGAAATGTGGTCTACGCCTCTCGTGAAATTACTATGAAGACAGGAACAATCATGATCAGGGTTTGCAGGTATTGTCTCTATTGAAGCGCTAGTAGTAATCTTACGCCCGGTCGTATGTTATAACAGGCCTCACCCCGCCGCCAGGAACTCAAACCAAGTACACAATGACTACATAGGCCATCAAGACGAACTCCAGCAACGCCGACCAGCTAAGACGAGAATGCAGCAGAACCCCAACAAGAGCCAAGGACACAGACAACACTCATAATCCCCGGCGTCCACCAGTACTCATCAGTGTAATCTTTTGCTTCTTCTTCTTCTTGCTGCCAGCCGTTGTCGGCGTCGGAGCCTGGCTACTGGGACCGGCGGATTCCTGCTCTCCACTGCCATCAAACGCCCGCATAGCTTCCATCTGAGCCGCGAGATCGTGTCCGCTCAGCAGCGCGTCGTCGTTCAGCCACCCATCATCGACCGGCCCAGAAGGTTGCGCTTGCAGCTCTGGTGAGGCATTGATCGCCCTTGTGCCCCAGATGGTGCGGTGCGAATCGGGACTGGTCGACATGGACGCCAATGTTTCAAACCCAGGCCGGGGTTCCGGCGGCGTTGTCCCCGATGATCCATTCAAGGGTTGGAAATCAGACATATCCATGGGGGGCGTCTCTGCTTCCATGCTGGCAGGAATGCGCTGGCCCGTGGTGCGGCGCAGTTCGGCAGCTTCCAGGCGCTCGGCTTGCGCGCGCTCCCTCTCTTCTTGCGTAGCCTTGTCCTGGTTTCGCTTTCTTCGCCTCTCAATGTCGACCTTGAAGGTCTCGAGCGTCTCCTCCGGCACTATGTCTGTCCAGTCGCATTCGATGAAGTTGACAATGCAGCCGCGCGGCAGGTGACCAAGATAGCGCGCCCGCTTGCGCATAGCCTCGTCGACGACATGGCCTGTAGATATGTGTTCGACTCGAGGTAGCAAGGTGGATGGGAACGAGGAGAAAGTCCCATACTTTGTCTTGAGGATCCGGATGTCCAAAGGCGACAGATAGAGATGTGGCTGTGAGCTGTAGAAGTAAAAGTCGGCTTCCGATGAATGGCGCGGCGGATTCTTGGCCGACGCCAGCGCGGACTCAACGCTGCCGAGACCGGTGTAGCGCTCTTTCAGGTTTCGAACCGCCTTCATAGCCTTCTGCGTCCACTCATTGTCCGAGCCGAACAGTGTCTCGTCAATCTTTTCCTGTCGCTCGAGTGCCGCTACCTCCTCGTCACACTGCTCCAGCATGTACTGCTCGCTTCCCATCATGACGCGCGCATAATCCAAGACATTCACGTCCGAATGCCAAGGAATGGCTTGTCCGGAGTTCAGCACCTCGGCGCCCCCTTCACGGGGTAGCGCGATGATCGAATCGGCGTTCCTGGCCATCAACCGCAGGACAACATCGTCACCTACGCGAGGTAGTGGGCTCTCCTGTCCAGCGTAGAAACGCACCGGTCGTCCGTCGTGGAGGTATATAAAGTCTTCGCAGATCGGACACTGCTGGCATCTTGAACCCTTTTGATTTTTCCCGCCGTCCTCTTTCGAAGCTGTGTGCATGAAGCGAATTAGGCATGGCAGGCAGAAAATGTGCCCACACTTTGCCATGCGAGGCGCTACCGGCTCGTCGAGACAGATAGGACACGACGTTGTTTGCGATTCTGTCGATGCAATCACCTGCAGCACATCATTCCAGTCCAGGTGTGCGTCGGTATCGGACGCTTGCTGCTTGTAGGACCCCTCGGGTGAGACGACGAATCGGTAATTGGCGTGGACGTATCGAGATTTGTCAGAGACGTGGTAGCCCGAACCGACCCCGGTATTTCTCCTCCAATTCCTCGTGTTGTCGGTTGCGTAATGAGGTCGCGGGGCGTGATAATTAAGCAAGTGTGTTATCGACGTCTGGCCCCTTCGCCCGCTCAGATTCCCGAGAACATGGCGCTCCGCCATGGCGTCATATGCGTCGGGCGAGGTGTACGATCGCTCACCACCACCAGGGCGGCGCTGGTTCTTGTGCTGCTTGCGCGAGGCCTGGCTCTTCCTTGGATTCGAAGACGAATTCGATGGTCCGGCAAGTGCTGGGCGGCGCGACGATTCGATGCTGGAGGTAGCCGGCCCGGTGGGTATGTTTGACGAGTGGTTCGATGGCGTAGGGAGGGACTTGCCCACGTTCGAATTCGACGAGCTCATTTTGATGCCGGTTCAAGAGGAGAAGGAGGGATGAGAGGGGTTTGGCCATCCGGGGTCATGGATTGCGGGTGAATGATGGCCTCACGAAAGCTCGGCCTGCCAGTGCCATCTGACGATGGGCGAGTGATGAGGGTCGCGGTTCGTAGAAAATACAGGCTTGGAGAAGATGCTTCCGCAAACTGCCGACAGGTAGCTTGGGAGAAGATGGTTCAAAGTTGATGTCAGGGTCCCACGGGCGGACCCCGGTGTTGTGTTCGAGTCACAAACCAGAGGGGTACAGAGGTATGATGACGGGATGGAACGATTGGACGTAACGCCACCTCGAGGCGCGATTATCGATAAGCAAGCCACGTGACAGATGTCTCGAATACGATACGATGGGTGAAGGTAAGGTACCTTATTGTCACAGCCAACGCCTTGGGCATATGAGTGTCAAATCAATGCCATCATTGTATAATCACGATGCATAAACGAACGGTATTAACTATATGACGTTCGATCCAGGTGCGTCCCTGCTAAGTAGACTTCTTCTCGCAACGAAGCAACCATGCATCATCTCTCGCATCTGGGGGAATCATTGACACATAAAGACACTGAAACGACATGCAAACCCAACCAAAATAACCGTCAAACGCACATGACACCTCGACATCATTGACCACCCAATTTCGTGTCCAGCTGCACTCCGACGCTCACGCATTCAGCTCTTATTTGTCCGACATCTTGTGCTTGATCTTGCTCAGCATGGCGCTGAGGCGGTTCTTCTTCTTCTTCTCGGTGGTAGAGGCGGTTTCGGCCGGCTTGGTAGCAGATGCGCTGCCCGAGCCGTTGGCCGGGGTAGTGCTCTTGCCCGCAGCGGCAGCATCGGTCTTGGTCTCCACTGGCTTGGACTCAGTGGGCTTTGTGGCGGTCTCGGTGGGCTTATCAGCCTCGACCTTCTTCTCCTCCTGAGGCTTCAAGGGCTCGGCAGCGGCGCCTGCATCAGTGACTGGCTTGGCAGGGGCGGGGTCGGACTTGACCTCGTCGCCCTTGGTCTCGGCCAGGGCAGGGGCAGGCTTGACCTCCTGGAGGAGCTCGGTCTCGACCTCCTTCTTCTCAGCGACAGCAGTTGTGTTGGCAGCAGCCTCGGGGCTCTCGTGAGCCTCGGTGATCGACTGCTTGACCTCGGTGGGTACTTCGGGCGAAACCTCCTCGCGGGTGACCTCCTTGTCCTCAGTCTTGATCGCGTCCTGGACCGACACGGGAAGCTTCTCCTTGACAGAGTCGGGCAGATTCTTGTTGGCAGCGTCGGCAGCACTGGCGGCCGTCTGGTTGGCAACAGGGCCGCCCTTCTCGACGGCGGTGTCCTTGGCGGAGATGGCAGCAGCTGCGACGGTAGCGCCGGCAGCGGTCACAGCGGCAGCAGCGCCGGCGGCGATGCCTGTGGAGTTCTCCGACTTCTCAGTGCCGACACCAGCGGTGCCCTGAGAGGTGACAGGGGCCTCGGGCACCTTGGCCATGAGCTCATGCTCGACCTCGGCCTTCTCGCGAACCTCCTCGGCCACAGCGCTGGCTTCTGGAGACTGGCCAGCCTTCTGCTGGCTCTCCTTGACAGCCTCGGGAACTTCTGTGTCGGTCTCCTTGCCCTTGGGCTCCTTGGGAACAGCGCCAGCCAGGCCAACGGTGGTAGCGGTAGGGCCAACAGAGCTGACGGTGTTGTCGGTCACCGGAAGCCCGGACTCGGGAATGACAGGCTTGGCAGTGTCGATCGAGGCAGCGTTCGCAGTGCCAGGAAGAGTGTCGGCCTTCTCGTACGATTCCTTATCGAGCTTGACATTCTTGTTGATCTCGTCCTGGGTGGCAGGAACGGGCACAATGGTCGAGGCGGGGGCAATGGGGTTGACGGCGCCGTCAGCGGCCGGCAGAGGCGCGACGCCAATGGGCTTGTCGAGTTCGTTGGCGGGGGTCTCGGGGAAGCCGCCAGGAACGTCAGAAGGAGTGGCCGCGCCCTCCTTGGGGACTTCGCCAGCCATAGCAGTGGTTGTAGAGGTGGGAGTGACGGTGTTGATGACAGCAGCGCTGGCGCTAGGGGTAGCAATCTGCTCTGGTGTGAGGAAGTTGTTGATATTTCCTTCCTGGTCGGGCTCCTTGGGTGCAGACTCGTTCAGAACCCAGTTGTTGTCGACTACGAACTATAATGAGCTGCGTTAGTGCACTGTTGATGGAGGGAGAATTGCTTGGGTTAAAGAGGAAATCAGGTTTCAAGCCCATGATGCGGGATGCGCAAGGGTGTGCTCGTTCCTGCAGTCATGTGGTGGGCTGAGGAACGAGGCGCCCAGGCCCGTCGCAACCGCCCTTGCCAATTTGGGAGACCATGGTCTGTCGTAAGAAATCATGATACGTAAGACGACGTGGGTCCAGGTCCAGGCATCGTGAGATCTGATTCTGCGCCTGTGCTGTCTTGCGCGCCGGCCACGACAACTTGCGTCATAACCCGCGGCCGGCGACCCGCATGATCGATCCGGAGAGTTCGGTGTTTCCACCAGTCCACGCAGCAAAAACGGTGCCAGTCACTTGACAGCAGGGTTGGAATTGCAACAAGACGGCAAGGGATGACTCGCCAGGCGCCAATTGAATGCCTCAGCAATACCTTGGGCAGGCGCAGAGGCATTACAGCCTGGAAACCCGGCCAGTGATGCGATAGCCGCCGTGAGCTCAGGTGGATCCATGCGAACAGCTGGTCTGACCATGCTTGCAGGGCTGGCCTGCTGTCCGGGGACAGGCACCGAAGCTGGCGCTCTACCCCGTGCAAGAGATTGGACTGCGGCTGTGCCCAGCGCAGGCGATTACGAAGCGACCAGCTCCATAGCTTGGGGACACGGGGACAGGCGCGAGGCGATGGATGATCTCGTGCGCGATTGTTCGTACCAAGGGAAAATCAAGAGGCGCGCTCGTCGCTGATAGAATGTCGGAAAGCCACCTACCTTATAGTAGATCTTCTTGGAAGCGTCCTTCAAGTCGACCGTCTTTTGGAAAACATCGCCCTCCTTCTCAAGCTTGACGCTCTTGGTCCAGTCGTCGAAGGTGCCAGTCACATACACCTCCTCGGCGGGGTGCTCCCTGAGACCATTGTGTCAGCGCATTTGTTCGGGGCAGATTGGGACATTGCAAGATGCGATTCCGAGCCCGAGGGGTGCGCATCGAGCCACGGCTTGCGGCTTTCGGTGGGACGAAACATGATCAGAGAGAACTGACTCACCACTTGAAGGTGTAGCTGCCCATTGCTGCGGTTATGTCGATGTGGAAATTCCGCGTGAGGCGGCGCTAAGGGTATCGTAAAATAGAGAACTTTCGGGAGAGGATGAAGGCGAATATATAGACCGTATCGTATGTACGTAGAGGCGCGAGAAGAATTGTTCAAGTTGAAGCTGGTGGACGATGGCCAGCAGCAGAGCGGTGGCTGGAGCGTCTGGCGGTGGGAGAGGGGGGGCTAGTAAAATTAGGGTAAAGTGGCTGGCTGGCCGGCCGGTGGGTGGGGGTGGTGTTGGCGGTCGAGGCACTGGCAGGCACGAATCGACATGGATTCTGATGACGCCTGTTCCTTCCTCGACTGACTGCAAGTAATTACGTAGCATGACCAGCCTGAAGATGCTTGCTCTCGATGGTTCTGGAATCGTGGATCATGCATCTCCAGCCTCGTATCGAGCGCACTCATTCTGGCCTCTCTATCTGACTTTGAGCCTTCACTTTATTGCGAAATGCGAATGGAGCTCGCTGGGCCTGCGCGACAACGTCATCGGACAGGTTGCGCTGCCCAACCAGCACCCACTCGAAGTCTCGAACTGAAAAGGCACCAGCGATCAAACAGCAGCATCAACAAAGTAAATATTGGCTCCATCTGCCGCTGTCAAATTCGCAGCGCAAGAGTCCGCGCTATCTACGCTGATCAAGCTTCCCGGTGTTGTGTCTCAGTCGCCAACATCAGGGCCAACATCCGGATGCGGGACATGAGTGCCCATGCGTCAGCCCAGACTGACCGCATCCGGCGACCTTCTATGAATCACTCACAGGGTGGGCGTTTGCCTAAAAGTATTGCCTAATTGATGTTGATACTCATACCGCAGGGTCTCTAACTAACACCTAAACGCCAACCCAGCCAAAAGGATCCTCCCCAGGTAGGAACGCAAACACGGACGAGGTCACAGCTCCTCTTTCTTGACGCCCTCGGAGGCTGATGGTACGGTCTTTTGCTTGAGCGCCTTGACACTGACCCTGAACTCGGTTGTCTTATCATCCTTGGGTCGTTTGTGGTCGGCCCATCCCACGACAGTACCGTCCGCTGGCTCGGGCTTGTAATTGCTCAGGTCGAGCAGTTGATCTAGACGCGGTCAGCCATCAGGACATCTAGTCGCGTCAAAGAACTCACCTTTGCAGTCACTTTCCTCCGCCACCCACAATGGCAGCACGTGGTAGACAGCCGCGGGCGCGAACATGACCACGCGGTCCTTATCTTGGCTGCGGTCAATGTTCTCCTTCACGTCCACCACGTCGTCAACGGTGTCCTCGCCGCCCTTAGAGTCGCGAAAGACACCAAAGAGACCTTTCCACTCGCCCTCTGTCCTCTCCTGCTCCTCAATCCACTCTCTCAAAGCGAGAGGAATGTCGGCGTAGTCCATCTTGAGAATGGAGCGGTCATATCCGTGCCTGTCGTAGCCTGACCAGCCACCAGGGTACTCGCGGCTGGAGAAGAGTTTCTTCAGGCCATCCGCCCATGGCTTGAGGCCCCTGGGCGGTTCTTCCATGAGCTCGTGGAGGGTGTACTCCCTGGCAAAGAAATGCTTTGCCACTTCGCACGAGGGCTCGACAGCGTCGGATTCCTTGATGGGGAACGGGTCTTTCCAAGGGAAATTGGCGACGAGATGAGGCGTGATGTTGTTCGGAGGCGGCTTCTTGTAGATTTCAGCGTGGGCGCCGGACGCTGCCAGCGCGATGGCAAGAGATAGGGCAGTGAACTTCATGATGGCGGCGGTCGGACAAGCGACACGATGCAATGTTCTCTGTAGCAGGAGAGGCGTCCTTCAACAGATGTTTAAGAAGGGTGTGATTGGCGTATCCTCGCCATTTTATAGAATTCCATCCTCTCGAGCCAACGTCGGGCTCCATGCTTTGGAAATTCTCGCCTCGCTGTCCTCATCGGACCCTTGGTCCTCCGCATTGCCATTTCGAGAAAGTGGGCGATGGAGACGGCGGTTGTGCGGGGACATCCTGAGGGCGTCCATTGGTGATGTGCAAGTTGGAGATGCGGAGGGAGGAGGGGCAGACTGTCTCAGATCCTTGCCGTACAGGATGAGATTGGGGAATAGAGACCGGCTCGCCGGCTGAGACATCCTGAGAGTGTCTTTGGGACGATGGTGGCCGCCCACTGGTGTGTTGTGTAATCTGGACCGCGATGCATGCACATGTCTGCGCTCGATCGTCATCTGATCGGCTGATCCCACAGCAAAAACACGACAACATGCTCGAAATCTCTTGATCTTATCAATTGTTTGAGTGCCAGGTTGACTCGACCAGAACCATCGGCGTGCGCCACATTTGGACTACTTGGAACAACGTTCTGGCAGAGTGCGAAATCAGAGTCCAGGCCGAAGCTCTTCCTATATGGGATTGTCATTACCTACTCTATTTCATGAGACTCTTCTCAATGTCCGCCGCTTCCGCCATGATTTCTCTCACAGCCTTCCTCGCCGGCTCGGGCACAGGTTCGTAGGGATGTCTCGGTGACAGCTTGGCCTCTGCATCCTGGATACCCGCGAAACCAGCCGTATAATGCGACACTGCAAACTTGACCGACGAGATGCCGCTCTTACAGGGACTCTCCGCCAGTGCCTGCTTCCTCTGCAGGTCGAGGGCCTCCTGGTGCTTACCCTCCTTCCACAGCTGGTAAATCCGAAGTGTCAGCCGGGGGAAGACGTTGCCAAACCCAGCGATGCAGCCTGAGCTGCCCGCCGCGAGTCCGCCGATGAGAAAGTCTGACTGGCCACCAAAGATGGCGAAGTCTTCTGGTTTGTGCTCGGCACTGAGGCGGGTAATCTTGCCCACGGATCCGCAGGTCAGTTTGACGCCGACAACCTTGGACTTGCCGTCGGGGCTGTTGGCGGCGCTGTCGCGGACAATGGCGGTGATGGTTTCGGAGTCAATGTCGACGCCATTCGTGACAGCCGGAAAGTTGTAGATCACAATGGGCAGGGCCACTTTGCTGGAGAGCTCGGCGAAGAAGCGCTTGACGACGTTCATGCTCGTCGCCTTGCCAAAGTAGGCCGGGGGCAGGACGAGCAAGTAATCTGCACCGGCTTTGTGGGCGTCGTCGGCCAGCTCGATGACCTGCTTGGTCGAGTGGGCGCCGACGCCGGCCATGAGGGGATAGCCAGGCCCGACGGTCTCGCGAGCGGCGGCGATGAGCTGGCGGCGCTCCTCGCGGGTGAGCAGGAAGGACTCAGAGTTGGTGCCGATGATGACAAGGCCTGTGAGACCGGTGGAGGCGAGGTATTTGAAGTGCGCCTTCTGGGCGTCAAAGTCGATGTTGTCGCTGGCATTGTCAAAGTACGTGATACTGGGCACCCAAACGCCAGCGGGCGGGACGCGGGGAGATTGTGTCTCAGAGCCCATCTTGAGTGTGTGAGAGTAGCAAAGAAATGAAGCGAGTGAGTTGCTCGGGGTTGAGTTTGACCACTTTGGTCTGTAGTATCGCAAGATGTACGCTTCTTCTCTTGCTCGGAGGTCTACCGAGCTGTGCGCGGGGCAGGGGCAGCGACTCGGACACGCAGTTGTGGGGAGGAGACGGAGATGGGGACGATGGCCGGACTCGGAGCTGCCGTTGTCGGCGTGTCAAGGCGGAGAATCAGGATTCAGTACTTCTGCTGACCGTTGTTGCTGATTTGTTGATACGAGGATTCATTCATGTTCGGGACTGCACCCGAAGAGGAAGAGGGGCGTGTCCGAGCCTCCGAGTGTCGGTCGGCTTTATGTACATGTAGATGCTGCATGTACGGATACAGTCCCAGCCTCTCATTTACTCTTCATAGTGGCAACTTTTGGATTATTCCACTGCCAACGCTTGATCCTTTTCACGCCACTCTCCAGTACGTCGAGCATCCATTCACCCACGAGTGGCACCATCTTGAACCCTTGGCCCGAGTCACCAGAAAGCAGGATCACTGACTTGTGCGGCTCCGGTTCGTACTGTTTGATGAAACTTACTATCCGCGAACCAGCACACCGACTCATTCATAAAGGGATGATATGGATGTTCAGGTCATGCCTGGCTCAGCAGGCTCCTGAGCTATATCTCGTCATCTTGTGGCATAGATTCATTCTCCCGGAAGCGAGCCTCAGTCCCATGGATATTACGTAGGTGACATTGTACATCAAAGGATGCAGTGTAAATTCGGAAAGTGGTATACAATATGACAGCAATGGCATCGTCAAGGACATTTCTTTCCGCAGTAACGCATCTGACAGAATTGAGTGTTACTTGGCTGACCCATCATATGAGCCTCAACGCATTCATCTACATGTTGCTCGGATACGTGAAACCAGTTGCCGGGGAAAACTCCTCCTTAATCAACCTTGGACTCGTGAATCTCCTCAGAACATCCGAGCTCCCTGCTTTGTCGTTTGTACCGCTCCCCCGAGCACCTCCAAATGACTGCTGTCCGATGACAGCAGCGGTTGTCTTGCAATCTGGCCCCTGTCAGCATCGACTTCAAGCCGCACGAAAAGAATATGCGTTGTAATTACTGATGTAGAAATTGCCCGCCGAATACCGCAAAGCATCTTCAGCTTCGCGAATTGCTGTGCGAGAGTTGGCGAAGACGGCACCGGTCAATGCCAAGCCACCACCTGCTTGATCGACCTTCTTCAGCACAGCGGAGTACTCGTGATCGGGATACACGTAGACTGCCAACACGGGTCCAAAGATCTCTTGGTTGAACAGCTCATGGTCCGGCGACTCAGCCTGATACACGGTGGGATGGACATAGTACCCAACTGATCCATCGTACGTCCCACCAGCGATCAGCTTCAAGGACGGATCCTTGTTCGATGCGTCAATGATGTTCTTGATCTTGTCGAAGGAATGTTTGTGAATAACAGGCCCCATGAAAGCGGAGAGATCCTTGTCTGGACTGCCCATGGTGATCTGTTTGACTTTGCTCTGGAGGCTCGAGATGTACTCTTTTTCCAAGCTCGCAGGAATGTACACACGCGAGGTTGCAGAGCACTTTTGTCCCTGATACTCGAACGCACCGCGTATCGTGTGATTTACTGCACTGGATACATCGGCTGTTGGGTGCAGAAGCTGGAAATTCTTGCCACTAGTCTCACCAACAACACGAGGAAACTCGCGGTAGCGCTTCTCGGCGATACCCTGACCTACTTTGCCATAGATGCTTCTGAAAACGTCGCTTGATCCGATAAAGTTCAGACCTGCAAAGTCACGATGCTGGAGCACCTGCTCTGTAATTTTGACGGCGTCGCCGGGGATGAATTGAACCACGTTGGGGGGGAGGCCGGCTTCGATGAGGATGTTGTAAATCATCGTGCTGGGGTAGATATTGTACTGAGAGGGCTTCCATAGAACCACGTTCCCCATCAGGGCAGGGCCACTGATGAGGCTGCCGCCCAGCGCGGTGAAGTTGAAGGGCGAGACGGCGTAGACGAAGCCCTCTAGGGGCCGATAATCCATGCGCGACCACACCCCGTCCGCGCCCCTGCTGGGCTGCCTCGACAGCAGCTCGGCGGCATAATTGGTGTTGAGCCGGAAGAAATCAGCCAGCTCGGCGGCGGCGTCGATCTCCGCCTGCCAGATGTTTTTGCCCTGTCCCAGCATCGTCGCAGCGATTATGTCGTGGCGATACTTGCCAGTGACGAGCTCTGCTGCGCGCAGGAAGATGGCGGCACGGTCGACAAAGGGGGTATCTTGCCACGCCTGCTTAGCAGCGAGAGCTGCATCAATGGCCTCGGCGACTTGATGCTCGGTGCTGAGGGGGTAGTGTGTGAAGACGGTGGCGTGCTCAGACGGCATGACCTGGGCCTCGGAGGCATGAATCTTCTGAGTGGTGTTATTGTACATGATGGAGCTGCGTAACGGGAGCTGTGACCTGAGGCGCTTCAAGGATTTCTCAACAGCTGCTCTTTCTGGAGACCCTGGCCTGTATTGCGGCTGCTACACGTCAGTGGCTGAAGGTGATGCTGGGTGGGAAAGGAGCGGCATACGTTGGGTTCATTGCGAGGGTTTGGGAGGCGGAAAGGAACAGTCGCATTGTAACGACACTGTTGAGATGATACAGAGACAGACACAACAGCTGCTGTTCTAAGAGTGACAACTCGGGCAGACAGTTTGAAAGGACCTGTCTGCAGAAGGGAAATTGACGCTGCACGCGTGAAAGCCATTGCCGCAGTGAGCAAGGAAAGATATTCTGGAAGACTCTGTATGTCGAAAACGGATGGGATCTGGTCTCGAGTACTGATTTCTAGATATCTGATTTAGACATTATTTCTATACACTTTGACGAAATACTTCAAGAAGTCCGGTCACGGACGCTTTGCATGCGAACATCATCAGCGTATAAGTCAGATCAGACCCCACACCGGGAGGCCTTCCGATGTCCATCGGTGTAAAGCGGTGTGCATTCCGACGGTTAGAAGGGACTCGTAATGTATCCAAAAGTACGTAATGTTCCCGAGAATAGAATTTTTAATCGACCGGAGAGGTCGTGAGGAAATCGGTTGCTGAGAGTGGTTCTTGCGTCGAGGCAACCGACTAGATGATTTGGGGCCAAGCCAGCTACGTCGTGCCAGCGAAGCTACGTACCAACAACTCAACTAACAATGTGAGCTGAATTAACTTGCACAAGATGGTGAATGTAATGATTTAATAAAGCTGCAATCGGGTTCTCCAAGCGGAATTTCAATGACAATTGGCGCATTGAGTATCTCCTATGCAGCAACACTGACCAAACCAACTCTCGGACTTGACACAACCCGAAATGCAGTGGTATTGGAGCGTACGTGAACATGAAGAAAATTAAGAAAAAGACGTCACGGTTCACAGGGGCTCATTGAGTAAGACTAACAATGTTCCCCGTAGGCCAAGAGTGGCATTGCTTCTACACGAATAAGACCAAGTAATACAAACGACATCTCTCCCGTCTGCATGGCGATTGAATTCTGCAAATAATTCCATGGAGCCCTATACTTCTCTGTCTCATGCCCATATAAATCCCCTAAGCCTTCTGCTCAATTCTCCTCTCAGAGCGCGGTATTCATCCACCGTCCTCCCTGCTGCATCCTTGTTCTCCCGGGCACGCCTCATCAAATAGCCAATGCACTCTCCCATGCTTCCCCACGTGGAACACTTGTAAACGTTCGCGCCCTCTTTCCTCAGAAGCTCAAAGCTCACCCGGTCCGCCATGCCATGCAGCTGTGCAAAAGCAACGGGGACAGTGGGCTGACCCATTGCCAGACGGGACGCATGCAGTTCGTGCGCCATGGTAACAGATTGCACGTTGTGTCCCGCAAGAAGAAGGTTCAGGGAAGGAAACGGTTTGGTTGTGCCATACGGTCCGAATTTCTTGGAGATAGCACCCAGAGCAATCGAATTGTACGCGTGGTCCGTGTCGTCCTTGGTGTCGTGGATGATAGATCTAGGCTCGGTAGCCATGTAAGCACCCCTGACCAGCTTCAGACCCAAGGTGAAGCCTTCCTCTTGTGCGGCTGCGAGATGGGATTCGACGAGCTTTGGTGTGCTTTTGAGATAGGCTTGGTACGTGTTATAAATGACCGCGTAGCCGTCTGTATTGAACAACCGCATCATGTCGAGAGCCGTCGCTGCAATACCGTCTTGGAACCGTTGGGACTCGGCGTCGATCATGATTTGCACCCCCTTGGACTTGCATTTCTGGCACAGCTTGGTCAGGGCGTCAAACATCTGTGGGGGCAGCGGCTTGCTCTGAGTGAAGGCTTCAGTGACACGTGGTCCGGCCCCAGTCAGTCTGTTCTCTCATCAGTAGACGTCTTGGGGTTTGGCAGTGCTCAATGGATGAACATACTTGATCGCCAGCTGGTCCCCCTCGCCAAGCATGTCCAATGTCTCCAGCGTTCCCTTTCGCCAGAACTCTATGCCCTCGCATCTTTCGGTGTCTTTTCTAGACTGCACCTCCGCTCCTTGCTCTGCCTTCTTGTTCTCATCAAAGACGATTTCCTTGGCATAGGTCAAGATGGTCCCTCGGAAGCCCAGACCTCTCATCTCACGTAGTGTCTGGCGAACTTCCGCACCATCTTCACCCGTGCAGAACTGATTGTAGAGCGTCTTCTTGAGGATCCAGCCCAGTGGCTTATTGCGTTCAACATTGAGAAGGGGTGACTTCGAGTTTGTGAGAAGTGTCAAGAACGAGATGCTTGGCGTGAGAAGATAAGGCTTCGAGCAGATGAAGCTGATCAACAGGGACCGCAGCAGTGCTTTGCGTGACAGCACTGCGAGTGGAGGAAGTGTCGACTTGGACGGCTCGATCAACTTGGTCACCGTCGTAGTCTCGTAAGGGCGAGCTGTGGTTGTGAGAAAGCGTGGGCTACGCAGTGCCAATGGCGCAAACAAGCCAGTCACCGAGCTGATCGACCTAGTCGTTGACATGATGCACCGTGCCGACAGTCTTCAGTAAATTTCTTTGAGTTCTCAATCTGGAGGCAAAGCGCATCCCTGAGGCGCTCTTGTATTCACGGTGTTCACCCATCAATGACAAAGAGGGGACCAGCTTGCCTTGCATTCCATCCATCCCACATTCAATGCTGCTGCTGCCATGCCCTTCGCATTGCCGCATTTCCATTACCCTATCGTGCCACCGGCTTCGCGTCCGACAAGTTGCCGTTCGGTCTCAATTGGTCTGTGTTGTCTGAGATAAGGTCTGGACCCTTTGCGAAGTCTGACCGCTGATAAGGAGGGGTCGGGTCAGATGACATCCTCAATGCATCACGAACTGCGGAGTTGGGCTGTCCCCGGCGTGTGGCCATTGATAGAAAGTCTAATTTGTGAGAGAGACAGCGGAGATAAGTAGCGGATCGCCACGTCGGGCGCCTGGGGAAGATGGTGTCGGAAGGCCTCCTGGTGTTGTGTACGTGAGGCCGATGCCGGGACGGTCACATTCCCGCTGCCGTTCACACGTGGCTGTGGACATGCAATGCCACCTCATTTATACTGATACCATGCAAGCAGGGGCCGTGGCATCTGTCGCTGCTTAATCACTGCTGTCGGGCGGACGGACCATTCAGCTGCGAGGAGGTGTGGACGGCGGTGAGCCAGATGGTCTCGCGCTGATGGATCATGATGGGCAACACATATCAGTAGGCGAAGCAGTGTGGAAGCAGGAAACAGTCATGGTGAGGAAGATGGTTTATTGTCTCAATGAAAGGTGTGGGTAATCTTGTTAAACTCCGCCGTGCTTCTTGATCATTACTCAAATGCCATGTTGATCCATCAGACTTTCGACAGCCACCAGAACCAAGTCCGGTCGAGCCGTCTGTCGCACCCAGTACTTTTTGCCCTGCTCGCTTCTTGCCAGCTTCATCGCGCTGCTGTTCTCGAGCTTCTTGTCGATGGCCGAACCGTCCCCAGAGAGATGTACAATGTTACTTCGCCTTGTCTGTCCAATTCTGTGGCATCATCCCGCAATTTGCTCACGTATCCCGGGCGACTTCTTGATCAATTCCAGGAATCTGACATGTTGAGACACCACAATGATCTTTTCGTTGGGCCGCGCGGTCTTGATCTGCTTGATTGCGTCCAGAGTTGCGATCCTCCGATATCCGCTAGGGCGCGAGGGATCTGTCCTAGCATGACCATCAAGCGGCCGTTCGCGGCAGGATTGTCGTGGGCTTCGAAAAGAATGGCTGGCATAACGCCGGCCACCTTCTGGGCAGCAGCGAAGAACCTGTGACCACGCGTCGCATTCTCCGTCTGGGAGGCGGATTCCTCTGCCTTCTTCATGCATGTCTCCGCTCTTTCGACGAGCCATGCAATCAGGAATGGCTCACACTCCATGCCGTTCATGCCGAAAGGGGAAGTCACCTCGGTCAGACCGGGAAGCGACACGAGGGTCTTCTCACGAGCGACGACCAGGTTCGCGACCAGTGGCCGCAGAAGGTGCTTCTGAAGCTCCCCCCTGTTGCCCCTCCCCGTCTGGTTATAGAACAGGGAGTTGAAGTGCTCCAGTCCGTCGATGAGACCGAGGATCTTCAGCTGGCCGGCCCAGTCCCTGTCCGAGTTGGACTCTGGGGTGGCTGTCGCGAGGATGGCCTTGCTGAATCGAAGGTTGCAAAGACTTTCGTTCAAGACAGACTCCTCGTTCTTCGCGTCGTGAGACTCATCCAGCACGAGGACGCTTAGCTGCAGCAAGCTGTTGCCATGGCACTCTCCGTCCTCAAGGAACGGGAGGGGAGAGTGCGCCCGCTGCAGCAGCGTCTCTCGTGGCTTGCGGAACACTGTCGTACCCTGGGTTTTGCCTCTCGTGTTTACTGCGACTCCAGAGTGTACTCGGAGATGTTGGTCGCGTCGAGTACAAGGCACTTGGAAACCCACCCTGAAATGTTAGCCAAGCGTTCACAGAAGCCGCAATTCTGATATACCAAAGTGGTGTCCTCCCAAACTCTGGGGGTTTCCAAGTGCCATGTGAAATTCCTTGCGGAAGATCTTGATCTTGTCGATCTCGGTCCGTGAAGGACGAGGTTGTCTGAGTTGAGGAGCCACAGAAAAGAGACATTGTAATTTGTAAAGGATGCTTTTGGCGAGGTGTTGAGAGCTGGCTGGCCGGGAGAGAAGATGCATATATATAGGCAGAAAAATGTGGAATGAAAAGGTTCAGAATCTCGGAGTGTGTGCAGAACAGGTTTCTTTGCCCTCATCTGAATTAATATCGTGAATTCTGAGGCCCAAAGTGATCTGTTAGACTAGGAGTGGGTGATACGTGACTCTCACCTGATGTTTATTCACTCTCCATAACGCCATTGTCACAGCAGACCGCGTTTATTTGCTTACTTTGATCTTTCTATTGTGCTCCGAGTGATTCTTTGGGTTACACAGCAGAGCCTAAGTCAAGGCGTTATCTTCTCTGCCTATCCTCCGAACCAGTAGAGTTGGAGCAGCAAGTCTCGGGACTCCGCCCCTACGAGTGATAGTTACACCGTGAGTCACCCAGGAAGCCTAGATTCACGCAAAAATGGGCCGGATCTGTTCTGGGCGGCGTTGGTGCCTGGCTGTGTGAAACAAGCCCAATTCCTAGTGGAGCCTCTCGGTAGACCAGATGATGAGCGGTGAAGTTGAAGAGAATTCTTCGAGAGAATAGCTTCTAAGATAGGCAGAGGTGAGATCAAAACTGAAAAATACAACAGGAGAACAAGACAATCGCAGACATGGATAAGTATTGATCATGATGGCCTTTCATAGATCTGTCAAGCCCTCAGGTAAACGACTTGATTGTAGCCACCTTCACATCCTCAAGCCTTCATCCCGCCTCATTAAATCGAAAACTTGATAGAGCCCCATGTTTCAGTGCATGAATCCGTTGGTGAACAGAATCAGCTTACTAATACGGCGTGGCCGCGCAAATCCTTCTGCGCAACCAACGAGCATTCGTGGAGTCTCTTGCCCTGCTGGTGCTGGTTGCTTGCCAATGCAATCAGTACATCTCGCGTGCGCCGACTTCGTGTTGATTCTGGCCCGCGAAACCCTCAAAATTGAGGGCTCTATTCCAGCCCCAGAGATCATCACGATTACTCAAAGACACTTGGATTCGAGTCGTCCGTGAATCCGAAGATAGGCCAGAAACTCACCGAAAACACGTAGACCTCGTTTGGAATGACTGGTATCTACATACGTCAGTAGTATTCACGCTTAAGTTCAATATAGCTGGGATTGGCGATTCGCGTGTGAACTTGATGTTTTGTTTTCTTTCCCCTTTTTTTATGTGCTCTTCAATCTGCAATGTGTTGGAAAGGGCGCCTTCACCATTCTTCGGAGCATACTAGACAGCTTTTCTCGGTCAAAATAAAAGACCTCTCTGTGATTCACCCGAGGATCAAATGAAGTAACCCAGATTCTTGACAACTAACGATTTGGATACTTCATGTTTTTGTACATGGACAACTTGGACTTAGAGTTGGACCCATTGAAGTCTGGTTCTGACAACCCTAGACCTTCAATTTCCCCCGCGTACTCCACAAGGTACCGTCGATCGCACGCCACAGTTCAAACACCCCTCACAGTCGATCGTCGCGGGTAAGTCTGCTTCATTCGGCATGCACGAACAATAGCGCTCTGTTTGTCTTGCGCACAGGCATGTCGCCCTCGGCGTCTTCTGCGCAGCGCGCCGCCAGATCCGCGCGTCGAAACCGCGTTTCTCAACGCACCTGCAATGCGTACGTGAACTCCTAGTACCGCACATTAGCAGATCGGGACGGGAGTTGACCACAGGAAGATGCGTTCGATGCCGGCGGCAGAAGATCAAATGCTCCGGCTCACAGCCGTGTGAGGCATGCAAGAAACGAAACCTTGCGTGCGAGCTTGATGAGCGAGATCAGAAAGTCCTCGTAACCAAAGGGTATGTTGAGTTCTTGGGCGTACATGCAGACGTGACATCTGATAAACGAGCTGACTCGTTGCCGTTGCAGTTTCATCAGCGACCTCCAGGAGCAAGCTCGTCATCGATCGCGGGACAACCCAGTCTTCCAGCAAGACGATGATGAACCTGTCTTGCCAGCCACGGATCATCAACGAAGCCAGCTATTGTGGCCACGTATCGCCAGAAGAAACGAGAGACGTCGAAGGGGTACTGATGCAAACGCTCTAGTCTCGCCAAGAAGGCCGGAGGAGGATGAATCCAGAGCGACAGAGTCCGCTGACGAGTCGCGTGCCTCGTTGGCGCGGCTTGATCCGGTGGCTGCGCAGTTGAAAAACCCTCTGACGGCCGGTCAAGCATCTTTCATGAAATCAAGTGATGGCCATGCTTGTAAGTTGCGCTGTCGGTTTGGAGTATACAACACCCGAACAACGTTGCTGACACTCGCACCTTAGTTCACCTCGGCTCTTCCTCGAATTGGTCTTTCACAAGGAGAGTCCTGAATATGGCACACGAATACGTCCACCATAGCCCTGTGGCGCCTGATCATTTACTGTTTGATGGTCAGACCTACAACTTGCCTTGGGATGGGTCGCGCGTTTCTGTACCATCAGACGTGCCAGTGCTTCCGAGCTTGGATCATGCCTTGTTCTTGATCAACGCTGTCAAGTTCCATTGCGCCCAGCCTTTCCACATGTTTGACGAAGACTCCTTCATGGAATCATTGTATGCATTCTATGCTGACCCGGAGCCCCAAATTGCCAGTGGCAGCTTGTTCTATGTCCATTTACTGTTGGTCATGGCCTTTGGCAAAAGCGTCGGAGGACAGTCTAGTCGCCACGGCAAACCACCTGGGTGCGACTTCTTCGTCAAGGCTCTCCAGCTTCTACCAGATGTCCACGTTTTGTGTCGGTTTCCCATCATATCAGCCGAGATCTTGTGCTGCATTGCGCTTTACTATCAGAGCTTGGACTTTCGCCACTGCGCACACAACTTTGTAAGGCGCCTCACCCCCCTCCCCGATGCCATATCTAGCTAACGTAGATGTGGATTGGTCAAGCGCTGCGTCTGGCGCTGAACAATGGCATGCATCTCAACATGCCCATTGAGCAACTGGGACTCCCCCACGTCGAGCGCTGTCGTCGGATATTCTGGACCATATACGTCCTCGATCGTGAGATGACTTCGCTCATGGGACTACCGCATTCCATCAACGACGATGATGTACGTGCAGAGTTGCCCAGCTTCGGGGGCTCAATGCAACGGGTGTCGGCCCTGCGGATGCAGATCAAGTTGTCGCATACGATTGCTTCCATTGGCCGGGGTAAGATGAAACTTAACATGTGGCTCGGTGAGAAATGCTAAGCGGTCTCACAGAAGTGTATGGAGTCGATGGCCGACTGAACAAGAATTTCCTGTCTAGCACGAGGTCAGTGCTGGCAACATTGGCCGGGCAGGCCGACGAGCTGCGAGAGACCTTCCCCTTGCCACTCGAGAAGGGCAGCGTACAAGGCATATCGAGAATTTCTGCGTATCTTCACTCGCTGTATCACCAGGTACGAACTGTTTGGGGCGAGAATGAAGAGTCGGACTGACAAACCCGCACCAGTGCATCGTTCTAGCGACGCGCCCTCTTTTGATATGCTTTCAGAGAATCCGATGCGAGTCGCCGGAGGCGTACCCTGGCATGATTGAATCCTCCGCCACAGTTGCCAACCTCATCAAGCTCTGTGTCGAGTCTTCCCAACAGATGATCGGTATTCTGGCCTGCCTTGAAGGGCAAGCGCTTCTAGGTACGTATGCTTTGCCGACCAGTGACTCGGATACGGCTTGCTAACATCAAACTAGAAAAGTTCCTGCCCCACGATCTCGAGACGCTTTTTGTTGCCACGGTGAATCTGATCCTTGGTCCATGGCTCGATCCGTCACTGAGGGAAGCCTCACAGCCGTGGCTGGTGAAAGCTTATGAGTTGTTCTCGGAGATTACGCAGAGTGGCAATCTGGTCGCGCGGCTGCGCTGGTCGGAGCTCCAGCAGCTGGCTGCCATATTAGGCGTTGCATGGCCATCCCAGGGCCAGCCGCCTTTTGCACCGTCGTCCAGTGATGGGCTGCATCTTGAAGTGAACCAAGGGACAGACTCCCCGAACCCAGCCACTGGTCTGAATGTGCGACAATCTGGGCCCGAGCGCGCATGTGGCATGGATCCCAACGACGCCAGCAACAACGCTCTTGCTTCCCCGTCGATGGGTCACATGGACGAGCAGGATCTGTGGGAAGGAGGGCTTACAGCAGAGCAGATGCTTGACCTGGCCAACTCGATTGGCCACACGGAGACGGAGTGGATGCATCATGCTATGACAGAACACAGCATCTGGTGATGTTGCGGTGACTCTGGATGATACTGGAGTTGTCACCAAACATGTTTGGCGTTTACCCTTGAACCAGCGTGACAAGCTGGCAATCGACGTGCCAAATCAATGGTCATCAATGCATTCTTGCCGATTGGCTTGTTGCATCGTTCACACTGCAGTTACATGGGTACAGTCTTGGCTCGGGTCCACCTCGACAGGATCATCGTCACAGGTTGGCTCCAATGTAAATACGAAGATGTTGGACGGAAGCTTGCGCTCCGTCTGGCAATACTTCGACAACCACTGTCGAGGGAAGGCCAGAGCACTGATTCGCTATCACTACGCGCACAAGGGCGCTTCGCATATGTCAGGTCGGAAAGGCCCCGATGCCATCCATACCATCTAATGACATGAAGTGCGAGGCCTTCTCAGGGCAACGAGGACCGTCTTCCCGCCAGCCCATGAGAACGTTACACTAGGCTTGGTGTCTCTAAGTGAGATGCATTCGAAGTATCAAAACGCGCCTTCAAATCAACCTGTACAGCACAGGGCAAACTCCATCCAGCGCATAAAACACGTTTGAGGTTCATGGAGACAATCGCCACTGGCAGGGCTACATTGAAACTACTGCTCCACGTCAGTTAATTACGCCCTGCCTCGCATAGGTCCTGGTTCTCGAAACCCGCCTTCCTCGTGTTGGAAGTGACCCGCTGTTTGAATGCTACGGCCCGCTGCCCGACCGGCACTACGAAACATGACGGGTTCACGTAATATATGTGAGGTCTTGGCTGGACGACTACGACCAAACTCGTGTCAATTGTGGTTGCGAACTGATATTGCACCCCGCAATGTCGAGTTTGGTGCGAACAGTTGCAGTTGGGCCTCTCCTGAAGAACTTATAACGGGTTCAACAACCGCTCGCTAGCCACAGCCTTATGTGCGCCACTCAAACATATCCAACTCCCCATCATGGATTTCAAACGCTCCCATATACAAAACTTCACCCTCGACACAGAGGTAGAACACCACTGGGGCTATGCAGATCGTCAAACTCCATGCCTCACGGACCCCGGGTCCTGTGAGTACCTTGACGCCGTCTACGGCGCTCATGATCGCGGGATGATATACGTTGGCGTGCTATGGCTCACTATTGCGGCTGTGTTGAGTGTTTGGGGCTTCGGACGGCTGTTTTGGCCCAAAGGTAGCCCCGAGCAAGGCGGACTAGCCCGTCTGTCCCGGGCGGCGTCGTCGACGTCGCGAACCTCCTCACCGACTGCTGGCGACCAATCTTCGGAAGAACGACAAGACTTCAGGTGCTCATACTGGCCACACTCACGGCCTACTTGACTGTCTGGTCATTCTTCGGTATCACTTACAAGCACTGGATCACGCCGGTTCAAGATCACCCTGGCGTTCACAACACCAGGTCAGGTCTCGGTCCTTGGTCAGACAGAGTCGGTGTGCTGGCATACGCCTTGACGCCACTTTCTGTTCTCCTAGGCAGTCGAGAATCACTCCTCAGCCTGATCACCGGTGTTCCATACCAGCACTTCAACTTTCTGCATCGCTGGCTCGGATACATCATTGTGGTCCAGGGGGTACTGCACACCATTGGCTGGTGTATCATTGAGATCAGACTCTATCAACCCCAGCCGGATGTCGCAGCCGAATGGATCGTACAACTCTATATGATCTGGGGGCTTGTTGCGATGACCATATTGCTGCTGCTTTACATACTAACACTACCCTTTGTCATACGCCGAACTGGATACGAGTTCTTCCGCAAGTCACACTATGTCCTCGCCATGGTGTACTGCGGCGCTTGCATCGGTCACTGGAAGTAGCTGCACTGCTTTCTGACTCCCTCCATCATCCTCTGGGGTCTGGATCGATGTGTTCGGCTTCTTCGAACGTGGCTCATCCACCGCAAAGCTATCAACGACAAGGGCGGTCTGTTCAACCCAGCACAAGCCTCCGTCACACGATTCCCAGATCACAATGACGGCGACATTGTTCGTTTGGACTTGAAGCACCCCCATAAGCCCTGGAGCATTGGTCAACATTTTTATCTATGCTTCACGGATGGCAGTATCTGGCAGTCGCATCCATTCACACCCCTGAACCTCCCCGAGCAAGCCGCTGACGGCACGACGCAACACTCGTACATTTTCCGTGCCAAGGGAGGCGAGACGAAAAAAGTGGCGGAGATGCTAGCCGAGACAAAAAGGTCTACCACGGGCGTCATCCTCACAGGCCCATACGGGGCGAACATCACACGCTCGCTGACCTCGACCGACAACGTCCTTTGTATCGCCGGTGGTACAGGAATCACCTACGTTCTTCCTGTCATCATGGACATTTCCCGTCGCCCTGTTGCCAATCGCAAGGTCGAACTTGTCTGGCTGGTGCGCTACCGCACTGACATTGACTGGATCAAGCCGGAGCTCGACGTCCTCGAGGGGCAGGACAATGGTACCGAGCTCAAAATTCACATCTTCACCACCCGCGACACTATTGATGATGCCGACGGGCCCTTAACTCCCTTGTCAGACGACAGAGGTTCGGCAAATGACGACGAGAAGAAGTCATCGTCATCGCCGCGCCAACAGAAACTCGTCACGATCCGCCCCGGCACAGCAGCGGCAACGGCAGGCAACAGCTGCCATCCTGACGTCAAGCCCATTGTACAGCACTTTGTCCACAGGACTGTCTCAGGACCAACTAAAGTATATAGCAGTGGACCAGGAAGGATGATGTCTGGATTGAGAGAAGCCATTGCTGGGCTGAACTCGGGGACAAGGGTGTGGAAAGGTCAGCAGCGGCACGACGTGTCCTTGGAGTGTGACGAACGGCTAGAGTACTGAATGTGGCTTAAATGAAATGGGAGAGTAAGAATCAGAATAGTGTGCCGTTTCGAACATGGTCTTGAATCATTACGCGAGCAGATATTCCGGCTCCTATAAACCCCCTCTCTACACTCAGGGGTTGATCCCCGCGGCTAGAAAAAAGTCCAATTCGGAGCCCCCGGCACCGTTGTTGATCCTTTGCTCATTCTCCGCCAGCTGTTCCAGTAAGCTAAGGAAAGGATCCTTCTCATCGCCCTGGCCGGTAGCAATGCTGCCGCTGTTGCTCCCGTTCTCTGGACTGGGCGCCGCAGGCTTGCCCGAGGTCGCCAGCTGACCCACCCTGGTCTGGCCATCTTCATTGTGCCATGCAGCTGGACTGCTAAATGCGTTTGTTGGAAGAGTTCCAAACATGGGGTCGAAGCTTGCAGAATCGCCCATCATGTTGGATTCTTGTGCGGTGGGGGTCGCACCAAAGCTGAAGCCTGGGTTGAAGCCCGCCTGTTTCGAGATGCCTTGACCACCAGTACTTTGCTGATTCGAGATGGCAAAATCAGTGGCACTAATGCGGTTGCTGTTGCTCAACCCACTCTCGCCAAAGCCTGCCATTCGTTGGTGGTGCCCAGACTGGTGGTGATGCGAAAAGCTCTGCAGGCCGACGGATGCGTCTGCAAGGGGCGCAAAGCCTCCTTGGTTTGCGACTGAATGACGAGATTGCGTGGGACTTGTCAAAGCATCAGTTGGTGCTGTTTCCAATGCGGGCATTGTGTTGAGATCCGGGCGACTCCTTGAGGATGAAGCTGTGCTCTTTCTCTTCAGGCTGGGCCTGCTTCCTTCAGCTCGGGGGGCGAAGAGATCGGATCCCGAGTATGCATCGATAGTAAAATCAATGACCGCGTCTGAGAGGCTCAGATTGGCAGGATCAAATTGGAAGCTCTGACCATTGGGTCCCATGATATTAGCATAGCGTTCGAAAAAGTCCTCCAAGTGAAAGGATGGCGTGTATCTCATCCTGTTGCCAGCCAATGTCTTGACAAGTTCACCATGGGCGGTGTACATCCCCTGCAGAGTCTCGCGATGATGCTGCACACATGCCCACGCATATCGCAATTCACTTAGATGTTGTAGTTCTCGGGAGAGAAAATGTGGCGATGAGCTGAAGACGCTCATTTCTGTGACTGCGCCCTGTTTCGAGTAATGAGCTCCGTGGATATGCACCGTGCCTGCCGTGCAGATGCAGTATCCAACAAATGCAGGCCATTCAATGGTGTTGGCCTGTTTACCCAGCTCTATCAGCTCAGCAATGGCATTCGCGTGCAGAAAGCACATGTTGGTCGCCTCGATCTGCCACGATTCGTGCTGGCCGCTTCCAGCGAGCTCGGCCAAGTCAATGGGCAGAAAAGGTCGATAGATGAGGCAGTGCACTAGGTGGTAGATGAGCTTGCTCAATACTAAAACAGTAGAGTCGCTCTGCCCGAAGAGGGCCTCAAGACTGGAGAAGACGTCGTCGGTCCCTGAAGCCCAGGTGTCTAGATCCTGGCGAATCTTTGACAGGTTCGAGAGCGAGTGCCAGGGGAAGTGGGAATCTCCCCTCACGCCGCCCGCCGCTAGGTATCGATTTGTCGTACCCAGGATCCTCGTAATGTCAATGAGCATGCCAGTACTTCCCTGTGACTTTCGCCCGGTTCCCTGAAAGTGCTGCAGGTTTGAACCGGCCTGGAAGAACTCGCCATCAATGAACCCTGTCCCAGGGCCCAGTGACCAGGCTGGCAATCGAAGCATGACAGTCTTGTCGCTGATTAAAGACGGCCGCTTGGAGCCACAGGCGGCAAAACGGTCCAGCAAGTAACAACTCCAAAACAAACGGCGCCGGAGTTCTTTCTCGGGTGGGGAAATACCCGCATGATCTACTTCCCGGTGTATTTCAAGTGCCATTGCCATACCGATTGCCGTCGTCAGGAGCATGTAAGCTCTCTTGCCTTTGCCCGAAGCGATGAAGGATGTGACGAGCAAGAGCATCGTTTGGAGACCATCAAGGGTCGGATCTTCCGTATCCACAGCACGTCTTGCGCATGTAGCAAACTCTTCGCTCAGATCGACAGCGGCCTGATATCCACCAGGATGCGGTGTATACTTTGAAGCAACAGCAAATATCGCGTGCTGCAGAAACCCTGGTAATTGACCGAGCTGCATTCGCTGTCTAGTTGCGGATTCGTCGAGTATGTGGTAGGGTTTTGCATGGAATCGAGAAAAGTATGTGTCAAGATAGATCTCAGGGCCTAGGGAAGGCGACTTGGTGTCACTGAGCGGCGTAAGCGGAATGTGGCTTTCCAAGGATTCAATATCGTACCTTTCTGGCTTTGCGCATTGACCACTACCGAGGAACTGCCCTTCCTGCGGTGAGTTTCTGTTCTCGCTCGCTTGGCGCTTCGCTGGCGGTTCTTTTGTAGCTTCTTCATTCTCCTCCCTTGCCTTCTTTTCGCCAGAGTCCCCTGAGGTCGAACTGGGATCTTGTTCGGCGTTCTTTTCCCTCAATTTCGCCTCCAAGCCGTCGACACGCTTCAGGAGAGCGTCGAGCACGTCGGTCTTGGGTCCCCTTTTCTTCGGTATGGCGTCTTGATGGATGTCAGCGAGTGTTGCGCAGGAGCACGCAGGAGCGATTGGTCAAACGTACCATATATGCAAGGGCATTGGAAAACTTGGCAGGCTTCACAAGTGGGCCTCAGTCGATTGCACTTGATCTTTCGTTTTCTGCATGATTTGCAGTTCATTGACTCTCTAGGCTCGTTGCTCATCCTGCGTGTCGGAAGCCGCTCGATGCCAACTTGAGGCCGAGAAGCAGCCAGTCCCGTGTGTGGTCCAGAAATCTGGCCTGATCCCCCCGATCCTTCATACATGGAGACGCTCATCTCTTGAGCGACATGAGCGGATATGTATGGTGAGCTTCGTCCGGTGTGCCAAGTGAAGTGAATGGTGGTCCGTTGCTCCTAGATGTCGGCGTGAGACTCGTTTCATCGATTGCAAGCAGAGTATCCGGTTAGGTAGGCGAGGAGAGTGTCGGCTTTGGTAGTTTGTCAAGCCGCGGAACTCATTCTGAGCGGTAAACTCGGTGCGCGGTCGTTGCTGTGAATCATCGGCCGCTAGGCAGGTTGAGGGGAAGGGTCTTTGTTTGATACTTAGGAGGGATCCGTCTTGGAAGTCCGCTCCAAGTTGAGGCGTCTTGTGGACAAAGAGTCGTCAGGAAACCAGCAAACCGCAAGGCAGGCGGTCTCTCGGTAGTCGATGGGCGCGCAACGGAGGGACGGCTGAAGAACGTGGAGAGTGTGGAGGGCAAAGATGGGGAAGATGATGAGGGTTCGTTCGGACAGGGTGAGCGCTCGCACTTGCAGTGGACATAAAAATGCATGCAGGCGGTTCGTGGCTCCTACCCCATGTTCCGATATCACTCTTGCAGCTTGCCCGTACCTCCCCCACTTTTCGAGCAGGGTAAGGAAGGACCACCCTGCACCGCTTCGCGAATTCCTTGCTCATCACCTGCCTAGTAATCGATACACCAATGTGTTCTTGCGGCAGCTGATGTTCAGCCTCAGCGTAGTAAGGAGGCAAGCAGCCCGCGGTTCAAACTGCATCCAGCTTGCGTGCAATATCATGTTGCCAATGGCACCAATGACTAGGTAGATGTTTTCATGCCCGGGCAATGTATGCACAGATACACAGTCTAAACACTCAATTAAACTTAAATTTCCTGGGGATGCGGAGACGGGGTTAGCGTGTATATCTCCTTGAGGAACCTGAAGGTGAGATCGACCAGGGATCAACTGAGCGTCATCAGGCCTGCGCGGAATCTGAGTCTCGCAAGCTTTTCCCAGACCACACGTCTCGTCTAGGACAATGACATCTCCTAGCGGACGGCCGACAGCGCTTCAAAGGCGGCCTAAAAGAGGGCGATGAGATATGCCTGGTGATGTTCTGGATCGACTAAAGCTGCAAAACAAGCGTGGCTGTTTCACAACGAAACAAGTCCATGTTCTTCAGTAAATAACCACTAGAAGTCACTACTGATTCTTTATGATCACGATGGACGCACACTCAAATTGAAGCTAACTTTGGAAGGCATAGCCGGTATTGTGCGCTATGAGGGCGGCTTCTGTCCTGACGACTCGTGAATCCCCCAGATCTTGGCTGGCCCCACCCCTGCAAACCAATCTATTTTGATGTACGGAGGACGGCGTTAAAAGTTTTTGGTCGCTAAGACGCTAGAAGATCAGGGATTAGCTAGACCTATGGAATTTTTGTACTATATTAAGTATAAATCTACTAGGCCGACTTTCCCCTTACTATCGAACGTTATTATAATTAATAAAATATAACTATTTTTTCTTTTAAAGCCGACCGTGAAGATACCGTATACCGATATTATAATAAGGGCTATAATTATAAGCCTTAAGGCCTCGAATAAGACTACTATCGAGGTAATAGCCCTTATAAGCGTTAGTAAGAGTATAATTAATATAATATTTACCCGCGCTATAGCGCGAGGCTTCGACCCTACCGTCCGGCCGATCGTCCTTATAAACGCCCTCCTTACCGATAACCCTTATTCTAGCTATCTTTCTAAGTAGACCGCTACTAAAGAAGAGGTCTTAAAGCTTATATGCCGCGATCGATATAGAAGAGAGAAAAGCTATGTTAATATTACTAGCGATCTTAGTTACTTCGGTATCGAGATATCGGCTATAATAATCTAGCGAATACTCCGTAAGGCTAGCTTCTAGAAGACTAAGCTTATAAAGAAGCCTAGTCTAATATAAAAGATAAAGAAAGAATAGCTTAAATAGTACCTCGAAAGGAAGGATTAAAGCCTTAATAATTAGAAAAAAGTAATCTAGTCCGACGAGACCTCTATAATATTATTATATCGCCGCGGCGGTTATCGGATCTAGCGAACGCCTAAAGAAAAAGTTAATAAAAGCTATATCCGTAAGCGATAGAAAGGGTCTTCCGAGTTTATATTCTAGGGCTACTTTTCTTACGATAAGAAAGGTCTTTGCTATTATTAATACCTAAAGATTACTTAAAAGAAATAAGCCTCCGAGAAAGAACTTAAGGCTTTAAATAAAGTACTTAAGCTAAAGGTAAGGAAGATATAGGAGTTAAAGGTTAGCGTAAATCGTATAAAGCTTCGCGAGGGTAAAGCCCCCGGCCGCGTATTATAATAGCGATAGATTAAAAAGACCGGGAAGCTTATAAAAGGTAGTAAAAGTAATATCGACTAGTAGCGTTATTAGAAGATTATCTTAATACCGAAGTTAATTCTTTTCGCGAAAGAATACGAGGCTACCGGCCGGCTAAGTATATTAATTTAAGAGGATAAGGCTCTAGCATACTTATACTCTCTTTAATACTAAGTCTTCGATTAAGAAAGCGCGCGCCGCCTTCCTTAGCCTAGTAACTCGCCGGACCTTAATATAATCGAGCCTACCTAGCCGTGGATAAAGAGATATACTACGAAGAAGGGTACGCCGCGCATACGAAAGGAAGCTATTACGAGGTAGGAAAAGGCTTAGAAAGACCTCCCGTAAGAGTAGATATAGCGGTAGATTAAACGTATCCCGAGGTACGTTTAGAAGGTTATTAAATTAGCGGGTGGAAATAAGTACGTCGAGGGGCGGGGAACGGCGCTAGTAAATTTATACTAAAACTAGCTATTTATGTCGATATATAGAATTAGCGCGACTAAAAACTTTTGACGCTGTCCTCCGTAATTGATGTCGATAATTAGATTATCGGGCAGCAAGTGCGGGATAGGCCATCGTTTGTCTGGTGTAGCCGAGAGTGCCTAGCAACCATCAGAGATTTCAGTCCTAGCTGCAGACACCCAAGCACCTCGGGTTATGTCCTTCCAGATATGCCAGTACATGGTCGTCCACCGGCTGAGGAATTGCAATTATCAAGTAGATGAGGAGAACATTCTCTTGGTGCTATTACATATCCCAGCGTCAATTCCACGATCTCAGCCGTCTGGTATAACTAGTCCATCACCGAGTGCAAGCAAGGTAATGTGCTTATAAGCACATTGTCAACCCCAAATTCCCCTGATGTGTCGGTCGTCTCGGCCGAGGATCGGTACCCTATCATGCCGAAATGACCGAAGGGGGTGGGACTGGCGGTTGCGAACGGTCCATACTTGGTGACAGCAGATCAGATTTATTTTGGCAGCTCATGCATGCTCCATGGATGCCGCTGTCTGGACTGTTTCTGGCTCGACCGCGAGAGCTGTTCGCTGGGCCATCATACAGTGTCATAAGAACAAGCGCGTTGACGCTACTATGGGGAAAGGGGGTGAAGGCTCTCAGAAACAAGGAGACATAAAAATCGAGCCCAGGAACTACTGATCAATATATATACACTCTAAATGAAACACCAACAAGGCTCAAGGCGTGTTAGTGGACTTGCCCCCCTTGTAGTCGCCAGGTCGCCGAAGCCAACAAACGCCCATAGTGTCCAGCCAGCAAACAGCCGACACTCTCTTCCAGAATAATCACCACGCTGGATTTGGACTTCAAACTCAAATTTGCAAAAGCCGCCGCCCCGTGAAGATATATCGGCATACAGGTCAAGCTCGAAAGTGCTTCCAAGGGAGGGCCAATCATCCACCCGCAACATAGATACCCCAGTAGCTGGCCCACAAGCTGGTTTGAGATAGTCTCCCGCAAATCGAAACAGCTAAAATGAAGCTTAAAACCAGAGAGCCCTAGTATATGGCTAGGTAATGGGCTAGAATCCTCTGCTGGAGCACCCTCTCGAGGCAGTGCGTATATCGGCCTGGGACTTCAAAACATCCGCCCGCTGGCCAGTCTCACAAAACTATAAGGAACATTCTGACCGATGAGCAGCCGGAGACTCTCCACAGTAGTGAACGCAGCCACATCGGCAGCCCCATATGCTGCGAAGCCGCTTTTCTCAGCGACGGCGCCAGGATCGCTTCGCTTGCGGACTGCGCCGTCGGCCAGGTCCAGAAAGACACGTCTCGTGTTTGAACCGTTGGTCATGCCAGCGCCCCCAAATATCCTGATCAACATGCCGACCAGGTGGCTCTTCTCGGGACCCAGAGCAGACACGATGAGGAAAGGTGCGCTATCCTCCGTCGTCGACCTCGCTCGTTGCAGACTTTCGAGGCTGATAAACTGCTCGATCGGAGGGGCGTTTCGGGCCAGCGCCGTTGGTGTCCTGAAGCCGACGGTGTAGATCTTGGAGATTCTCAGCGCTTTCATGGCGAAGAGAGTAGCGGCCGCATCATCCGATGAAGCGGCCAGGACGACGGCAGTCCTCCCAGCATAGGCAGACGGAGCCAGGTCGCGTGTCAACGTGCTCACGATGCCTTTCCAGCTCGCATTGTCCAGTACGAGGGAGGCGTTTGGTGGTAGCGCAGACTGGCCGAGATGACCCCTCAAATCGGCAGACTTTTGACGTGGACTGGCAGGCGCTGAAGTCGGTGTGGAACTCGCAGCCGACTGCGACCCCGATCGCACCACGATTGTGTCAAAGATGCCAATTACACGTGCGGCTTCCGTCAGGCCCGGGCCATTGCCGTTGTTCATGTTGGCGAAGAAGGGACTGCGCTTAATCAAGGACTGGTACGAGAAACCTGGATCGAGGTATGCGCCTCCAAAGTGCTTCTGGTTGCACCAGGCGTCGATGCCTGCTGGACTCCCTGGTTGTCGCTCGACAATGGAGAATTGATGTGGCAGCCCCAACTCATTGAAACATTTCTCGTAAAAGGGTGCCTGTGGAGTGGCACTCCGCGATGCTGTGCTGCTAATGCCATAAATGTTCTTCCGGGGCAACTGTCCGAGCAAGGCAAGTGCCGAGTTGATCTCCGCCGTGCTCATCTGACCAGGCGCCGCAATGATCGGAAGCAAGGGATGAGTGATCGGGGTGAAGACCTTGTTCAAAGTCCTCGAGAACTGACCTGTCTCGCCCATGTTGGCCGCTGATAATGGCGGTGCATGGGGATATTCCGAGCGCATCTTGGAACGGAAGTACTCCAGCTCAAAGTTTTCGTTGTGCTCAGTGATGATGGCAATCATCTTGATGATATCGGCGTACGGTATTGACCTCTCAAACACCGTTTGCGCATAGGGTGAAGGCCACTTGAATGTCCCAGAGAAATCATGGAAGGCAGACATGATCCGCGAATTGCCCCTTTTCTCATACAAGGACCGGCGGATATGCTCTGGCAGCCACAATTCCACGTCAATGTACTCCACGCCCCACTGAATGGCGCGGTAGAGGTACTCGTAGAAGAGATCGGGGTTGTCCATCGGGAATCTTCCATTCTCGTTCGTACATCGTGTGGTGAAAATGAGGGGCAGCTCCGTCCTCTGCCTGAGCAACATGACTTGTTCGCCGACATAGCTGAGACTTGGAACCGACGAGTAGGATCCATCGCCAAGTGTTTCGCGCAGCAGGTCCACGCGGATTTCCACTGCATCAGACCCCACTGTCAAGATGTCCAGATTCGGCAAGGCTGCCCTCACGTCGGGAAATGTGGTTGAGATAAAGTAGGTGCGAGGCTTCTCCATGAGTTCCTTGTGGTGACTGATCTGGCCGAGGGTGAATGCCGTGAATCTTGACAGGTCTCTCCGAACGAACGGTGAATCGTTGTACAAGAATTCGAAATCACACTGCTTTGACAAGTGCCCGTCTGGGGGCATTCCGAGTCTCACGCAGTGGGCGTTGATGGCGACAACGAGGCCCTGGTCTCTGGACTCGATGTCCAGCTTCGCTGATGGCGCCTCGACGCCCACCACCAGACCGCGCTCCTCGCTGCTGACGTCCTTGAAACCGGTCTTGAGTCGATATGGCTTTCCTAACACCTCTGCAAAGACTGACACAATCTGGTCCTGCCCTGGTCCAAAGACGATGACCACAATGCGCGAATCCCCCATCTGCGGTGCACCTGCACCAAAGGCTGCATTGGTCATGAGTCGGCCTTGACTCGGAAGGTCGACATCCATCTTGACAGGCATAGTCGTCGAGTGCTTCATTGATGATGTAGACGTCGGCCCGGGGCTCGGGCTCGGGCTCGATAAAAGTTGCTGAACGGCCGCCATTGCAACTGCCCAGCCGGTTTCGTCTGTCTGTTAAACTCAAAAGGCGTCTCGGTTTCGTGTGCGATGCTTCACCATAGCACAACCAAGTGTCTGATCCTCAAAGCTTCCCACTAAAACTTTCCACCTCAAGCCGAATGCAGGGCATAGACAGTGCAGTTGCCGAGTTTAGGCCTTCCTCGTCTGCCGCATGCCAAAATTCCCCGGTCATGCAGTGGTGTCGCAGAGCGGGCCTGTGGTGGTCGTCGAATGTCGATGAAGCCCGCGGAGCCAAGAGCACCGAGTTGCGAGTGGTATGGCGGACAGCTCAAGGGGATTAATGTAAAGCGGCAGCAGGATGCCAGGTCGAGCGGAGCTGAAAGAGCAGCAAGTTGAAAGTTGAGCTATATGGATGGTGCGGAAGTAGGTTGCTGATATGAGCCGACGGTTCAATGTAAAGAGTGAATCTCAAGATCGACAAACAGCGTTGCGCGCGCTTGGATAGGCGCAAGATGAACCAGCAAAGTGGCGGTTGAACTTGGTCTGCGCGCACGGGTGGGTTATGGCTTTGACTGCTGTGTTCAAGTCGGACGGGCTTCAGCGCAGATAGCAGATGCGAAACTATCTTGGGTCGCAGAAACGCAGGAACTGTGCATCCAGTTGCCACAGATGGTGTTCGAGAGACTGTGCGGATGACGGCTGAACGGACTCTCCGTAGCAATGGCAGGCCGCAAGGCAAAGCAGTCCAGGATCTGGGGAACAGCTGTAGTGGGTGGAGGCACGGCGCACAGGGGTACAGCCTCGGATTGAATTAATCCACCACCAAATATTGGTGCAGCGATGATATTACTGTTCTTTGCTTGCGAGGGTTCGACACAAGTACCATGATCTGACGCGAGCCAGACACCCCAGTCGTATGGGAATTGTTCGTGCTGGTTCTTCGTCCGGCGAGACACGCTTCCAGAGATGGACCGCTAGCCCTCAGCACCTGGGGATCGATATGTTCGGTGAAGTTGGGGTTCGCGCAATTTGGCGTTAGGCTGGATGGGCGGCAGGGAACATCGGGCGTCAGCAGCCAGCCTCCCGGAGGCTCGAGTGGTCAAAAAAGGCCGGACGTTGCGCGCGGTGGTAAAGTTGGGGGAAGATGGACTGACAGTGAGGGCTGATCCACCTCCAGTCCCCAAAGGCCCAAAGTACCCCGTCCTTAGCCCGAGCGCGGCAATCATTTCTCCTCGAATCACGTCGACGTATTCAAGCCACCACCTGCATCGCACCCTGGAGGCCTGGAGTCCTAGGAGTCTAGGACCTATTAACTTAGACCCCTCTCCAGTCGGGGTCCAGACTGGCCAGTCCATGTCGCCAGGTCACCACCGCTTTTTGATATCGACATGCAGTACGGAGTACCCAACCATTACATTACCTCTTGACTTGTTAGACATCGCTTGCGAGGATTCCATCGGTCTTCCCACGGCCCTTCCGCTTCCCGTTGGTCGATTCCCAATCAGCCTGAAACCAATTCCCTTGTCCATCAAGGCTCGAGCTCGCAGTTCTCCACTGGCCTCCAATGTGCTGAACGACACCAGTGCATCTGATATGGAAGTTGCAACACCAAAGCATGTCTACGTAACTTGGGGTCCACGATGATGAGAGCTTATGAGGTGTAATCACTGATCAGATTCGTCAATTTTAGGTCCGAGTTGGACTACCAGCACTGGCAACCTCTGACCCTGGCTGTTCATCCCAGCAGTGCTATAATAAAAATGTCCTCGAAAAACGAAGAACGACGCAACATGCCAAAGACCCTCTTGATCGCCACGATGATTTCTCCATGCATCATCTCGCACGGGATGTGGGCTTTCTGATACAACATGGAGCACACATAAGCTATAACCTTCATGGTAAGCTTGATATCTCGATCCGGAACGGGTTGAGACATGGCGAGGCTCTGGCGAAAGTTCCACGAATCGCATCATCTACGAGCAGTTGCATTCCTGAGACGTATGCATGGAGGGTTTCAGTAATATCACGAGACCCCGCAGGTTCTGCTGCTTCATGCTGGGTTCCTCATGCTGTTGTCGGCAAATGTGACAGTCAGTGCGTTGTTGCGAATTGGACTCGAAATTGTGTGGCATTGCCAGCGCTTCTGCACTCGACACTGCCTCGTCCTGGGTAAACTACACCTCCTCTGTGCCCTCATTCTCCAGTACGTTGGCCTGCGCCTCCGCCTGATCCATCACAGCCGCCGGCGCAGGCCCTCTCCAGCCCGTGCCGGCCTGCAGGACACAGACCACAATGCCTAGAATGGCGGCAGCTTGCCAGACACCGCGTGTGGCACCAGCATACGCCTGGATAGCCACATCCTTATCTGCAGCGCCAAGGCCACCTTGCCATACCAGCTCGGGGGCTCCCAGCAGCCGAGAGACAAGCCGACGCCTCTCAGGATCAAGGACATCCGTCCCATCTAGTAGCCTGAAGCCCTCGCTCAGGCTGGACCGTAAGTATCGCGAAAAGATTCCGCCGCCAATCGAAGTGCCGAATGCACCACCAAACCCCCTGAACGTCCCGATGAGACTCGTGGTGATATACTGAGTCCCCTCGTGACTGTGGTGCAGCATGTGCGCCAAGGTGTAGTTGAGCGCTGCGCCTGTGGCCACACCGCCAGCAATCACCGATGCAACCAGCGCAGCGAGATGGAAACCTGCCGTAGCCACACTCGACAGTGCAAACATGGAGATACTGAAGAGCATAATGGCCACAACACAGGGGAGCCAGAATGAGCCGTTGCGTCGAATGTGCAGATAGCCGACAATCAGCCCGCCCGACGCAAAGGCCACGTTGGTCGGCACCAGAACGGCGCCCGCTTCTGCTCGTGGTGTTCCCCTGACTGCGAGCATGAAGATGGGCGCGTAGTACAGCACCGTCCAGCGAGCGGACATGAGACCAAGCTGTGCAACGCACGACAGCAGCACCGCACGAGATTTGAGGACCTGGAGGGGAATGACCGGGTCGGGAGCCACAAAGTTCTCCACGAGCACGAACAAGATGAGGGCGACGGGGGATAGAGCCAAGGGCAGGATTTTGATGGCTCCGCCGCCCAGACCGAACAAGAACAACACAATCGTGAGTATTAACAGGACAGCCCCGAGGTAGTCGATCCGACGCAGCCTGCGGAAGACTGAGATTTCCGACGGTTTGGTGAAAGAAGCTGGCAGAGACAGGAACAGCATCGTCCCAGCAAGAACAGCCACAGGACTTTGTAACCAAAACAAGGCGCGCTGAAGGCCTGTTAGTATAACAAAAAGCAAGAGGGTATCTCGAGACTTACCCAGCCAACGGCCGGAAGCACAGCACCATAGACGATACCACCGAGCGAAACACCAATACTGAACCCAGCATTGACCATGCCGAGGGCGACGCCTCTTGTCTTCTTGCTCGTCAGGTCGAGCATCAAAATAATTGCCAGCGTGAGCACGCCTGCGCCACCCATACCCGTGACCACGCGACCGAGCACGAATGCTTCGAATGAGAGGGCGTGCGCCGATATAATGGTACCAATCGCCACGAGCATGGCCACCGGGATGATGAGGCTTCTTGGGGAGAAGACAGCGGCGAGCTTGCCGGCCAGCGGGGCAAGGCTGGACATGGCGATGAGATACGCCGTCGTGAACCACGCAGTGTCATCGTAGGCATCCAGGTCGGCAGCAATGGCTCCTTGAATCACGGTTATGCCAGACATGTTTGAGGCTGCCTGATGTTAGTATTCCGTACTACCACTTGGCTGTTCGTGGTGGATGGATCCATACCTTGCAGGAAAATGAGCAGCCAGAGACTGAAGGCTACAGCTGCGACGCGGAAAGCGCTGAGGCGGACCTTGGGCTCATCACCATGGTCAGTCTTCCTTTTTGAGGGAGAGCTGTCACGTAGGAGGGGTGTTTGTTCGTCCCTTTCAGTCTCATCGTGGGGTCCCTGGTTCCTATCGCTGCTCAATGATTCGGAGGTGTGCTCCGGTACGTGAGCATTCGAGGGAGCCATTGCGGCAGGTTATCAGGCCCGAAGTCTCGGTGCCCTTCCAAAGGCCAATATGAAATTCTTTTGAGTATGTCGGCAATTCGCGAGAGATCGTGCAAGCAAGCTGAGGAAGCATTTGATGCTGACTTCGGCCTGACGTGGATCGATGCGTCGTTGATTGGTAATCGTATCAGGATTCAGGATCTGAGTGAGATCTTCGACTTCCAGCAGCAAGAGCAGACGCGCAAGTCGCCAACTACTAGTAGTCTTCACCGAGTGATTAAGGATCTTTTGTTTGATGTCGAAGAAATTTGGTTCGTTGAGAAGTCATTCTTTCGGCCAGGTACTGTTTGCCACAAGACGGCATTGCGCTGGCATTGTTGTTTTCCATGGTTGCGGTGGATCTATCATCCCGACCCCGAGTCCCCGACCCCGTCATCGTTGTTGCGCCCACGGGCCATGGGCTATTAGATATATCCTTCATTTAAAGGAGTTGGTGAATTTGTCGAATAACATGAATTTGGCATTGTCCTCCTGCGTGTTGTTGAATCTCATTCGGTTCAGGAGACATCAACGGCCACGTGACATGGTTGTTCTTCCTGGTCCAATCTGTCTGCACGGTTGGTTGCCCTGTTATAGGTACGTAAAGAAGCGGAAACTGTTTTGCTGCACAGGCAACGCATCAACATCTTACCGGTGCTTATTGTTTGGCACAGTGAGAGTCGTTGTGGCATCGGCTTAATATATTTCCAATGTATAGTCTGCCCGCCACGTCAGATTCATTCACATTGGCTGAATCTCACGTCGTGGACGCGAAGTCTGGTTGTCGCAACCGCAGGGTAGGTGAGCTTCAGGACGCGACTGAGAGCCGTCGGAACCGCCATCCGAGCACCAGGACTTGGCAATTGTTGATGGCTGAATGCGGAGTTGACACCAGGCAGGCTGTTGTGAATCGATGGAACCACCTACCAGGTATTTAGCGAGGATCTGTGGTGGTTCAACCGATGTGACGGTAGTGGTTTCTGTCACATGGAATTTGATAAATGTCCTCGATGCATGTGAGCTCTCATCAACTTCAGCCTCTCGTGCAAAGTCTCGAGGCTGAATTCTGGGGTAATTGACGGTCGGAAGAATCTGCGGGGCGGACGGATGGGGGCAGGCAGCCACTGATTGGCTCGGGTCGCACTAGTGATGATGTCAGTCTTTGGCGGCGGGCTCGAGCGGGTTTCGTCGTGCAGAAATTTGATGCAGCAAATTCAAGTGTGCATGTGCGATGATCGACGTGCGGTGTGCCGGCTATTAGGTACGTACGTACGTACGTACGTATTTGTCTACATATATGCCTCACCACGAGCCTCGATCATTTTCCCAAGCTATGTTGCAAGATGCGTAACGCTTCACCGCTCAGTTCAGTGGACTGGACTGGGGGAGGTAAACGTCGGTGCATGTACTGTACTGTAGGTACTGTACTCGCGTGTCTGCCCAATCGACCTCTGTGCATGTGCTCAACAGCAACCAGCACACCTCGTAGCTGTGAAAAGGTCCGAAAGCAAGATCGGTGTGCAGCAAGGCCGAATCTAATCTACCGAGTCATGCCCGCGAACGTAGCTTTCCGGGGAACTGGCTGCCCGCACTGACCGTTCACCAAATGGCATCCACTGATCACGAGGCCTGCCTGGGCCGCCTGGGGAAGAATGCAGCCTGCTCTATCCGTATCCGTAGAGGAACAGGCGGGCGACAAATGGCCAATGGTTGATGCGTGATCCCGTAATTGCATAGGGGGAAAAGCCCGTACGAAAATTAGACTAATCCTCACCTGGTGGATGGATGAGCGGCGCCGCGTGGTGGAGAAACTTTGGGAAGCAGCGATGCCACTGGCGCTGACATTGAACTTGACTTGAACCTCTGCCGCCTCACAACCCGCCTGGTCCTTTCTGCGTTCCTCCACACAACCTTGCCTCCTGTCCACCACTTCGCTCTTGCGACAGACAAGGCCCACTGCGCGCGACAGCTTGAAGAGTTAGCATTCGCAAAGAGTCTCTCGAGTTCAACCTTCGGAAGGACACAACACATGGGGTCACGCTTCTAACTTAGGGCTCCGACGGATGCGATTTGAATTCCGACATTGGCAATTTCTGGGTCCCGAAGGCGATCGAGGCATTCTAAGAGAACCGACGGTCCTCGACGCGAGCTCGAACAGCGGACGCGTGAAGCCGGCGTCACAGACCTTCAACAACCGCCTGTAGACCATGGCTGTGGCACGACGACCTGCACCCGACGCGCCATCCCCCTCAACCGCATGAAAGAACCAAGCGATGTCGACGACGCCCATCTGACCACAATGGCGAGCGCAAACGCTGTCATATCAGGGCATCAGATCCCCGACAGAGGGCCCGCCGTCTTCGCCGTCTCGGTCGCGACCCTCGTGCTGGCCACCGTCTTCGTGGTCGCCCGCTTCATCTCCCGCGGCCTCATCGTGCGCAACATCCGCTGGGATGACAGGGTCATGGGCCTGGCCTGGGTCATCGCCGTGTTTTTGAGCTCGGTGATTGCACTGGGAACCGCGAATGGCTTGGGCCGGTACGACAGGGACATTGAGTCTTCCGAACGGGGCACGCTGAGGCGGTGCGAGTATGTGTTTAGTATACTATACGTGAGTCTCCTCGTACTTGGAAGTTGACGCTCCTGGACTAATGTTCACCAGAACCCTGCCCTCATGGCTACCAAATCCTCGGTTCTCATATTCTACCTCCGTCTCTTCAAAAACACGCAGTTTGTGTTGAAATACTGGAGCTGGGCCTTGCTGGGTGTCGTCAACCTTGCGGGCACCATCTTGACGTTTCTCAACATCTTTCGTGAGCTCACTCCATTGTCCCGGGGACATACTGGCTCTTGCTAACATGCGCAGAATGCAGTCCTGTGTCGGCGGCGTGGAACCCCTACTACCAAGGCGATGTGCGGTGTCTGCCTCTTCTCACCGAGTTTATCTGCTCCTCGCCCATCAACATCGTCACCAACCTGTGTCTCCTCTTCCTCCCGATACCCGTCCTCACCGGAATGCGCCTACCGACCCGCCAGAAAGTGGTCGTGGTCCTGCTCTTCAGCCTGGGCATCTTCGTCACGGTTGTGGACGTGGTCAGGATCTACTTCCTCCAGTCTGCGCTCTCCGATCTACCAACGACACCATCCGGTGACCTGGGATCGACGTTCGGCGGGCAAGCGGACTTTGCCTACAACGCCTCGCTCTCATTCATGTGGAGCGCTGTGGAAGTCAACGTCGGCATCACGTGTGCCTGCATTCCCACCTTGAAGCCTCTCATCCTCAAGCTTCTCCCTGCGATGCTGTACGACCCGGATCGCAGCACATCCACTTTTTCGAAGCGAAGCGAGGGAGACTCGCGCCAACGAAACGGCCGGCGAAACACGCCCGAGATTGCCGCACCTCCTGCAGTTGTGGTGCACGAGCATCGCAGTAACGACGCACCTGACCCAGAGCCACCTGCGCAGCAGCAGCGGGATTCCCATAGCAGCGAAGAGATGACAGCCATGGAGTTCCTCTCGACGCCGGACATGCTGTCCCCCATGCAACGGCTGCACACCAACGCGACGGCACGCACGTCGACGACCGAGAACGCAGTCTACTTTGGTTTCGTCAACATGGCCAAGCCCAAGAGTATGCTGCAAACCTCGGCGCACGAGTCATTCAAGTACTGCAGCATCGTGGCCATTCTCTTCCTCCTGTGGGGAATCTCATATGGTCTACTGAACACACTGAACACGGTGGTTGCCACCATCCACGACTATTCCTCTGCAGAAACCCTTGGACTCACCGCTGCCTATTTCGGGGGCGGCTATTTCTTCGGCCCCCTGCTCGTGGGCGAGTGGATCCTGCGGAGGGACGAGCACAATCGCTCCAAGCGCCACAAGAAGAACGAGTTCGAGAACGTGGGCGGTTTCAAGGTGACCTTTATCGTCGGCCTAAGCATCTACGGCATCGGCACCATCATCTTCTGGCCGTCCGCCGTCACGGGGTCGTACGGCGGCTTCATGGCCTCCAACTTCATCGTCGGCTTTGGGCTGTCGGTCCTCGAGGTCGCCGCCAACGCTTTCATCATCCTTTGCGGCCCGCCCGAATATGGAGAGACACGACTGCTGCTGGCACAGGCTGTGCAGGCTGTCGGGTCCGTCCTCTCAGGCCTCCTTGCGAACAAGGTCTTTTTCAATGTCGTCGGTCGAGCTGGGTTCGCGACAACGGCGACACTCATCAACGTCCAGTGGACCTACCTGGCCATCACGCTTCTCTGTGCCGGGCTGGCCCTGTTCTTCTACTACATGCCTCTCCCCGAAGTCAGCGACCACGAGCTCGAGCAATCAGCGAAACGGCTGCCCATCGACTCGCAAAAGAGGACATCCGTGGGTCTACAGCTCCGCACTGTCAGCCTCATCCTCGCAGTCCTCGCGCAGTACTGCTATACCGCGGCCCAAGAGTCGAACAGCACATACTTTCGTGATCTCCTCGTCTCAGTCCTGCCCGGACAATCCAGCCGTGGTCGGAGCGCCGCGCAGGGTCCCACGGGCACGACGGACCCTCAGAAACCACCCGGCAGCGCCTTGTCGGTGCCGGACTACCTCCTCATTGCGCATGCTGCCTTTGCCGTGTCACGATTCTTCGCGGGCGGCCTCACCTATCTGTCCGTGCACCATCGCCGTCTCCCTCAACCGCGCACGGTCCTTACCATCTTCCTGGGCATGTCCTTCCTCTTTGCCCTCCTGACCGTCGTCCTGAATCCGTCCGGCCCCAATGCCATCGTCGTCCCTGTCATCTTGTTCTTCTTCGCCGAGGGCCCCGTGTGGCCGCTCATCTTCGCCATCGGTCTGCGGGGTCAAGGTCGCCGCACCAAGCGCGCCGCGGCATTCATCACCATGGGTGGCTCCGGCGGCGGCGTCGTCCCCTTCATCATGTACGGCATCATCACGTCGGGCGGCTCGACACAGCTGAGCTACATTGTCATTGTTGTTTTGCAGGTCATCATGTTGGCCTATCCCATCTTCCTCGAGGCCAGCCGCGACGCACGGCAGATGGTCCGGCCACGGAACAGCATGCGCTCCAAGACCCGCTCGTCCAGCGATGAACAAGAGCCCACTCTCACGGCCGATGAGCTCGTGGCGCAACGTCATCGCGAGAAGGATGAGCACAATGGGTTTTTGGGGAAAATGGGGCGGAAGTTGAATGGGTCAAACAGGAGTCCGCCGCCTGCCAGTCATCCCGACGTGCAACGCCGTGAAGCGCAGCAGGAACCGCAGGGGATTGATTTCATCACGTCAGCTATATAATGAACATGGCATCATAAGGGGGGTTTTACTTGGGATACTCTTTGCATACTGCGACAGGGACCCGTCGCATGGGGTTCAGCGAGCGATTTGGGTTTGCATTTATTTCAGGACATTGGGCGGAAAAGGACGTTAGGTACATATTATGATTTAATTATATACTACGAAGAACACCTTCGCGTTGAGCAAAACCCTCTCAGTGTTTAGTACGCAACCTGGGTCGACAGACCATCCAGCTCGCGCTGCCAACACCTGTGCTGACTGACGTTGTAGACAAACTTCTCCAGGAAGCCCTTGGCATCCTTCGCAACGTTGAGGACATCACCCAGACCCTCAGGCTTGACGTCGCGCAGGGTGACAACGCCATAGCTCTCGAGGGTGTGGCTGCTCGACAGCTGGATATCGTCCAGCTGAATAGCCTTGTTGACGAGGTCGATGGCCTCGCCCGTAGCACCAATGGTCTTCAAGTGGCCAAAGGCCTCACGAACATAGTGCAGGGCACGGCCCATGGAGGAGAGGGTCTTGATAGACTTCTCACCGCCGGGGATGAGAATGGCGTCGAACATGGTCGAGCGCTGGCCCTCAAAGTGGTGGTCAGGTGTCACGCCCTTGCTGTTGGAGGCATCCTCGCCAGCGGCGTAGACGGGAGCACGGCGGGCACCGATAACGAAGGGCAGGGCGCCGGCACCCTTGATGCCGCCAACAAAGGCGCTGAAGGCAATGGGGTCGTAGCCATCGGCGATCAGGATGGCGATACGGCGAGAGGCAATGGTGGGCTTCTTGGGCAGGAAGTCCATCTGACTGAGACCAGGAGCCTTGCGACCGTGGTTGGGCCTGTTGGACTTCTCAATCTTGGGCCCACCCACCATCTCGCTGACAGACTGCGCCAGGCCGAGATCGATGTCGGCGAGGCGGCCACTGAGGCGCTCGTAGACGACAGCCTCGTCGCAATGGTCCAGCTCGAAGCCGAAAGCGGCCAGGACGTGGGACTTTTCAATCTCAGACAGAGAGTTGTAGAAGAGCTGGGCCTGAGAAATGTGTTCCTTGAACTTGGCAGAGCGAGTGCGCTGCTTCATGCCCTCGATCTTGGCAGGATAGTCGATGTAAGCACCCTCGGCAACGGACGCTGGGGGCTGGGCCTCGAAGCGGTTGGGCCAGTAGTTGACCTTGCCCTTGGAGATGGTGTGGCGCATCGCTCCGTCACGGTTGAAGTTCATGACAGGGCAGACAGGCTTGTTGATAGGCAGCTCCTGCCAGTTGATTCCCAGGCGGCTGAGCTGTGTGTCGAAGTAAGAAAAGTTGCGGCCTTGCAGGAGAGGGTCGTCAGAGAACCCAATGCCGGGAACCACGTGGCCCGTGCAGAAGGCAACTTGCTCGGTCTGCGTGAAGTACTCGTCGACGTTGCGGTTGAGCTCGAGCTCACCGATGTAGCGGACAGGGACCAAGTCCTCGGGCCACACCTTGGTAGCGTCCAGGATGTCAAAGTCGAACTCATGCTCGCGCGACTCGGGCAGAACCTGGACGCCAAACTTCCACTTGGGGAAGCAGCCGCTTTCGATGGCCTCATAAAGATCCTTTCTGTGGAAGTCAGGGTCCTGGAGAGGGTTAGTTGTGAACCGCAAGTGCCTGGAACATTGCAATCATACCTGACCAGCCAACTTTAGGGCCTCGTCCCAGACAAGGGAGTGAACACCAAGCTCGGGGGTGAAGTGGAACTTGACAAAGTGGCGCTCGCCCTTATCGTTGGTAAGCGTGTAGGTGTTGACACCAAAGCCCTGCATCATGCGGTACGACCGAGGGATGGTACGGTCAGACATGGCCCACATGTACATGTGTGTGGCCTCGGAGTGCATGTACATAAAGTCCCAGAAGTTGTTGTGTGCTGACTGGGCTGTTTGCGTGCGAATTAGCCTTGTCTTGGCGACGATAGGAGGTTGCTATTTACCTTGAGGCACCTCATTGTGAGGTTCAGGCTTGCCGGCGTGGATGACGTCGGGGAACTTCATGGCATCTGGCGTATGTCAGTCAAGTCTCATTTCCACAATGTGCAGTTATCAGAACTGACCTTGAATGAAGAAAACGGGAATGTTGTTGCCCACAATGTCCCAGTTACCCTCGTCTGTGTACATCTTGAGCGCAAAGCCACGGACATCGCGAACGGTGTCGGCAGACCCGCGGCTACCAAGGACAGTAGAGAAACGCAGGAAGACGGGGGTCTCGCGGGATGTGTCATTCAGGACACCGGCGCTCGAGAGCTCGGGAATCGATTCGTGCAGCCTGAAGGTGCCAAAGGCGCCGGCGCCACGGGCGTGCACGACACGCTCGGGGATACGCTCGTGATCAAAGCGGTGAATCTGCCAATGGTCAGAAAGGTTTCGTACAGTTGACAGTGGGACAGCCGAACGAGATGTTGCGCTCTCTCGCTGCCCTCAGGACATGCTCACCTTCTCCCTGCCAAAGCCATCCTCCAACAGCATAGGCCCGGTGTGGTCCTCGTTGGTGACCTTGAGCCAGTCGTCGGTGTTGTTCTGCTTGGTGCCCCAGTCCGAAGTGATTCTGGTATCTTTGGTTGGCTCGACCGTGTTGGCAGCAAGCTGCGTGGCCTTGGCCTGGGATCCTCCGTGGCCGCCCATGACTGCCTGCTTGATCGATTCGGGAACGATGTGCGACATCTAAAACCTTGGGGAATGTATGTCCAAGTACCTGGAGTGTGAAAGGGCAGGTTGGAATTCGTCTCGAGAGGTCTGCCTCGTACTATCTGGGGGTAGGGAGCGTCTTTAAGAAGACAGCGGCTCAGTCAAGGGTCCATCAAACACGTTCACGGCAAGAGCCAACCACGCGTCCCCGATCACTCCAGTCATTCTCCGAGCAATGCATAACCTCAGCAAAGGCAATGGTAAGCAGGTGAATGTGGTTTGCTCACCCCGCTGTGCCCCTCGATGATCGAGCGATGCCGTCCTATTGACGTCAGGTTGGTGCGAGTTATCGCCTGGGAGGTGACGAGGTCCCACAGAATGGGAGGGCCTTGGGTCAAAAAGTCCAGTGCTCAACTGCCGAGCGACAGGGACATGGAGGCCATCACAAACAAGAGGACTGTACAGGCCGTACGAACAGCTCGGCAGCATGCCTTGTGGGATGGAATTCTGCTGGAACGCCATGTAAAAGTGATGGGGAAGAGATGTGCTACTGATGAAGTTGCAAAGTGGTGATGTAATTCAGCTCGATAAACCGGAGGATATTCTCCGCTTAATCCACTTACAGAGCATCTGTCCAATGAGAGTACGCTAATTGTCAACTTCATGCCTCTTTCGGCAGGAACCCGCTCAAATTCACCGGTGTGGTCCAAAGAAATGCATCTCTACATCTCGATTCTCGCTTTCGTCCAAGTCGGCCGGATCATTCTTGATTGTACAGATTAATTCAAATATTGGGTCTGACCCCTGTTTTATCTGATGAGGAGATGCACGGAGGCCGGAGCTGCGCAAGCAGAGAGACTTAAAAGGCCCGAAACTCCGGACATCTGCTTGACGTGCCGCATGACGTGTCAATGTTCTGCTTCGACAAGTCGAAAGGGTGAGTGATAAGTGTTAGTGTACAGTTTCTTTACGTCCCGGGCTCTCTAACTGAATTGGGTTGCGCCTCTTAAGCAAAGCTCAAGGGCTTTTGATGGCTAAACATCAATGTCTTCAAACAGGCCCACATCTTGCAAACCTTCAAGAGAGACGTTTTGAATGTGATAGATATGCAAGTGAATTCGTCAAGAGCTTGCCTTGTTTCCGCAACCCTAGATTCTCTGGAACAAAAGCGTCAAGCTGGCTGATAGTCCAGTCCAGACCAAGTCCATCCACGCCTCACCCGGCCCGTAGCATCAGAGTTCTGATTGAAAGATCGAATCATGAGGGCCACACCATGGGAGTTTTTGACATGACCACTAATTTTCGGGTAAATACTCCTACCGCCTCTAGTGCCCTTCTCATTTAGCGGATTGGTAGTACGTGGATTCTCTGTTAGTGAATCTTCTCTCAATCCCAACACGTCGCTCTGGGTCCGTAGCTTGTACTGGATGGTGCAAGTGTGCTCATTCTCGACACCTGATGCACCCTTGGCATTGGCCGGTGCTAGCGTTCAATGGGAAGAGAAGTCTCGAAACAGGGCAGTCGCCTGACGAAAACCCCCGCCAGACGATACTACCATGCCCACGTCGAGTTCTGACGCCTGACCCAGGTCAGCGGCGCCCTGAACATCCGTCCACTCCTTGCAATCGGGCGAGAACGAGGCAGAGACTTCCTCGCTCGAGACGGTGAGCCGGAGGCACAAGGGCATTTCCACGTCATCCACTGTGGCAATCAAGGTACCCAAGCGCCCGTTGCCGGTGTTCGACTCCTCAAAACGGAGCTTCTTGTCGCTCGTCACGACCAGAGCGACGTAGGGGCTCTCACGAGTCGCATTGCCGCCGGCAAAGTTGTCACGAATGGCGAGCCCGGCCTGGGAGGTCGTATTCTCGATGGCGTCCAGCGATAGGAGGCGGACGCTCACTTGCGAGGACTCGCCCACCGATTGACTGGCATAGATGGCCGCCCAGTCATCGTAGGGACGGAAGAGTCCACGCCCGCCCGTGCGTATGCCCATGATATCACCACTGCTGCCAAATGCGGAAGCAGGCTGCCACGAGGAAGATGTCTGGAGATCGCCATCGTACGGCAGGGACCCAGGCTGTGTGCCCGAGACACTGCGCGTGGATTCAGCGCCGGTACGAGAATTGGTGTATGTGACTGAAGCTGTGATCGTGGGCGGAAGGTCCCCTGAGCCGGACAGATGGTAGAGAACTTGCGCTTGACTATCACTGGACACGGAGGACGGCGGCTCTTGCTCGACTGAGACTTGGTATCCCTCGGACGCCGAGACGGAGAATGAAACATTGACAAAATCCTCGTCGTCGAAATTGGTCAGGTTGACATGAACGGCACCGTCGAGTTCGCTGGCGAATCCGAGAGCAACGTGCCCGTCGTCCCGATCGGGGTTGGAGACGGGTCGGTCACCCCGACGGCCTGGTGGGATGCCAGCCCTATAAGCAACGCGGAGGCCCTCCACAGACACTTGCTTCAGGCCAGTCACGTTATAGTTTCTCAAGAACGTATTGCCAAACTCGCCTGTGCCGTTGGGCCGATATAGGCGGTCGTCGCCAACCTTTCCGAAATTGTCAAGAAGAGTGTTGTTGCCCGTGGTCAAGGACTGCCGTTGGTTCGGGGCGTACCAGTTCCCATTGCTCAGGAGAACATTGTTTGTGATGGTCAGCGAATTCCCGCCCTCGTCGACGTACTTGCCGAACCACTCCGCGTCAAAGGCGTGGTTCTCGGTGACCAGGGTCGAGGGAGCCTTGGAGAGAGTGTAAATGGCGCCGAGGTCGGCGTGCCCGGTGCCATAGTCTGAGATGAGATTGCCCTTGACCAGGTTGTTCTTCAGTGTCGTGGGTGTGTCATATATTGGCTGATACTTGTAGAGCCCGCGGTCGAGGTATTCAGGGCTGCCCCCGACGTCGTTGGAACCCCACCCATAGCCGTGCGTCATCCCTGAATAGGGGACGTCGTGAATGTCGTTGTAGGTGATCTCTGAGTCCTGCACGTAGGTGGCCATGATGGGCACAGTAGAGCTGATGAGAGATGAGGTATTGTAAAAGATGTTCTCGGACACTACGAGGTGCGAGTTGGTCATCCGCGGGTCCTCAGGGTGGTGGGCGTTTGCTTGGATGCCACCGAGCATCAAGCTGTTGCCCATGACTTGGGTAAAGTAGCCACCAGTGACGGAAATGTGCTGAGCGCCAAGGCCAAGGCCCGACATGTACGCGTTGTTATCGTTGCCGATGCCGAAACCGCAGGAGCCGAGTTGGGTGTAGGTTCCGCCTCTGAAGGATATGTCGTGGGCAGCGCTGATCTGGATTGCGGCTGGCATCTGCTGCCAATGCGGACGCGAGGCCTCGAACTCGGGATATGTTACGTTTTCGCCAATGTAGCCGCCAGTCTGCTGGTCGACGTAGCCGTACCCTTGACCAGGTTTCAGCCAGGTAGTATGCGCCTGTCAGATTGGAGTTAGAAGAGGTGCAGATAGATCGTCGGGAAGAATGGGGAAGAACGTGATCAGATGGCTGAGTGTGGCTTACAAAGTTAATGTTCTCAAAGGCGATATCGTGAACAGGCTCGTCATAGGTGCCTCCAATGGTGACCAATGCTTCCTGAACGCCGAGGTAGACCTCCAGATCGTCTATAGACTCGGTGTCAAGCGGTTTATAGTAGACAATGCCTTGGTCCGAGTCGAGATAGAACTGGCCTCCATCATCGAGAAGACTGAGCGCCCCCTGAATCCACGTCAGGAATTCGACATCGTAGAACCCATCAGGGTTGCTAAAGGTGTCGTACCCAATGATGTTGTTCGACCAGCTGTTGCGGACCATGACCATCTCCCTGTCGCGCACCTCCTGTATGGGGGCAATGCGGTCTGTGAAAGCGTTGACGCCTCGTATCTCAGCGCCATCAAGATCACCGACCTCCATGATCCAGTCATACTGAGGATCGTCCCAGTGCATTGACGTGTTCGTGGTGGCAAAGTCGGACCTGTCGATGCGCCGGCGAGCATAGTTTGCAGCCCATCCGTTGACGTACAGGTTGCGGGAGTCGGTGCCAGGGGGGACATTGGCAGAGTAGATGCCGCGAGATCCAGTGTCGGTCCAGTTGGTGATCTCAATGCCACCTGAGATGACAGCCTCGGCGCCTCTGGCCTTCCAAGTGACGGGATGGTCGGGGCTTCCAGAGTCCTTCGCAGTGAGATTTAGAGGTTCCGTGAGAATGTATCTGCCATTCGCAAGCTCGACGACGATGTCTTGCGCACCCGATGATAAGGCGTCCCTGACAGCCTTTTGTGCTCTGGGAAGAGACTGGAAGGGGCGGCAATGCGAGCCATTGTTCAGATCGGACCCCTTGGGCGACACGTAGAACGAGGCTCCAAGTGCACCGGGGATGTGTACATTCAGACATCCGATGAGTATTCCGACTATGGTTTTTCTCAGCGCCATGGTCGGTAAGGTCAAGCTGGCGGTTCAATTTGTGAGCCGCAGGCCAGTCATGGCACCACTATCTTTTCCTCCTGTCCATCGCCCTCTGTGCGGACTGTCTTATACTTTCAGGCGCCAGCGTCGCTTCATTTTAGCCAGACTCAAGCATTGCATTATGCAGGCGGGCTCGATTGGCATTTGTCGACGAGAGCCGTAGAGAGCGAAGAAAAAGCCGCCGGCTCTCCCTCGCATGTACCGAGTAGAATGACGAGGGGTTTGCTCTGCGGGGGCGGCTTTGTGCGAGATCTACTGGACGGTTAAATGACGCCGCAGCTCAGGCTGATCTTGCGCAGGACCAGGACAGGGATACGCGTTTCCGTATGATATGCAATCTGGGGTAGCAGTCTGGGGAAATGTAGGTCGGGGAGAAAGGGCCCAGGGGTAAGAAGAAATACCTCCAGTATTTAATTCCCCGACGGCACAAATCAAACATTCATGGTAAGGTAATCATGAGGCTGATCCCGCTCATTGTGGGCTGCGAAAGGAACCAAGGCCCCAAATGAAACCGTTTTCTCACCACAGCATTTGGCATCCACAACGCTTTGAACTTGAAGTCGATCGAGCCTCTGAGCTGGCATGCAGACTTGGTGTCTTAAAACTCAAAAGAAGGCTACCTACCCTACGTGCCGCACTCTCCACAAAGTCGCTAGCGGTGGTGGAAAGAATTCAGCCATCTACCTTATGTTCAGTATTGTATATGAATAGTATGTAGACTATTGGCCTTATGATGCTTTTAGACTTATGACTGTACTCAATTATTGTCACTTTCACTGACCGGGATATTGATCACGCAGACAGGTGAGCGTTAGCGATTGCGTCGAGACACAATGGTTTCCTCACCCCAAGTCAAGGCGGTGAATTGAACTTGGCGAGAAAAGGGCAGGAGGACACGTGACCTCATGTATTCCCTCAATACTGACCCCGGAAATTGGATGCTGTTACGTGTTATTAGATCCCATCCCAACCTTAATTTTAGGCGGACTATCGTGAGGGATGGGCGGCACGTGATTTCTCTTCGAGCATGAGCAAGATGACTTTGTTCTCATCGGAGATGACTGCAGGGTAGGCGTTGACTGAATGGGGCTTGTCGCCGCGGCAGTCAGTGGCAGCACAATGATGTCTTTTCTTCTTGGCAGAGGCATTTGTAATAATATCCGAGCGATTGCCACACTAGACTACCTTGCCGACCACGCAGCAAACATAAACGAGCCCCGTTTCGGTTGAGGCATCGAATGAGATACGTAGGCTGCAAGCAGGACGGAACATGAATTCCCTCCAACAGTGTGATGAGACCACCATACATACCGCCCAGCGCGAAATTGTTCATTGTATGAAGTGAACAAAAGCAGAATGCAAGACGTTGTCGCCCCACTATCCCAAGTCAGTTGTGCATGAGGCTAACAAAGAGCCGCCGCTGGTCCCACAGTCCCACTTCCGGGAAGTTGGAACGACTGATGCGACTCGTGAAGCGACAATTCGCTTGCTGTCTAGTATGTAGATACCTACTCGAGGGCCCTCCATGACCTCGGCCGCTTAAAATTTTTGATGCCACTGATTCAGGGCAGGCGAGAGTTCGAATCGCGCTGAGAATTTTGCACGGTCACGATAAGGTTCTGACAGGCGACTCGCAGAATGTCGCAGCACCAACAGTGGTCGCGTGAACCGATCCAGTCTTTCGCCCGAGCTTCTCGAACAATGATGGAATGTGGACTATGTGCGAATAGGCAGCCCAAGGGTCCAGGGTGGCGAAGACATCAACAAGACGCAAGCGTGGCAGTCATCCCTACAGCGGTCTGGCCAACGGGTCTGTGGATGGAGTACTCCGTACGTAGTAAGAGATTAATTAATAATTGTGTTTCTTACCGCAGATGTCGCGTGAGATTCGTTCGCTTCGGACTCTGGACACTGGCTCATGCAAGTTCAAGTGGCTAGTTAGTGGCGAACTACTATTCTCTCCAGTCGAGCAACCGACGGAATGGAACGTTACTAATAGTATTAGCCCGCGATCTGGAGACAGGATTGGCGGCGCGTTTCACAATCTCGAGTCTCCTCTCGCAACTTACGTATCTAAAATCCCCTGGTGTCATTATTGATCATGTTTCCTGGCCTATGGCCTCGCTTTCCCTCGGCTGTCTGCGTCCAAGTTGTACATAATGCTATGGATCACCCGGCAAAGTCGGCTCGGTGTGTCCACGCCAGGACAAAAGTGCTGCTCAACCTCCTAGTGCGCGATTACGAGACACATTCGGCTCACCGGCCACGAGATGTGGGCCACTGGTTCCGCATACCACTCTGCAAAGACGCAGCCAAAGTCGATTCCCGGCCGGATAGAGCGGGCTGGCCACCCTTACCAGTTTTGGCCTCGGCAACCGGCGCTTGGCCACCTCCCGCCCCAGACTCGGCACTGCAGCGCCGGGAATGCGCGCAAGCGTCTTGGTCATCTCGAGTGAGAGACTACTACGGATAGTAAGAGTCGACCTTTCGGTCCGGCTTCCACAGGCATCAGTCCGCCAACCATAAGTTCCTCTCCATGTGTGGGCGTAATTGTCCGTACGTACTACGTACAGCAAGAGACTAGCCCAGCGCCAGCGAGACGCTGCACACTAACCTACTGTGCAGTACGCGGTTGCAACCAGCCTAGATGACTACGTACATGGAATTAGGCCGTCCGGGGTGGATCGCCGCAGTTGAGGCCTCACGCGTTCTCAGACGCGCCCAGAGTCCCAGGCGCGCGCACACACACACACACACACGGACACACACACACACATGCCTACCAACCACACATCCCCAGTCCTTATCTCCATGTTGTCATGGAATCACAAGTGGCGTGGAACGACCGTGGCGGAGGATCCTCGCGTGGTCCGGCGTGGAGAAGCGCGAGATAAGGGTCGTCCCAAGTGGACCGGGGCTCCGTTGAAGATTTTTCTATAAGTGAGGGCCCTCTTTCGTTTCCCTGACCACCGCTCGATCTTCATCTGTCTCAACCTGGGGTAGCCGAGCGTAATACGTAAGTCAACATGGCCATGAACCACGAGGACACCGCAGCAGAGTAAGTTTGGTCCCTCCCCTCGGCCGTATTAGGTAACGGGGCATGGCTGACCCCAGATTCAGGCTGCATGAGGCCATGGAGTCGCGCAAGACCGGCGCGCACAAGGACCTGACCGGTGGCTACATCGGTACTGGCGACGCCACGGGCGAGAAGGCTGGCTTCGACGCTGAGGCTGTGCCTACCCTCGACGGCGAGGAGCCCAGCGAGCATGAGAAGCGCACGCTTCGTCGTGTTGGCGAGAACCTGCCCGCGTCCGCCTTCCTCATCGCCATTGTGGAGTTGACCGAGCGCTTCACCTACTACGGTGCTCAGGGTCTCTTCCAGAACTACATCAACAACAGCCGCAATGGCGCAGACGGCGCCAAGGGTCTGGGTCTGGGACATCAGGCCGCCACTGGCCTCAACCTGGCCTTCCAATGGCTCTGCTATATCACGCCCATCCTCGGTGCCATTGTCGCTGATCAGTATCTTGGAAAGTACAAGACCATCATCCTCTTTGCCGGTGTCTACTGGCTCGGTCTCATCATCCTGTGGACCACCTCTCTGCCATCCGCCCTCGACGCGGGCGCCGGTCTTCCTGGATATGTCGTGGCCATCTTCATCATTGGCTTTGGCACAGGTGGCATCAAGTCCAACATTGCCCCTCTGATTGCGGACCAGTACCAGCGTCGCGTCATGGCCATCAAGACAGAGAAGTCGGGCGAGCGTGTGGTCATCGACCCAGCCATCACCTACCAGAGAATCTACATGATCTTCTACTGGTGCATCAACCTCGGAGCGCTCTCCCTCTTGGCCACGCCCTTTATGGAGAAGTATGAGGGCTTCTGGAGTAAGCACTTTCCCCCCTATTCACCAGTGTCCCCCGCCCTCATTGCTAACACCGTCGCACAGCCGCCTATCTCATGTGCTTCTGCATGTTCAACATCGGCATTGCCATCCTCATTCTTCGACGCAAGAGCTACGTCAACCGTCCGCCTCAGGGCTCGGTCATTACCGACTCCTTCAAGGCCATCGGCATGATGATCATGGCCCGCGACACCAATGCCGCCAAGCCCTCCTGGCGCGAGGCCCACGGCAAGACACAGGCTGTCCCCTGGAATGATCACTTTATCGACGAGCTCAAGCGTGCCCTGCGTGCCTGCAAGGTTTTCGTCTTCTGTGAGTACCGCCCCGCCCCTCGTGCAGCGCCCGGATGCTGACCCGAGGGAGACCCCATCTTCTGGGTATGCTACGGCCAGTTTTCGACGAATTTCGTCACCCAAGCTGGTCAAATGGAAGGCCACGGCATGCCTAACGACCTTATGCAAAACTTCGGTCAGTTTGAGCCTATTTTCAATGTTCTAGCAATGTTCTAGCACGCCTGTGGCGGGTGCTATGAATATTTGAAGTCGTCGTGTATCTCGTGAACCCCCCCGGCTAACACCATCGCAGATCCGCAAGTCCACCCCGTTGAAAGCGCCACGCGCCGCAGAAGCTAACCTTTTCCGTGTAGTATAAGCATTCTCGTATTCACGCCCATCCTCGACAGGCTTGTCTACCCCTTGTTGCGCCGCTGCGGCATCGAGCTGCGCCCTATCGCCCGCATCACCATCGGTTTCTGGCTGGCCGCCCTCTGCCTGGCCTACGCCGCCATTGTCCAGCACCTCATCTACTCGGCCGGCCCGTGCTACGAACATCCTGGCGCCTGCCCGGCGGGTATGGACGGCCAGACGCCACTGCCCAACCACGTCCACATTGCGGTTCAGACACCAGCCTACGTGTTCATCGGTCTCGCCGAGATTTTCATCTCTGTCACCGGTCTGGAGTACGCCTACACCAAGGCGCCCCCCAACCTCAAGTCCCTGGTCTCGGCCTTGTACCTGACGACCAACGCCTTTGGCTCTGCCATCTCGGAGGCCCTCGTGTCCGTCGCCGTGGACCCCAAGTTCATCTGGATGTACACTGGTGTGGGCGTGGGCTCGGCCGTCATAGGATGCATCTTCTACGCCCTCTTTAGGCACTACGACGCCCAGGAGGAGCAGATGGCCGATCTTGACCGTGACCTGGCTCCTCTCACGCATGATGGCCCTGTCAACAAGGAGGTGCAGACATAGGTCACTTGTCTGACACACGCGGAATGTAGGCCTTGGGCCGATACAACCGGCACCTGCTCGACATATCGTATATCTAAGTACATAATTCAAGCAAGCTGTACTCAAATTTTGGTCCTTTTCGTGCCTGAATGTGAATCTCAGACAACATGAGCGTGAAGCAGTAATAGGTCTCACACTATGCGACCGGCAATTTGCACACTCATGTGTACATTCATGGACATCTGATACATAGGCTCCTATACAATGCTGTTGATAGTGAGGAGATGCCAATTTGAACAGCAGAACTGACTTTCTATGCGGCAAAAACCACAGTGCCCTGCGAGGCTTCTGCTCATAAGGGGCCATATGTCAAGATGTTGGCCTTGATGCATGTCCTTGTCTCAATTGGCTTTTTGAACTGCACGCACTCTCAAACAATAAACGGATCTTGTGGTTCTTGCGACCTCTGCTGGTGAAGTCACTTTTCCGATGCGTGTCCGGTCCAATCGAGCATTTGAAAGGGGTGATGAGAAGAGCCCGACCAGGGCTGGCAACCATCCCAATATAGGATCAATTACCTTCATCTTTTTCAAGCACATCTGGCCGAGTGGTCTAAGGCGCTGTGTTCAGGAGATTCGTTTCTCTCGCAGTCTCGTAAGAGGCCTGGGTTCGAGTCCCAGGGTGTGTAATCGCATAAATTTTTTGATTTCTTTCGGTCTTCGCGAGATGCCTCATTTTTGGCCTCTGCATGCTATCAAGTTGAGGAAGGACGTCCTAGATGATGAACCTGCCGACTTCAATTGCGGTCACCCACAGTGACCTTGATCATGCTAGCATGTTCCACGACAACCGCACCAACTCTACTGCTCACTACCTATTCGCTGACCTGTCTAGCTGTTTGGATTATTTTGTCTTAGTTTCTAATTCATCTTTCGTCTCAGTTGGTTTTGTGCCTTCGAATTCCAGACGCACCCCAGCCCGGCTTCATCCTCGCACCATCTACACAGACAACATGCCATTGATTAGAATTGTGGCGCTCATGCCCCGACACCATGCCCTGGGTTGACACGCGTCGCACGGTGAGAAGCGTCTGCCGTCGGGTGTGGGCGACAGTCTCACAACCTCCGCCAAAGCCTGTGACAGACGAGCCCGAGGAGATCCTCCCCTTCCTCCCAGATCCGCGCCCCCGATGCATCACGCCGCAGCCCTCCGCCGATCCTCCGCATCGAGAGGAATGTCTATTCTTCCGTAGACTGCCCCCCGAGATACGGATTCAAATTTATAATCATGCGTTCGGCAACCAGACCTTGCACATGGACCTCAGCTACATCTGGCCAGACACGCCCAGATCAAGGGTGGCTGCTGAGGACGGGAGCACGCGACACTGCGCAATCACACCCATGGAGAGTCACCCGTCCTATCGCGATCTCGACAGCACGCAACCAAAGGCATGGCGCTGGTGGGGCAGCGTGTGCCACAGAGAACCGCCGCCGCACGAAATGTCCGTGATTCGTCGCTGGGACTTGGAGCCGGCGCCGTGGTACGACAAATGCCGTAACGGCGACGTGAAGTATTGCGCGGTCTGGGGAGGCGCGTGGCCTGCAAGGTGCCAGATTGGTGTCATGGGCTGGCTTCTAAGCTGCCGCCTGGCGTGGGTTGCCATGGAAAGACTCTGGTCGTGCAATGGCGTGAGCTGACTGCCTCTAGGTACGACGAGACCATTGACGTTTTATATCGCCAAAACACCCTGCACATAGTCAGCCATGCGATTTTCGAAAACCTCAACCGGCTCTTCCTCGCACAGCGCTTGTCGTGCATCTCGTCGTTGGAGATCAAGTTCGGCACGAGCATCATTTCGATGCACAGGTGGGCATCGTACAGGAAGGCGATCGACGGGATACAGAATCTCTTCCAGGTCCTCACAGCTCAACTTCCAAGTCTCCGCACCCTTCACGTCACCATCACATCTGTGTTTCATATTTACACCTCGGTGGACTTTAATCCTTTCCTCGAGGCCGCGGACAAGTTCATTGTCGCCAACCCTGCCTTGACACGCTTCACGCTTTCCATGCCGCAAGGCGCCTTTCAGCGTTTGTGGGTCGAAGCACAGGAAAATAGAGCGCCGCAACACGAGAATGGTGGCATCGAGAAGGAAGTCTTCCGGTTTCTCAACGGCACCTACGGATTCACAGACCAAGATGCCCAGGGGACGGGCCTTCGTTGGAAGCGCGATCGCCCGCTGCGGTCCAACTCCAACGAGTGCGACAATGGGTACTGGGTCATTGAGGGTCAGAGCAACCCTCATCTATTTGGCTTGTAGCATCAAGCGACCTAGTATACGTATGTAAAGTACGGGTTCTCCTTGTCGGTGAGGTCTTGGAACGCGAGTTTGTCCCTGTCCTCGGCGCTGACAGCCAGCTTCGCCTTCTTTGCGTTTTCCCTCCTCAGGACAACGTACAGTGCTGCACTAGCCGCGATGCAGATGGCGTAGCAGATGATCAGGCCTGTCCAAAGCTCGGGATAGTGGTCGGCCTTTTGCTTCGAGTCCACCAGCTGTGGGCCAACAATATTGCCGACGCAGTAGGCAATGAAGATGGTCGCGGCCATGAAGCTCTTCTTTGTGTGTCCGGCGACGTTGGACATGCCCACAGTGATGATCAGAGACACGACGGCGCCAAAGAATCCGGTGATGGAGTAGCCGGCGAGAGGCGTCGCAGCGCGGTACGACCACTCAGACTTCCAGATCATGGCGCACCCTACTTCATCAGCCATGTGTACTGTGCGGCGTTTTGGAAACGCGAAGACTTACCCGCGATGACGGGGAGGCAGCAGACAATCAGCATGATCAGCCTGATGTTGCGAAACCTGGATCCCAGGAAGCCTGTGAGTAAGATGGCCACGAAGCAAATGGCACCCAGAGGAAACTGCCACAAGATGGAATGCAAGGGCGCCCATCCAAATGTCGATACAATCAAAGGCCCAAAGCCGCTCACGGCACCGTTGACGGTATACCTGTCGAGGTCAGCGCTGCGTCTTTTCACTCTCGCACTTGATGCACTCACGCGCTGCTCATCATGACGAAGATGAGCCAGACTTTTACATCCAACAGTGCTTCCCTCAGCTGCGCCCACTTGAATTTGGCGCAACGCACGCCGGTCTGACCATGCCTCAACCTCTCGACGGCTGCGAACCGCTCTTCCTTGGTCAGGAACCAGGCATCCACGGGCGAGTTGGGCACGCAGAAGCAGAACAGGCCAAACAGAAAGGTCAAACTCCCGGCCAAGATGTAAATGTACTGCCATCTAGTCAAGCTGCCACCCTGGATTGTCGCAAAGCCATAGTTCAGACCGCCGCCGATGACGGTCCAGAGCCCGGTGCTGCTGAACCACCAGCCTTGGCGCAGACTCTGCTCCGACTGCGTGTAGTAGCTCGAGACGATGCACATGAACCCGGTGGGGATGATGCTCTCGACGAACCCCAGGAAGAACCGCTGGACGTACAAGCCCTTGTAGGACGTCACGCCCGCTGTAGACAGGCAGATGGCTGACCAGACGATGACAATACCACCGAGGATGCGGCCCATGTTGAATCGCTGGAGGGCATAGGTCAAGGGGTACAACCCGGCCAGCATGCCAAAGTAGAAGAGGCTGGTCGCCCAGGACAGTCTCCTCGTATCGACAACAGGCGGCGTCGCGTCTGGGTCGGTCACCACAGAGAGCTCCAGGTCTGCAGTCATGCCGAACAGGACGGCGGCGCCCAAGATGGCCTTGTCGTAGTACACAAGGCCGTAGCCGACGATCATGGCGGGGATGAGAAACCAGTCGATCTTGCGCACGGCGCGCGCCGTCACCTCAGGGTCCAGCTCGTGCGCTGTCAGCCCAACAAAGGCGATGGCATCGTCGGGGGACTTTTCGTCGAGGCCAGCTGGTCTGGCTGGCTCTTTCGTCGGGTGGTCCGTGGACGCCATCGTGTCCAACTGCCCAGCGTTTGTGATCTGCGAAAATGCGTGTATTTGTTGCGGTATATTTCTTGTGGTATCCTTGCCAACCTAATTATTTTACCGGCAGCTGCGTGATCGGCCAAGAGTGGGGAAGCCTGTAGGCTGTCTATCAGCAGGGGTCTAGCTCCGTACGGATGCCGCCAGTCCTGACTCAAGGACGAGAGCAGCCCTCTTCCCGATACCCGGCCGGAGAGGTGGGGCCGGACACGGATGTGCTTTACAGGAGAGAAGTGCTTCGCATCAGTATTGCTTACTTGGAAAAAAGGGGGTGCGTCGATTTGCGCGAGTAGCGTCTTCTTGGCTACTGAGAAATGAGGCTGCTTTTGACTTGTTGTGTCGCGAATGCAGGTGCACTCAACTTCATGTGTCCAAGACCAGGTCTACCAACGGGTTGCAGCAGAATAAAAAAGGATACCCCCCCGAGCCCCGGCAACGTAATAAAGCAGCAAAAGTAAAACTAAATGTGGAGCAACGGGGAATTGAACCCCGGACCTCTTCCAATCACACGTTGTGCAGATCAACGTAGTTAACCTTGCGAAGGAAGCATCATACCCCTAGACCATTGCCCCTATTAATAAGCATCAACTCCACGCATAGCAGGCCTATATATTCATCAGGGGCTTTACGTCGAAAAAAAAAAAGTATTCTTCGTCGCTTCCTATTGCGTAAGTCACTGTTCGCAATCTTGATCGTGTTCGTCTCTTTGACATAGCCTGAAGTAGTGACAGGGGCCAAATCTGCTGCGAACAACATGGCTGAGCATTAGTTGCCCTACCCCAAACGCCGAACATCTACGGATAGAACATCCCCAATCATGTGGCTTTCGCTGGAACTCTCAGCGTTCGCCATTTGTAAATCAACTCTGCAAAAGTGTTCTGGTCAGGACTCAACCGTTCCCAAACCTCTTCGTATGGCGCAGATTAAACATCAAGTCAAGCCATGGTCCATATGGAGAAATCACCAAGGACGCCAGAGAACAAAGATCAACTCTGAACAAGCAACAACACAAGGATATATATCAATCCAGGCATAAAAGTCCAAACCTAATTTTTCTATCATCCAAACACCACCAGAACTAACACCAGACTACGCTACAATCATATCAGAACCGCAACATGTCTTTCTTTTCTCAGTCCGCAAGAGGCGCGAGGGACGCTCCCCTGAAGCGCGAGTCCAGAGACCCCGAGTGGTGGAGCCATGCACACTATGTCCCTCAAACCGATGATCCCGAGCGACTGTTCATTTTCGCCGAGCCAAGCCACATGTCAAAGCAGGAGGAGGACGCAATTCTCGCCCTATGGAACAAGGAGACTTCAGCGCCTGGCGCCGAGGACGCCAAAGGCCTAGCCTTTGACCTTCGCCCAAGCGACACGGCGGACCAGAAAGCAGCAGCCCAGATCAATGAGCTCCGCCGCATGGGCGAGCGGATTACGCCTGAAGTTGAGGGCATGATTCGCGCCCACTATGCCAAGAACTGTGGTCTTCTCGAGTCTTTGCGTCACTTTTGCCAGGAGCAGGAGCTTGTCCCGGTTCGATATCTGAACGAGCTCGTCCTCATGAATGAGCGTTTGATTGTCGAGTGCGCCAAGCAGGGAGCTCGTGCTCACGAGCCCATTGTCAAGAACCAACCGCCTGATCTGCCCCCTCAGCGTAATCAACTCGAGATTGAGAATCAAGCACTGAAGGAGCAGAATGAGCTGCTCAGGCAGCGGGTTGAGGAGCTCCAGCGCAAAGAAAATAGGCGTCAGCGGCCTTCGCGCCCTCCCAGAGACGGTCGCTTTTCCAATTCTGTGCACCCTTCTCGGTCGAACACGTCTAGCTCCACGCACTCCAGCCGGAGGAGCCATCATAGCCGGACCGAAAGTCGAGGTGCCCCTCGAACTACAGGTGACGACGACAACAATTGGGTACCACCGACGTTGGAGGAGATGATGCGTGAAGTGCCTGAGCCGCAGCCTGACAGTGAGAACCGGTAAGCCCCCCACCCCCTTTTTTTGCGACATGATGAGCTGTCATTCGCGGTTGCGTATGGCTTTTGGGTGTATTCCGACTGGTTTCCTTTATATTTGAGACGTCTGACGCGCAGCCATCCGGATCAGATTGTGCTTCTCCGACCTTGGCGACCATTCGTGGAACCCACGTGTAGGAGGCATATGCAGTGCGACAAGGACGTCAGTAAGGAGAGCTTGCATGTGTGTATGGAAGGTAATAGTATTTGTTTCACGGCTGATTGCCCATGTGTCTGACAAGTGACTTTAATCGACATTGTAAAATGAAGACAGCGTCAAGCAGTGTAGCCCCTGGATCCAACAATTGTGGCTGTCATACAGTCTGGAGGCGGGAGTGGCGGTCACAGGTTCATGTCGTGCTCTAGAGACTGACCCCTAGCGGGCGAGGTGAACATCGTTCAAGATTGACCTTCGGGGCAGCCATATATGTGAATAGCCGCTATGTGATGCAACACAGACACCGGAACTATCCGCCTCCCGCCCGCACTGACCTGTGAGGTTGGAGATGCCCAGCCGGGCTAGAGATTCAGTTTGATGCCATAATCAGGGACACTACAACTTCATGTTGGGCACGTTGAACTCCACGTGTGGAATGGACTGTACTGCCCTGGCTAGAGCGAGCCTGTTCACTCATGTTCCAGATAAATCGGTTACCCATCTAGAGTGTTCGCACTGTCTCAAACATTGAGAGTTCTACCAATCACTAGGCCATAGGGCTTGTCTAGAAGCCCATGCTTATCAACCCATCTGTCATCAAAGATATCGCTCCCAGGAGGCGCGTCATACCGGTTGGCGGCAGGTTTCTTTTGCGGGGGTTTCATGAAGACGTTACTTGGGTGGCACCTTATGTTGACTTCAGCACGACTTGGGTGGGAGATGCTCTTCAGCGTCTTTTCATCCAGCAAATTCACGGCCATGTCACATCATTCATCACGCCTCATGGCATCCTCAACAGTGACCATGTGGATCCACTCGAGCGAGGTTATATCCTTACTTTGACCTCAGTCATCTCTCAGCTCTAGATCATCCTCTCTCTCTCCACTTCTCTTTGCCATGTTACTTTAGCCCCTTCACTCACTTGACGTCTTGTCCACTCTTTTTCTTCTTCCTCAACTACTGAATGCCTTTCTTTGAACATCGGAGAGACTCAAACCTTGCTCTCAAAGCACTTTGACAAGATTCACCATGGCAGGCCACGATCCCGCTTTCGAGGCCATGATGGCAATCCGCGCCAAGCACAATCACCGCGCGATGCTTTACTTTGCTGTCATTCTTTTCATTCAAGCCTTATCTACCTGCATCTTCGTTTTTGCACCTCGCTGGTTGAGGATTCACAAACACCGACCAACTTTGCCCAGATTTTGTGCAGCAACTACTCGGTACGTCCACTCGGTCAATCACAGATCATGCAATGGGGGAATCCTGACGCAGACAGTCACCTCACTTCGTTGCTCAGCAAGCATGTCCCGTGTCTTCCTTCAGTTGGACACATGCTCCACGTCGCTGTGTACACCATCGCCAATGTGGTCTTGACGTTCGCACCCATTGACTACACGAACATGACAACGCTGTCCAACATTGCTTCACGAACAGGCTGGTGAGTGCAGTTCTCCATTTACTCTACTGGAACAATACCTGACGTACCCAGGCTCGCCATGGCAAATGTGGCAGTCTTTGTGCTCTTCTCGATGAAGATCAACCTGTTTTACTTTGTGGGCGGCTTCACCTACAACCGCCTCAACATCTTGCACCAACTCGCTGGATACATGACCATCGCGCATGTCATCGTACACGCAGCTTCCTATTCTGCTTACTTCGTCTCGGACCACCGGCCAGAGCGCCTGCTATACAAGGCGGAGGTGTATGGGATGATTACAGGCATCTGCTTCCTAAGCCTCGGCATCTCAGGGGCATATATACGCCGTTGGTGGTATGAACTCTTCTATTATCTACACATCGCATTTTGGATCATCGGCGTCGTCACTCTTGGGCTTCACCAGCCTGAAACTGGCAAGGGCATCATCTTCATTACCATCACATGCGCCAGCCTCTGGGTTCTCGATCGCCTGACACGCTTTCTCCGCCTGGTCGTCTGCAGTGTCTCGAACGAGGCTACCCTCACGCCCTTGACCAACGGCGGCACCCGCGTCACTCTCAAGAAAGCGCCACATGGAGCGGAAGCTGGACAGCACTGCTTCCTGTGGATCCCCGCCGTCCGGAGGTTTGAGATGCACCCGTTCACCATTGCCAACGTGGACTCTGCCGAGTTCGTCATCGCTTCTTATAATGGATTCACGAAAGATCTCCATGAGTATGCGGTCTCGCACCCTAGAGCTGTTGTTCGGGCTAGTGCCGAGGGACCCTACGCCTCCCCTCGCACTCCTGGTAGCATCGACAAGCTGATTTTGATTGCTGGCGGAAGCGGTGGCTCGTTTGCTTTTGGGAGGGGCAAGACACATGGTTTCGCTCCAGGCCCCCGGTCCGTCAAGGAGATTGAACTCATCTGGATTGTCCGTCATCATTGTAAGTATTCCTCTGGATATCAAGACTCGCGCTCTTGTTAACTTGCTGTAGCCCAGCTCAACTGGTTCGCGAGAGAGATCGCAGACCTCGCCGGTCAAGAGCGCGTCAAGATTCACTTGTTCGTGACCCGCGGACCTGGAGTGAGCCCCCGAGGCATTGACTCCCTCGCCTTGAGCACGACTGTCTCGAGCCAAGACGGGGCAACTGATCGCGCCTTTGCCGACGAAGACTGCAAATCAACAGCAAGTTCCGCAAGGTCTGTCGATTCCGAGAAGGAGGATCTTTCGACCGCAACTGATGAGCGCGACGTCCCCCAAATCTACGGAGTGTCGGTGACTTTCGGGCGCCCAGACGTGGCGGGTATGCTTCGTTCATCTATCGAGGACCTTGGCAGTGATGAGGCTGTCACGGTCATGGCATGCGGGCCAGGGGGTCTTCTACGTGCCGTACGAGACACCACTTCGTCGTGCACCAAGCCGGACGGGCCTTCTGTGAGCGTGCACTGCGAGCACTTTGGTTGGTAGTCTTGATTTTTGGGATTGGCCATGGCGAACGGCGAACAACTGGGGACTCAGGGAGGCGTTTTCGTTGAGTGTACATGATGATTTCTTGGTCGTCAAAGAGGGTCTTGACACGGTCTGATTTTGATATAGTTGATTGGACACTGGCTTTCGTTCATGGCTGAACGATTGTTTATTTGCGGAAGCCCATTCCAGCTTGTGGCCGAGAAATTCATTAGTCTTGAGCAGGTTGAGGACTGATAAGAGTCCGACACCACTTCCGTAGATCCACCAGCGACCTTCTGGGAGGCCCTCCGTCCCGTCGCGAGTGCATGCCAGCCTGCATGTGCCATTATAAACCCTCGCCCGGATCCCTTCATGTTTCTGAGCGCTGGAGGTCTCATGTACACCCCACAGACACACCATGCCTCCTCTGTTGTCTGCCGTGATTGAACTGCCGCTGTTCAACTCGGCATCGCCATGGGCAACCACAGAGGCGCAGCTGAGGGAACTGCTCGAATGCCCTGCGACCGGCGCAGTCACTGTCCGGACAAGCTTGATGCAGGGATTTGACCATCGACCAGGAGACCATCGTTTTACCTTCTTCACTGCGGGCTCTGGGGAAGTTGCGAGAGCGGGGACACAATCTTACCCCGACGACACCGATAAGAGTGCGACGGACGACGACGCTGACTGCATCATCGACCACGATGATGCGCCGTGCGACTCCACGCTCAACAACCTGGGGTACAGCCCATATACCCTGCCCGAGTACCTCGAGATACTGCAGAAGCTGTCGAATACCTCCGACACTCACAAGTGCTTTATCCTGTCAGTCACAGGCACCGCCGCAGACGTGAGACAATGCTACGAGGCCATCGTGGATGCTAAAGAGCGCATCCGTTTCCCGCTTGCAATGGAGGTCAACCTGAGCTGTCCCAACATCCCCAATTCGCCCCCAGTGGCGTACACCAAAAGTGCTCTTTCTCAGTACATCCGTGCGTTGCCAGAAAACCCAGAGATACCTGTCGGAATCAAGATGCCCCCATACACTCACGCCGGGCAGTACGATTCCTTGAAGGAGGCGTTGCTTGAGTCTGGCGCTGCCTCCCGTTTGAGCTTCGTCACTGCGGTCAATACACTGGGATCCTGCCTGATACTGGAATCAACGAACACCTTTGAAAGCGCACGGTATGTACCAGGCGTGCCTCCGCAGAGCGTCGAGCGACAAAGGTGGAAGGACACCCTGCCTGGGGGAGGGTTCGGTGGCATGGCGGGGGCAGCCCTGCATCCTCTTGCTTTGGGGAACGTCCGCATGCTTCGAAATCTACTCGATTCAGAAGAGTCTCTGTCGAAGATTGAGGTCATCGGCGTGGGGGGTGTGGGTGACACTTTTGGATATGGAAGGATGCGTGCTGCTGGGGCCACGTTCGTTGCTCTAGCCAGCGCTTTGGGTGCGAAGGGGATTCGTGTCTTTTATGAAATCGTCTGAACTTGGTAGCTTGCAATCTCGTTTCACTTCTCACGTACGCTTTCATTTGACAGAGGGACCAAGTTTGCGAATGCCTACGTGTACCCTATTCAATCGTGCCCCCATAGCGTGGCGTGGGAGCACAGGGCGATCATATAACGTCGATGGGAAATCAGTGCCCGTCTTTTATGAGGCTACCAGTATATGAACAGAAATATGTAGCCAAATTCTCCAAAGCGATCAGGTCGAGCGAGTCTGGCGATCGGGGTGGTGTAAGAACGTGAAGATATTTGCGACGCCGGCACTTCGGATTTTAGATGTCCGAACACCAAAAGTGACGTCGCAGCAAATTATCCCGAAAACGCGCCAGACGCGTCTCCCAGCTCTCCATCACCATCACCACCACCACCACCACCAAATGCAGTGCGAAAGAAGCATGGCTGCATCACTCTTCCAGCTCCCTGATGAGCTCCTATTAGCTCCCGTCCTGCAAACCTACCCTTGCCGCGACCACCAGATCCACACCCTCGCAACATTGCTCTACGTGCGTCTCTCCCCTTCCCAGGAGCTTTGGATTCGTGTCTAACAACAGAAAGCCGTCAGCAGCCCCCTGCCGAACACTCACGATCCACGGCGTAGAGTCAACCGGCAAATCCGCCATCACAGCCTCTCTGCTGGCCTCTCTTGCGAGACCAACGCCAAACCTACGATATGCCTTTGTCAATGCGTCCCAGTGTATCACCGCGCGTCACCTCTTCGAGTCCATCGTCATGTCGATAGCAGAGGCCTTGGACTGGCCGCAAGAAGATACTGCGATTCGATGCGAAACCTTGGCGCAATTGGACGTGGAGCTGGTCCGGATGTTGAAATACCCCAAACGAGAGGACAACTTTCGCTTCGTCCTGGTGCTCGATGCGATAGACCGGGCCAGAGATGCGCCATCGTCCATGCTCCCCGGCCTCGCTCGCCTGTCTGAGATTGTTCGTAGCGCGCCCTCCCGTGTAGCGTCATCCGGCTGACACGTATAGATTCCATGCCTCACGACGGCATTTATCCTCACAGCACCTCTACCGCTGAGGACGTCCTCCTTCACGCCAAGTGTACATTTTCCACCATACACAAAGCCCGACTATCTCCGCATTCTCGCCTTGACGCCACCGACAGAGCCAACACACAATGCGACCATGGAGGAAACACTCGCCCTGTGGCCAAGATTCTGCGCAGCGGTGCACGATGCGCTCGTACAGTCAGCAGCTCGCTCGCTGCCAAGCTTCAAGCGAGCGTGTGAGACCCTTTGGCCGAGGTTCATTGCCCCTATCGAGAAGGGCACATACGAGGCGAAAGAGTTCTCCAAGCTCCTCGTCGCAGCAAGGACACACTTCCAGGACGAGTCAGTGCTAAACCCCAGCATCATCTCCGTCGCACCCTCCTCCAAAACCACCTCGACGGACCTGTCCACCCTGCTGCCTCGCACGGCGCGGATACTGCTGCTCTGTGCCTATCTCGCCTCGCACAATGCCCCTAAGCATGACCTGACGCTCTTCTCCACACACCACCAGGGTGGTCGTCGAAGACGGCGGGTAGCCCCGACAATAGCCTCCAACAAGCACCGCAAAATCGCGAGGAAGCTGCTCGGCGCCCATGCCTTTGTCCTCGAGCGCATGATGGCCATTTACGCGGCTGTGAAGAGTGAATGGACAGAGGATCCTCGAGTGGCAGCTGTAGATGCCGACGTGGGCATGGCAATGGCTACGCTCACCAGTCTCAGACTGCTCACGCGTGTTGGCACGGGCGACGTGATGGACCGCGGTGGCAAGTGGAGGATTAGCGTGGGCTGGGAGATCATCCGAGGGGTCGGGAGAAGTATAGGCGTCGAGCTAGACGAGTGGTTGATAGAGTGATTGCAATCGAACATGTTGCAAAGACCACTTTCGACGAGCACAATTAACGATTCAATGTATATGCATTCAAGGCGTCGTAGGTCATAATCTCTATCTATATCATGTCGGAACGGTGCGGTCAGGGGACCGCCAAGTGTCTTCCTGCTTTGTCCCAGGAGCCAGCCACTGCGAACTGCTGTGCCCCCTCTTCCTTCTCGATCCCGTTCCAGACAGGTCGTCGGTTTTCTTTGTATCCTCGGCAGCCGTCGAGATCGGTGAGAAGTAACTCCCCTCATTATAGGGGTGGACACCCGATGGTGTTCCATTGTGGCTCCCGGACTGGCCTTCATCGATGGGCAGCAGAGGCGCAGGCGTCTTAGTCTGGGTCATCATGCGAACTTTGCGATCCGCCTTGTTGCTCTCGCTTGTGCGGTCATACAGATACAGCCCGAGGAAAGTGAGTGCAATGCCGGCAGCTTGGACAGGGGTCGTCGGACTGCGGAACCATATGATCGCAAGCACAATGACGAAGACGCGCTTGATCAGACTGGCCACGGAGTATGTGACTGGCGAGACCATGGACAGCAACACGAAGGCAAGAATGTTCTGGCCAAAGTGGGTAACGCCGTTGAAGACAAACTCCAACAGCAGTCGTCCGTGGTCCATTGTCTCGGGTCCATCCTTCAAAGCAATCGATCCGTCGTTGAGGAAGTCCCTGAGCAGCGTGATGCCCTCGCTCCAGAACCAGATGGGCAAAGTCAACAATAGGGCCATTCCCGACGAGTAGCACAAAAGATTGAGCTTGTCCAGCTTCTTGGACTGGGCAGTCGCGCCGTTTCGCTCTGCTTTGGCTGCCTCGTTGAATAGCTTCTTTGAGAAGATATTCTGGGTCACAAAGATCAACGTCGCGAGCAGTGCCTGGATGATTCCTAGGAACTCTCCTCCCAATCCGTGCTTGCCAGAGCATGCCAGCATGACACCAGCCGTCAACGGAATGAGGGACAGGTATGTCGCTTTCGGATAACGAATGTCGTATATCAGTCGGTAGGCGAGTACGGTGAACAGCGGAGACAAGCCCTTGATCGTGTGAACTAGCGAGACGGGGATCTTGGCTGTAGCTGTCGAGCTGAGCAGATGTCCACCGATTTGGAAAGCCGCGAGGGGGAGCGTCGTCATGATCACGTCCTTGGACGGAGGCCGGATCGGGTGCCTCAAGGCGGTGATCTTGGTACGAAGACTAGGGAAGATGACTGCCAGTTGCGCAAAGAGTATGCACAACGTCGAGACAAAGGCAAATTGCACGACCGTCAGCGTCGCAGGCTTGTCGAAGGCATTCAAGATGGATTTCGAGGATGTGTTGGTGAGCGCAGACGAGGTGTACCACAACAGGCACAGAATCTGCAATCGCACAGGGTTAGTGACTCGACTCGGACTGCTTTGCTGGAAATCGAGCATAACTCACAATAAGCTTGGGCGAAAGTGGCGCTCTGAGAGCATCGGCCAGCTCATGCGCGTTCTGGCTCACGCTGCCGTTGCGTGTGCGGATCGTGCGAAAGGCATCTTGTAGGCTCTTCTGGCGGTTATGGCGACCTACGCCTGGCGATCCCGAGGGCGACCACCCCGAGCTATTGTGCTCCCTGCGCGGCACAGGAAGCCAGCGGTCTGGCAGGTGTCGAGCTTGATCACCATCGGGAAGACTGGGGAACTGGCTCTGGACGGGGGAGTGAGCGTCCCCGTTTCCCATGACGGGCGCATCGATGTGGTCCGGAAACTTCTCCATGGCGAGGAAACGTCGATACTGTTCGCGAATCGAAGGAACGAGTGACTAGGGCAATCGGCGCAAAAGCGAGTGAAGGGGTTCGAGTTAGCGTCGCATAGTCCGTATGGCGTGCTCTGACGTAAAATGTGTGAAAAGAGTCCCGAATTCAAAGTGACAGTCCCGAACCAGCCGCGGCGTTCAAAGAATGATGGGAGTCGCTATGAAGTGTGCTGGTGTAGAAAGGCGGCTATGAAACGACGAAAGGTATAAATCCCGCCAAGGACGCGAATAGCAGAATGACGATTTGGCGTCTCAGGGGGTTGCATCCACTGCAAATGGGCGCGGCTCAGTTCGCTGCTTGCGATTTGGTGGAGCCAATTGCGTGGCACGTCCATCCTTCCTGCATGCAGAAGACTCGTGTCCATCCGAGGAATCGCCGGCAAGCGCATTAGCGCGCTTATCGGGTGTCTTATCGTGCACCAAGAGCCTTGCCGTTGAGCGCTGGCTCATCAGCCTTTCAGCCTCCCAGCACCTTGACCCGTTGACTCCACCTCGAATTTTACCAGGCTAACAAGCGCGTTCCAGACGATCTTAGGCCCGGCCCATTCACTGTCCTGCCTACTCTTCCATTCCCACCTTGCGTCACGGCATGCCAGATCCCAGAAAGCGCATGATTCTCAGAGCAGCCGTAGCATACGCCATTTTCCACATTGTCACACAAACAACCAATCCGACCACCTACCATAATCGGCGCTGGGCCAGCTCTGGCTCGTCCAGCAACAACTGAGGCATCATGGCGGCCACCAAGATGACGAAGAACCAGATGAGGAGGGCGAAGAAGAAGGAGCAGAAGAAGTCTGCCAAGGAGGAGCCCGCGACAAAGGCAGACGCCGCTGAGACCAACGGCACCGACCCCCAACCGGAAGCCGACCTCGAGACGTCGAAAGAACCTCCTCGCGAGCAACCGCATGCCGACGGCCCACTGATCGAGGACCTCGAGGATGATCCGGCCTTTGCGATCTACAAGGACATATTCAACAAGTTTGGCGCCAACGCGGACGAAGACGCGGTGGCAAAGGAGGCGAATGCTGGCAATACAGGCGACGTGTTTTTTGGCGACGATGACGATATTCCCGACGAGGAGGACGCGCAACCGAAAATGTCAAAGAAGAAGCGGAAAATGCTCACCAAGCTCTCCGTGGCCGAGTTGAAAGCCCTCGTCCGTATCCCCGAGGTCGTCGAATGGCAAGACGTGTCGTCCAACGACCCTCGCTTGCTCGTCCAGATCAAAGCGCAGCGCAATGTCGTCCCTGTACCCACACATTGGTCACTGAAGCGCGAGTACTTGTCTTCGAAGCGCGGTGTCGAAAAGCCACCATTCCGCCTTCCGCAATTCATCGCGGAGACAGGCATCACCGAGATGCGCGACGCCGTGTTGGAAAAGCAGGCCGAGCAATCACTCAAGCAGAAGCAGCGCGAACGCGTGGCCCCCAAGATGGGCAAGCTGGACATTGACTACCAGAAGCTCTACGACGCGTTCTTCCGATTCCAAACGAAGCCGGAGCTGACACGGTTCGGAGAAGTGTACTACGAGGGCAAGGAGAGCGAGGTAGACTACCAGCATTTCAGGCCTGGAGACCTGACAGAGTCGACAAAGGAGGCCTTGGGCATGCCACCCGGTGCGCCACCACCGTGGCTCATCAACCAGCAGCGCATCGGCGTGCCACCCTCCTACCCGACCCTGAAGATACCTGGCCTCAATGCGCCGCCGCCTCCTGGCGGCTCATGGGGATTCCACCCTGGTGGCTGGGGCAAACCCCCTGTGGACGAATTCAACCGTCCTCTGTACGGAGGAGATGTCTTTGGTCTCACCGGGCCTAACGGCACGCAGAACCAGCAAGCGCAAGCTGCCCAGTCGCAACTGGCGGAGCCCGTTGAGCGCAATCTCTGGGGCGAGCTGCAGCCTCGAGAGGAAGAGTCTGAGGAAGAAGAGGAGTCTGATGAAGAGGAAGAGGACGAGGACGAGGAGCCCTCTGCCAGTGGTATGGAGACGCCGAGTGGCATGGAGACTCCTGGAGGCTATGCAAGCACGATTGCGCCAGATCACGGCGTCGAGACGTCGATTGCCGGCGAGATGGATCTGAGGAAAGAACGCCGTGGCTACGACACCGAAGAATCATCAGCACCAAGATCTGCCTACACAGTGTTGCCCGAGCGACAGGTGCGTGCAGAGGGCTTCTTTGGCAGTGACCGCGCATATGATCTGCCCACGAACAAGCCGCCTGTTCTTGGCTCGGGACAAGATGAACGAAAGCGCAAGAAGCCAGGCGACGTCGATGTGGCCATTGATCCAGAGGCTCTACAATCTGGTGGTCTTCGTAAGGAGGACATGAGGAAACGGTACGATGAGGGCCTGCGTGAGGAGGGCGTGGGAGCCAAGTGGGCGCACGAAGATGACCTCAGTGAGATGATTGCGCAGGAGAGCCGAAAACGACAGAAGACAGAGCAGGAGAGGGGGCAGAAGAAGAAGGAGGGCAAATACAAGTTCTAAGGGAGCCATTCTTGGGTTGGCCATGGCGTCAGGCGCTTGGGTTGTAAATCAGCTAAATGTGTATCATACGTTGGAACTGGCCGGTCTTGGGCAGGTCCTAAATTTATTGATGGGTTTGAATCATATCTTGTATCGTAATCCTCGATGCGTGTATATCCAGCGCCGGCGATTTAAACCTTGCACGCAACGCATTTGTATGTCCTCTTATCTCGAAAAAATGTCGTCTCCTGCTCGATAGTCATCCTCGGCGGCAATGCACACGCTTTGTGAAATTGATTGGGGCCCTCGTGTTGCTGCTCCTGTCAGTTCAATGCAACGAAGGGTGGATCTGCTCGACCATACCTTTGCAGTGCAATATGCAGCTTGGAACACGGCCACCGGCTTATGGCAAATGCCACAGCCGCTTCGAGTTGACCTGGCCTGTGGTCGCACAGGCGGCGGATCCTCCTCGGAGCGTTTGCCTCGTGCTGTGGCCATCGGCTCGATGCCTTCAATATCTTCCTGTTGAAGCAGTCCGACTTCCAGCAAAAAGTCCTTCTGCTTGTGGAATTCGTCGACGCGGTGTTGTCGTTCACTGATCCACCCCCTTTTCCGTGCCACAAAATCCTTCCAGGCGGTTGGGAAGTAGGTTCGCGCGTTGATGTCGTGTTCATCCATCACCTCATCAAAGGCTGAAATGTATTCGACTTGCGCGGCCGTTATGTCAGGCTCCTCTCGCAGCCAGTACATGTGCTTGTAGCGAAACATCTCCTTCAGCGGTTGTGGTCGAGGTAAGACCGTCCCTGGTTTCAGAGCACGCCTCCCAATAGGATGGTAAAAGACTGTGCCGTTATTCGGAACTATAATGTCATCTTCCGGTGACCTCACCCGAATGGCAGGCCGCGGAGGAGCTTTAGGTGATGGGACGTTTTGTTGGGATGCCGAAGAGATGACATCGCCCAAGTCCACTTGATCGGAATTCTGAGGGTCTACACGCTGGCTAGGTTCCTCGGTGTGCTCGTCTTGATCTACACTTGTGCTAGACGTGTCGTCTGAATCTTCGGATTCAGAGTCCCCCACATATATAGGATCATCCTTCGACCCGACGATGAGGGTTTCTTCGTGGGTAGTAGACTGTACTCTCATCTGCCCGCTCGCTGCTGTGCGAGCTGACCAAGTCGTAGTCTTGCTACTGGAGGAGCGGGGCAATGATACGACCGACTGGTGCTGCTTCGTGATTCTAGACGAAGCCACGCTGGACGCCTCAATGGATGCGTGTGATTTCGTGGAATGGGGAGGCATTGTACGCAATTGGAGCGACGCGCAAGGGGATCGAGTCGGGGGCGCATCGTTTCTCTCCGCCAACACTTGCACACTGGCCTTGCTTCTTTCTGATGGAGTCCGAGGGAGCTGTCCATTTCTACCATGACCAGAAAGACTGTAAGTTGGCTTCCAGGCCCATTCCCATTTCAGGTTTGACGTCCTCGAATCCTGCTGATAGACGAATTCCTCGTGACGGTGAGCCTGTGGTGTACCTGGTGGGCACTGTTTCGTGTCTGCAGGGGATGGGACGCAGTACCAAGGCGAACAATGATACGGCACCGACTGGCCAGACCAGACCTTGACCCAGTTGGGAAGTTGATTGCCGATTTCAGCATTTTCGGTCTCTAAGCGGATGCGTAGTAAAAGTCCCTGTGGAAAAGCAGAAGCCTTGGACACGGGTCCAAAACCGTCGAATTCCTCTTCATGAATGGCGAATGGGCGTTCCAGGTCGATCTTGAGGCCACGCCGGGCGTTCGTTGCTTTCGGGCACCGAAACGTGCAGCGTCGTTTGACAACAACTTCAGGTTCCTCATGGGCAAGCCGGCTTGCGTCTGGTAGAAATTGTATTCGACAGCGGCCCTTGAATGTGATTGTGTCGGTACCAGGGGGGAAGATGCCAGGGTCCACACGGTTTCTGTGCTCTGATCTGAACCAGAGACGTGAAAGGTTGAAGAACAAGCAGCGGTCCTCTGGGATACAATGGATAACCCGGGAGGCTGCGTGCCCTAGTTCTAGGCTCGACGTTCGTTGCCTCTTGGTCGGTGGCTCGTCCAGATGACTCGATGAATCTTTCAAGGCAAAGCGGGCAGTAGTCATGCTGCCATGATGGGTGGCCTGTAGTCTTTTCCGCCGATGTGCCGCCAGGCTAGCGTCGCCAGATGAGACTTTGCTCATTATCGTAATCGTCCTTTCCTCCCTGTCGACATCATCGTGAGGCGTTCAAAGCCGGGGCGTGTGAGGTCAGATAGCTTGGCAAACGCGTCGATCAGGGGCGCGTCCAGTCGCTGTGCTCTACAAAGCTTACGAGAAAGGCTGATGATGTAAAGTAAGCGCCCTAGTCGTGATGTTTTGGAGCCTTGCAGAAAGAATGGTTGCTAGTAGGTCTGATTCGTTGCTTTTTTCTTGTGAAAAGGAAACGAAGGCGGCTTGCTACTTGAGTGTATCTAACATGGAGGTACGCAACAATGGCTTGCCAAACACTCACACACACTCGCGTCGCGTTGTCCTCAACCTACCCTAGAGCATAAGACGCACCGACCTCGCCCACGCGTGTTAAACGCATATCAGCAATCATCCAAATTGACACCTGAGCTTGGAATAAACAAGACTTAGTGATTCCTATCTGTATTCCAAGACTGTCTGAATTGACTCTAAACAAGCGACAGGAGGATGTTTCGTTGACTGGTTCGTATCAGTGTCACCTAAGTTAAAGTTACTGTGATGTGACGGGCCCCACCCTTGCACCAATGACTGTCACAGCCATATTCAATTCACGGTCTTGTGATTCACATCGACTTCATCCATCTTTCCTTTACACCCTTCAGCAGACCGGCTTCTCAATAAATACCTGATGCACCCGCAACTACTGACGAACTAAACCAGACTGATAGGTGGTGTTGCCTCTACGGAGCGCCGTCGCTGTTAGCCGATGACGTTGCGGCCGAAAGCGTCGCTTGCTCTGAATACACTTTGCGCCGTGATTACTGAGTGAGGACTTTATTCGCTGCGTGTCTTTGGACTTGAACCTGGACCTTTTTGGTGCTTTTTTTTGATGGTCTCTGTGTTTCGAGATATCACATTTGTGCCTTCCATGAAGCTGCTCAGTGGCCATCGCCTGTCGCATTCAGAAGCATCATGGCCCGCACGCGTGCACGTGTTGCCAACTCGACAACCCAGCCATCAGCTGCTGCTCGGACCACCTCGACAAAGCGCACACGTCTAGATCGCCGCACCGAGCCCCGAAACCTCTACGAGTCCGACCCCGACAGCGAGAATGATAGCCCAGACGACTCCGATGCATCCCTCGAGTCGTTCCACGACAGCGACGACGATGTCGCAACAGGCGCCGATCGCGCGCTACTGGACATTGTGATAGATGCGCCCAGAGCAACCCCGAAACGCCGTGGACGACCTGGCAAGCAACAGTCTGCATCGCGGCCGGCGCCGCAAAGAGCCGTCAAGAAGAGACGCAGGGCCTCTGGGGCACTCGGCGTCCCGAGGAAGAAGCCCAAGAGATCGAACGAGGTCACGGCTTCCTCGGCTCCATTGGGCAGGATACCCAACTGGTTGGACCCAAAGATACCATACTCGGCTTGGGTCGATATTTTTCTGTATGCCGCCAGGGCAGGCGGAACTCTCGACAATTCATGGCTCGTGTATGCAGCGACGACGTGTCGAGCGTTCATGCAGCCGGCGCTCACAGGGTTATACAAGTGTCCTACCCCGACCACATCCTTAAAGGCACGGAAACTCATGACAATCTTGGAGAAGACAGAGGCGGAGACACTCATTCGCTACAAACCCATCATCGAGGCCATGTACATCGACATCGATCTCTTCCCTGTCGGATCGCTCCCTCCAGTCCTGGCTTCTCTGCAGAGGCTCAAAGAGCTGATAGTGTTCACCAAGCTCGATCAGCCGCCATACCGGGCCCTTGACAAGTCGCTGCGATGGCAATACCCCGAGCAGCTCTTCCAGTCCTTGGAGTTGGGCCAGTACAATCCGCATGATGAGGGCGAAACGTCCCCCCTCGTGCTCAAGAGCTGGGAGTGGAGCAGTCGCATGCTTGGAGGGACGGTGCCAGACATCGCAGCCATAGCTCGCATACATAAGCTTGCGTCCTTCAGCCACCTGACGAAAGTGAGCTTCATCAACTTCCAAACGCCGTCCCTGCACAAGCCTGTGGCGAAAACTCCAGATGAAGCTCTGGAGATCGAGCTGGCCGACCAGGCGGTTGTGGATGATCTGGCTGCAGCTATCGCTTGCCTGGGATCCCTTCGTCACCTTGTATTTGAGGCATCCACAACAATGAATGACCGAATGCTTTCCAAGCTGCCGGCAGGTCTGGCGCACTTGGAATTGATCAATTGTTGGGAAGTCCGTTCAGGAGATCTTGACAGCTTCCTGCAGAGCCACGGAAGTAGCCTGCGATACTTGACACTCTCCCACAACCAAAGTCTCAGCTTGGAATTCGTCACGAACCTTGCGGTAAACTGTCCGAACCTAGCCGAGCTGCGAATGAACCTGTCATATTACCGGCACCACGAGACAATCGACGACTCGGATGCCATGTACGACCAGGCCCTTCTGCCTGGCCAGGTCCCGCTCTGGCCATCGTCATTACAATTGATCGAAATTGAGCACGTCAGGGAGTGGACGGTGGAGGCAGCCGAGACTTTCCTCCAATCCCTTGTCGACAGCGCCCCGAATCTGCCCAGACTACGCCATCTTGCCATCAAGACGGTGTTGAATATCCCGTGGCAGCATCGTGCGGAACTACGCCAAGGATGGACGGACAAGATGGATCACGTTTTCCGCCGGCCATTTGTTTCTCCATCGCACAAGGTCACGCTCAGACAGGAAGAGAACGTCGTCGCACCGCGTGTCGAGAAGGATCCTCCGAAACCGCGAAAACGTGCAAAGCGCGGCTCTCCCTCCCGACGCAGTGGTCGGATCGCTGCCCATTCCGCTTCTGATACGGACCGGCATTCATCCCGCCCACGGAATAGACCGCAATATCGCGAACCCGACACGGATGAGGATGAGCAGGAGGAGGAAGAATCTGCCGACAGTCACTCTTCCGGGTCGGAGTCTGAGCGCGGCGGGCAGAACGAGCAACAGGCTGAGAAGTTACCTGTCCAAGGCATGTGTGACACCGTGCTCATCGTGATCGACAACCAAAAGACCCGCGAGCTCCAATACAGTATGGAAGACTTCCAAGACGAGGCCAACGAGTCATCCGGCGAAGAGTGGAACGAGGATAACGAGGTTGAAGATGATGATTATGCTTGGTAATAGCATGCTCGACGGTCGATATGAACTTGCACCCAAGAGCCGGACGGATGAACGAGACATGGCTTGGGGGGCGGGTACGGACGAAAGGACACACTGAGGCAGCTCACGCCTCACAATCACCTGTATGATGCTATGAATGGGAAACGACGGCAATGGCTGGTACGGCTGGTAAAGGGTACGGACATGTACATGGGTAAAGGTCAGCGTTGTCAATAAATTATTCCGGGATCACACTCCCACTTACGGTTTGATGGGCGCAATGTCATGGTCCGATGGCTTACTCGAGCGGTGCCACAATTCACTTGTATTCAACAGATGATGAAGAGTCACACGATTACGAGATTCTGAAGTATGCCTATCCATAGAGCCACTGCGTTGTGAAATGCAAATCATCAATTTCGGTCAAGTCTGTCGACGACGCCCCAACGCCAGCGTGCGAATGCTAATCTAACAAAATAGTACAGTGCTATTCCTTTTGCCCAAAGCGAGTCCGCTAGAATGCCGCGCCACTCGAGCCATCTCCAGCGAGGTTGGTCATGCTCCTCTCGCTCAGATCGCTCCTCATCTCCCAGGCGGCAGACTCACGTCCCATGCGATCCCACGTGTACAGACTCTTTCGCAGGCGCTCCTGCTTGGCACGGAGCTCGTCGCGCAACTTCTCCTCCTCATCGCGGAGTTTGCGATAGTGAGGCTCGAGCTCGCGGCTGACACCCAGCACCATGGGCATCATGGTTGGGTCGATCTTGCCGCCAGGCACAATCGGAGGAAGGGTGGCGAGGAGAGACTGCGCCAAAGATTGGCGAGGTGCTGGAGTACCGGCGGACGGACCCGTGGGTGGGTTGAAAGGTCGGCCCTGCGTTGGCGTGGAGGAGGCAGCACCGGACGAGGCGCGAGGACCGGTGGGAATCGTGGGCGCGCCGCCCGAGCCCGAGGGACTCGCGGCTCGACCGCTACTCATGTGTCGCGGGGTGGACTGCGACCAGTTTCCACGTCCACCTCGAGAGGCATAGCCACCTCGAGAAGAAGCGACGTAGCCACGGGGTCCAGCAGGTGGGTTTGCGGGGTTCGGGCTGGTAATATCCGCACGATTGGCACCGGGCGTAGATGGGTGAGACGAGTTTGAGTAGCTGCGACTAGCAGCTGGTCCCGTGGGAGGTGCGCGGAGAGCGGCAGGACCGCGAGGCGGAGACTTTGGGCCCGACCCGTTGTCGTCCCGCAGGGTGGTCCTCGATGCTTCTCTCGAGAGTGGAACTCGAGGGCCAGGAGAGTGGTCCCTTGACGGCAGAGGGGAGCGGTTCCTGGGGGCAGGGCCTGGTGAAGGGCGTCTCGATTCGGGCCTCGAGTTCATTGCTGAGGATAGATTCGAGTCCCTGGCTGGGGATCTACGGAAGTTCTGGTATCGCTCTGGTCGCCTGCTGGGCGATCGAGAAGGTCGGTACGAGCCACCTCTGCCTCCTGACATTGGGGTTCGCCTGCCAATCGGGGATCGTTCGCGCCTGATTGGAGATCGTGACCGACGTCTCTCGCGTCCCATGTCACCCCGGATGGGACTGCGTCGGGCAAATGTGTCGTCGCGCCGGTCTGGGAACCTGTCCGAATCGCGACCTCTGGCTGGTGATGGGTCCCTATCCTTCCATGGACGCTCGCGCTCCGGGTCACGCCTGTTGTCGCGGTCAAAGTCTCTGTCCCGTCCCCAATCTCGACGCGGTGGGGGTGATCTGGGTCGGTCAAAGCGATCTAGTCTGCCGGGGGAGGGCCGTCGTGGAGGGCTTGGTCGTCGCGATATGCTTCGCCGAGGGGGTGATCCTCTTCGTATCGGTGAGCGCGAACGTTCCCTACGTCGCGGAGGGCTGTCGCGGTCTCGTGATCGATCTCTCCTATAGCGGTCGCCTACGGGAATACGACCGCGACTTGGAGTCCGCCGCCTAGGTGGAAGTCGTCCGGGCACGTAACTGTCAGACGAGGGCACGGGTGGGCTGCGAGGTCGAGGACTCCTCGGTGGTCGTGGGCTACGCGGTAGTGGTGGTCGAGATCGGTCTCTGTCGCGTGGCGCAGGGCTTCGTGGTCTTCGGGGTGGCGATCTGTTGTTCCTATCGCCAGGCGAGGCAGCGCCTCCTCCTCCACGGGGTGTAGGACGCCATGATTCGCCGGCGCCGTATCTAACGACCTCGCCGTCGTCGTACCTAGAACACTGTTAACATGGTGTGCACAGGACTTGACTGCAGAGCTGGTGACCACATACCTTCGACCCCGATCGCGATCCATCCCGATAAAGGCTGCTGAGTCGCGAGATGATGGTAGGCTGGTGCTCTCAAGATGCAGCTCAACAAAGCAGCGTAAACGCGCGGAAGCTGTGCCAGAGATTGAAGAAGTCCGTCCTTCATGTGAATGCCGATGTTCTTCCGCGCTAGGACCGGACCGATAAGAAGATAAGAAGATAAGACAGGATAAGAGACAGCCCAAGGCCTCGAGATCTCACATGGAGCCAACATTCATCTCACCCAAGGGAGCATCCAGTGTCTAAATTTCAAGCCTAACGTAAATCTATGCCCCCAGATAGCAACCGCCTAAGCAAATTAGAAGATATCCCTTATTTAGGCCGACTCTGCCGTGGTATCGCCACTCTCCTCTTCCTCAGAAACCCGATCCTGTATCCACCGTTGTACATCTTCGGCGTGCGCATCCATCATTCTGGTCAATCCACTCTCCTTACTACGAACAACGGTACCGAACCGGCGCTTCTCAATCTTCTGGGTGAGCGAGGGATCCAGCCAGCAATTGTGGTCGGCTGCAACGTAGACTTGAGAGTTTTGCTTGTACCAGGGGGACAGCCCATCGTCAGTTTGAGACTTGACGGGTCGCAGATTGCCGTTCACAAAGTTGACGACCCCAGAAATGCGCTCTCTGCAGGCTACAGTATATCTTAGTCAATCTGCTGCTCCGAGCTGAAATGGTACTCACGCCTGTTGATGAGGAGCATCTTCACTCCGAGGTAGGCATTACCCACACCTAGCAGGAAGATGTGGTCTGCGTCGTACAGCTCGATGTAGTTGTCCCAAAGCCACTCCATGAGACTCGCGATTTGTCTTTCGAGCTCGCCTGGAGTTACCGAGGGGATTAAAAGCCCGGTGTTCTGCAATTGTCAGTGTTTGATTCAACGGCGGCATGTGAGCACTTGCGTCTGTTCTCTCCGCACAGTTAGGCACGTTGATGTCCATGACACCAAAGCCTTCTTTACGCGCCCAATCGATATAGCTCGTGACTCCATCCACGATGAACGAATTGTGTAGCTCAAGGCGCGTGTGGTCGCCGTAATCCGGCTGCGACAGCAGCTCAGGCCTAAGCTCGTTAGCTGTTTTGCGTGCACTGCTCGAATTGAATGACAAACGGGTCATGGATGACGATCAAAACCTTGCTCGCCGTCTCGATTGTTGGCGTGACTAGGACCTGGTTTTCAAAGGTGCGGTGAAGCTTCTCCCGTTGAATGTACAATGGTACCATGTGATGCTTCATCATCAACACATCCTTCTGGGCATTTCTCACAAAATCATGCAAACGCTGCGACCTGTTAGACTGGGCGAGCGCCATGTCGACCACGCCGGGACGCATGCACTGCCAATAGTGCGACTGATAGACCTGTACCTTGTTCAGGACTCTAGCCGCCTCCTTGTTGAGTTTCGCTATGGTCATCTGTGGAGGCGGCTCGCCCATGAGCGTGCGCGCAACCGCAACGGCCGAATTCGAGATTGCGTCCAGGTTGTAGCCTCCTTCTAGACAGACGGCTAGACGCCCGTTGGCGAGCGACATGAGCATGTGTGTCATGTGCGCGTAACACGCTGGTGTGACGAAGCACGCCCCCAGCTCATCCCCATCCGCCGCGTCAAAGCCGGCGGAGATTACCACGAAGTCGGGGTTGAACTCCTGGGCGATGGGCATCACAATCTTCTGGAAGGCGGCCATATATTCTCCATCCCCCATGCCTTGCGCATGCCATCCAATGTTGACGTTGGTCCCTAGTCCTGCGCCAACACCACAGTGCTCGATGCCCCCGTCTGGGATTTCATCATTCTCGGGTCGTCCAGGATAGAAGCTTCCGTCCATGTAGACGTGCAGAGAGATATAGAGTACGTTTGGATCATCATAAAAGATGTTCTGGATGCCGTTGCCATGGTGTACGTCCCAATCCAGGATGAGGACCTTCCGGCACGTCTCGGGGTATTCCTTCTGGCATGTGCGTACCGCCACTGGAACATTGTTAAAGAAGCAAAATCCCATTGGCTGGTCCATCTCAGCGTGATGTCCGGGAGGCCGGATCACCGCGAACGCGTTCTTGACATTCCCGGCAACGACGTTTTTGCACGTGTCAACTGCACCGCCCGCTGATAAGGTCGCTGCGTAGCAAGAGAGGCTACCCACGTAGAGGGACTCGCGTGTCGAGTCGTACCTCTTAGTCAACTCGCGTAGCTCCGCAAGACTCATGTTCTCCGTCTCCTTGACCCAAGACAGGTGGGCTGGTGTGTGCGCCAGACATATCTCCTCATCCAGAGCGAATCTCGCTGGTATGCGCCACATGTACCGCGTGGGCATCTCTTTGAACACTCTGGCAGCGAGTTCTGGCGGCCCCTGGTAAATCAAGCCGGCGCGCTTGAAAGCCTCAAAGATCTCGTGTATGCGCCTAGGGTCTTCCGGGTGATGGGCGTTGTTGCTGAACTCGGCATTCATGTGCATTTTCATCCTGCTGTCGTAGCAAAGACCAGTTGGCAAGAGACCTCGTCGTTTCAACTGTTCCAGAGCCAGACTATCTGGCTCTGTATCGGCGTCATCGTAGCTTGTGCCTGCCGAATATGGCCCCGATGTCTGATCCGTTTGACCGCTATCATCTTCAGTCTCCAAGGGATCGACATCCCTCATGTGGTGGTCCTCGACCGGGGGCGCGTCCATGTCGAGGTTTCCAACCGGCCTGGGCGAGTATATAATTTCAATAGATCTTTATCCTTGGTCTCGAAGAAGAGGGCGGCACAAGCGCGGTACAGCTGCTGGCGAATCAGTACGGGTTCAATGAAAGTATGATGTAGGCTGCTCGCGTGGCATGAGGTAGAACAGCGCGGAGAATCAAAGGTGAGAACACGCTCTTCTGTAAGGATTGCAGTGCGAAGCAGCGCTGTGAACAGTTTGGCTCTCTTGGTGACAGCGATTCCGTGTCCGTAGTCCAGTCAAGTGCTGCACTCACCTTGTGCTTCGACTACGAGCCATGCGCCAACGTCGCGCGCACCGTTTGCGGCTCTGTAGAAACAGCTTTCGATATCCCAATCAGATCCCCTATCTCACTGATGAGAATTTCGAAAAGCGTAGCCTGCGAGGGCTGCGCTGCGCTGCAGTAGGGTGGTGTAGTAAGTAGATGGATGAGTGAGAGGATCCCAAAATGAGTGTGAACCGGAGCTCTGGAATTGATTGGGGGAGCGTCGCGGCTAGTGGCAGGCCTCAAGGTGCAACGAGTGCCCTACAACGTGAGGACCTCACATGGCCAAATAAGATTACGAGTAAAAGCTAATGAGAGACAAGTATTTGCAGCTACATGGTCTCTTTCATCTGGAATTGATTCCGATTTTCCCGAGCATGAGACGTCACAAGGGACGATACACCATGCCCGCAGCGCTATCACCCAAGTCTTCGCGGAGAGCCATTCTATGATTCATGATAATACAAAATAGAACTATTAAGCCCGACAATCTCTAAGGCATCACGGGTTCGACGGGTAAGGTCTGAAGGGAAGAATGAAGACGCTCCCAGGCGTTTTCCCGGTCGTAGTCCTCGAGATGCGCCCCGTCATCTCCTCTTGGGGAGTATTGAGACAAACAAGTCACAAACCTCTTGCCGTTGGGCAATCCACCGTCAGGGCTGCCGTCCTTATCGAACACAGAGCGTTCAAGGTCCCGCTCGTCGTCAAAGTCAATGATGCCGCCGGACTCGTTAGTTGCTAGGCTTGGGGAAGACAATAGCCATTGTCGCTCATCTAAGACGCAGCGAACAGTGAGCTGTATGGATTCTTGATCGAAGGTGAAGGTCGCAAACTTGGCCCGGATTTCTCCAATCAGACGCTTGCGAGGATAGCTGCAAATGTTGTCGAAATAATACATAAGATCCCTGGGACCAAGCTTGAAGTAAGTCTTGATGACGCGGCCCCAGCGACTCTGATCATTCCAGCTGTCCGACATGGACTGCATGCGATCAACGCTGTCTATAAGCGGGGGTTGTTTATTGAGATTCTGAGACTCGTCAGTTTTATATTTCAAATCGGTGTCAGGCTTGACTCACCAGTTGCTCATTCGCGTTCAGCCGCGGGCAAATGTAGTGCAGGATGATGTCCTTCAGCGTCTCCATCAAATCCATCAACTCCAGGAGCTGACTTGTAGGGTAGTGTCGAATGAGACTGCTCCTGAAATCGTCCGCAAAGGGTTCGGGCAGACCTACGCGTGGTCTGGGCATGTCTCCGTGGAAGTAGATGCCGAAAAGCCACCATCGATAGAACGCTCTGCGGAAGCGTTCTCCCTCGTGCGGCCTCAGTGTCCGACAACGGGCCGGATCATAGTACCATCTCATTGACGGGAACAGCGACTCCCATTTACGGGCCAGCAGGCAAAGTTCCATAATGGGGCCAAGGTCTTTTTCGGTCAGAACAATGTGGCCATGACCGCGGAGATCAACATCACCCCGCACGCCACGTCCGCGTCCATTGACTTGGGTGTATACAGGCTTCGTCTGAACCACGGAAGGGCCATCCGCTAGCACAATGCCAGCGTCCCCAGTGAAGCGCCTGAGGACAATCCGCCGGGGCTGGTACAGGCTGCGCGCCGTGCTTGGCAGATCGTTCGCTGTAGCGGTATAGACTTGCAGGAGCTCGTCAAATGGACTAAACTCTCGAGCCAATACCGGAAACAGGATAGCTGCCTTGCGTGTAGTGAAAAGGTTGTGGAAAAACTTGTTGATGGCGGACAATTCGTAAATGCTACCAACGTCCATGTGGTGGTAAATGTCCAGAAGGAGCTCCATTGGAAGGCTTGACAAGCCCGTCACACACTTTGATGCAACCATGTTGAACGCTGAATCTGCGAAGACGGATGTAGTAGAGGATCTGTATGTCGAGTTACGGTCGTTGAAATGTGCTCGAGACCTCTCAAGCTGTAGTTGGAGAAGAGAGCAGGCCAGGCCAAACTGAATAATCTTCGACAATGGATGTTGAAAAGCAACGAACTATGGCCGTCACGTAAGGGTAGCCTTGATGAGCGCCCTGAAAGCTCTGGAAACCAAGCGACGAGGTGTCCAGAGAAGTTGATCTTCAGCGCTTACTGACCGACTACCCCGGCCTTGGGGCTTGAAATGGTGTTGATGGTGTTGCGTCCAGGCATCATGACAGTCGCACTGTATGGGGAGACTGTGCGCCTCGCGGGCTGGGAATGGTGTCCGTCACGGTACGCCATAGTCGACTGCGCTCTGCTGGTGTGTCAGAGGGTCGGCTCAGGAAAGTTGGATGGAGAAAGGATGACGGGACGAGCAGGAGACATGTCGCTGATGTCGTTAACCCTGGTTCAGCAATGTCCGGACATTTGCCGGGACGCGTTCCACGCGACTTGGAGTTCAGTCGCCAACCAAACCGCAGCAACACAAATATATTTCACGCTGGCATGGCCTGCCTAATATATGTAAGTATTACTCAGCGGTCGTTCGTAATCAAGCTTGGTAAGAGCATGTGCTAACGGTTGTGAATGATCTAGAACCATTCACTTGCCCTTGTGATTGACGACCAGCAGCGTCGCGTGCACAGAATCCAAAAGACAACCGACATCTGGATTTCACCTGTCCGTGAGCATTCACGCCATGAAGTAGATGTAGAAAGGTCAGGAAGCCAAGTACTTAATGTCATTGGTATTTCACTCTACATCCAGAGCCGTAACGCCAACGCCGTGTTGAGCACCAGCCCAATGTCCCTTTTTCCTCATGAGAACATCATCTTCGTGTCCAAGTCACCTTTTGGTTGCCTCTGAGCACCCTTGGTACGTAGTCCAAGATCTTCCTTCCGCGACAGACGTGCCACGGTCTGCTCTGCCCTTGCGTTGTGTCGTGTAGCCTTGCCTCTGCGGAGGTCAGACCTGACCTGGTTTGGCGACACAAACTCTCGGTTCTGGTAGATGATCGGTCCACCAAAGGAGCCCTGTACACGCATGATTAGCTCCCATTGCATCCTCGTCTTCTCTGGCGAGAGCGACCCACCTCCTGTATCACGATGGGCGTAAGAACAAAACGAGGACCGATTTCCACGAGACTCATTTCGGTCGTTTCGATCTCCTCCTCGCCTGCGGCGTTCTTGACCTTCGACTGCTCCTCTTCATTGATCTGGTAGTTGCGGATCCAGATCTTACCGTCGGCCACTGTGAATCCCATGACATGGTCGATGAATGGCTTCGACTTGCGAGCGCCCTCTGGAACGCCAAAGGTACGCGTGAACAAAGCCTTGATGACTTGCAGGTGGGGCTCTTTCTCGAATGTAGCGTCGAAGGACAGAATCGGTCGCGAGCCTTTGAGGCAGTTGCCGGTGAAGTGAAGCTCTTCCATGGTGTGCACTAGCAAGTCAGTGTCTGGTCTCATCTGTTCGCTCTAGACAACATACGGTTCTGGATGTGGAATTTGCAAGTCGGTCCATTTGGCACAGCTGAGAGGAAAAGGTACCCATCAAGACCTTTGCGGCCTTCCAGATACAAACAGTTGTTGCAATTGTACAGCTCGGAAAGCTCGTTCAGTTCGTACAGCTTCGACTTGGAGTCGAATTTGGCGTCTTTCCGACCGTGAGGAAGCATAGTCGCGAGATCGTTGAGGAGATGGCGATGTCTGTATGTGACGCCTCGCGAGGACAAGATGAGAACCCTCTGCCTGTTCTTCTTGATGCCATTGCTAGGGCCATCGGCCTTCTTGCTCGCTGTCTTGTCCGACTTGGACAGCGACTTGTACACGGCAGCCATTGCTGATAATGGCGCAAATTGATGGGAAATGGGACAGAAAGCGAGGATGCCTGAATTGACTACTCTCGCGTTCAAAGATTGCGATTCGGTGAAGTCGCAAAAGTTGTTCACTCGTGCAGCCGGGGGATTATGTTGCTGGGGGAAAAAATTGGCGGCCAGCGACGGACACTATGCGATAAGCTCTTATCGACACATACGTGGGGCCTCAAGTTGGCTCGGAAGCAGCCCACCAAACCCCACAAAATCGCAGGATGAATCCAACTGGCACTGGAAAGGTGAAATACGATTGACAAACACGGAGTTGTCACAATCAGGGTAACTGAGAAAAGGCAAAAACATCAACTTGTATCATTATAAGTCCATTGCCTTGCTACCAACATAAGGCATAGTCGTAGCGATCGTCGAGCACGTGCACCAACGTACTAGCAGCACATTGCCCTCTCGTGACACAGCATAAACAAAAGAGAGTCAAGAATCTGGCGCCTCTAGTATCACATGAGAGCAGGAATCCTGTAAACCCGGCCTCTGCCCTCAGCAACAATGTTTGCGCCCGTCTGACATTTCTCATTATAGCGGCAAGGAAGTGACAATGTCTTGCCCGCGGAGAACACGAAGTACGCCCAGCATATATGTGAAACCCCACTGGAAAAGTAGCGCGACCGATCAGGAAAACAGATCAACAGCATTTGCCGTCCTTGGGAGCCTCGTTCTCTCTGGAGGGGTCGATCTTGATGCCTGTGCCGGCCATGGGTGCCTGGCTGCCGTCCGCGCTGTCAAGCGCCTTGCTCGACACAATTCGGTAAATTTCTAGCATAGGGTCAGCGAGCATCTACACTCCAGCGCGCGTCACATACCCGTCAAGATGTTTTGGAAGGCCAGCTCGACATTGCTGGCGTCGAGGGCAGAGGTCTCGATGAAAGACAGGTGGTTCTCGCCTGAAGGTGGCGGTTAGCATGTGATCCCTCGCGATAGCATTCGGAGTGACGAACTGGCAAACGCCTTGGCCTCCTCTGTGGGCACTGCCCGAAGATGTCTCAAATCGCTCTTGTTTCCCACCAGCATAATGACGATGTTAGCGTCCGCATGCTCACGCAGCTCTTTGAGCCATCTGGTGACGTTCTCGTAGGTCTGGTGCTTGCTGATGTCATAGACGAGGAGTGCGCCGACAGCACCGCGATAGTAGGCCGATGTGATGGCGCGGTAGCGCTCTTGGCCAGCAGTATCCCAGATCTGCGCCTTGATTGTCTTGGAGTCGACTTGGATCGAGCGGGTCGCGAACTCGACGCCGATGGTGGACTTGGAATCGATGTTGAACTCGTTACGGGTGAATCGACTCAACAGATTGGACTTTCCGACACCAGAATCACCAATCAGCACCACTGTGAAGCTAAATCAGCACTAGGTCGTTCGACGCTCCGGTGACCTGTCGGGAAAGGGGTAGATCGCACCCTTGAAGAGGAACTGGCAGGGCACGAGGTCAGCGGGGCGCATCAGGGTACTGGGGCGATAGCGGGACGCACATCATATTCGTCGTTAGCCATGATCGCAAGATGTCGGAAATGTCAAGATCGTCCTCGCTGAAGTTGCTGGAGTCGTTGGGGCTTCTCTAAAGGCAGCTCGATGGCAGTTGTCTGTACTGGGATGGGGTCAAGGTGTCAAGGTGTGGATTGGGTTGTGGAGCAGGAGGATGGAGGGGAGGCTCAGCAGGGTGGACGTGCGTGGCGCTCCTCCGGTCGAGCCTGGTCACTGGTGTTAGCCGCAGATAGCAGCTGACGAGCTTTGTCAGGACTTCAATGCTCGTAGTGCGTCTAACAAATTGTTTAGTGATATGGCTTAGTGTCTCCGAGAATAAGGAGATCCTGGATGATATTGCGTCCAGTTTGACCATTCAAATGGCGCTTTGACGCGCTTCTAGAGTATTTCTTTCTGTAAAAATAGTCTTGTACTATCGACTTTTATCACGATGTTTTCACCGCTCTCCGGGCTTCCTCTGGAGGACTGTCATGCTTACCCTGTATTCTTCCGCGCAACAGGTCAACCCGTGCCTTGGCGCAGTGTTTCAACAGCCCTGTTTGTTGATTGGTAATTGGGATCGCAGTTTAATATGGCTTCCTTGTCGTCTCCCAACTTGTTAATAGTAGGTCTGTGGCAGCCTGCAGGTTGTCTCGACTCGTAAACAGCACCTACTGTCGCTCAAGCCATCGGTGTAGTTGAGACACACGGGTCTTGATGAAATCGTCGCAATAAGACCTCTGGACCAATCAGCAGTAATAAAAATCAGGTTCCATCATGCTGGCGTTGCTATACTACTTCATGACTTCATGAGAATAGGCCTGAAGGTCATGTTTTTGGAGTCGTGGACTCGTGATTACCACTGCGTACCTAATTACGGAGGTACCTGCATATTCATTTAAAACCCCACCTTACTCATTACGGCAAGGTGCCTCCATGCTCCATGTAAGGTAGGCGCAACCCACCAGCCAATCTACCTTACCTACTTAAGGTTACCCTACCTTCACCAGCAACCTTGCTCTGCTAACAAATGTAAAGGACTGAACTATCGCAAAGTCCTATGCTCCCGGCGCTACAGATCATTACTACCTGGTACTCAGCTCCCATCAGGTACTTCTTCTGCTGAAGTCACATCCCGTGCAGTCACCTTTTGGGAGTATCCTTCCGTTACTGATTGTGCTCCAGTCACGCGTGCTCATGAGATGACGGTTCTACAAGAATCCACGCCTTGTTCACCGTGATTGTAAGGTAGCGCTACACAAACGATACCAGCGACGCTCGATGAGGATTTATGATCCTGAATCGTGGCGCTGATTAGATTGCGCCGGTCTTACGTTTGACTTGCCCTTCAGGTGAGTACCGCAGCACGCACTGCACGTTTCATAATGCGAGCAACCGCGACTGACCGAGCCAGGATCATAACGAGGGTCGTCCTGGCACGACAAGTTCATCATGTCGCGTGAAGAAGACGAAGTGTCCTTGACATCTAGCATTGAGGAAAACCCTGAATCAGATACTGAATGGGAAATCCAAGGCATCATCGGTGATGCCGTCCTCGCTGAGAGGGACGATGATGATCAGTTACTCTCGAGACATAAATGCCTCGTTTCGTGGACAGGTGAGCTTCGACGCTCAACTGCAATTGCTCTTCTAACAGGTGGCTAGGTTTTCCACTTGCTGAGTCTACATGGGAACCCATAGAGAACTTGCCCGACGAGACTATCACAGAGTGGGAAGAGCGCAAAAGAAAAATCAAAGATGACGGAGGCGACCCGAAAGAATCGATCAGAGAATGGGTGAGGGAGCAGGAGAGAAAGATTGGCAGTCGTTACAAACGTCACAAGCTACGAAACAAGCTTAGGAGTAGGCATGGGCTGAACCCGAAACCATGGACGGTGGCAGACGGGCAACTTCCAAAGGAACTGTCTGATGAGATGAGGAGGTTTTACCTACAAGAAGCTCCGAGTATCTGGTCGCCTTCCGAATCCGAGTCCGACAGCTTTGATAGACTCGACACGCCCAATGCCCGACCGCCGCAACCCACGGCATCCACACAAAGCAAGGTTCACGACAACAACAATAACTCGGCTCCAAACGGATCGTTGAACAGAGAAACCCACCCGGCCAGCACAAGTCTAGCCCGCAAGCTATCGAACGCGAAGCAGACTGCCCCTATCACCAACCAAGACTCCGAGAAACCTCGCCCTACAGGATTGAAAAGGCTTAGCACACTTCCAGGCGTGGCAAGGAAGCCTGAGCCTCGCAAAGCTGAAACGATGGCCCCTGTCGGCAACGTGTTTTCGGGTGGCAAGGTGCGCAAGCAGAGAACGACATTGAAAGACGCTGCCGCGGACCCATCTCGGGCAGCGCAACGCCTCAATCTCCACAAGCAACATCTGCTCTACAAAGCGTCCAGAAATGCGGAGGACCGATACCCCCGACGCCGATCAGAGGTTTCTGAGATATCTAACCCCCTTTTGCCTGGGCCAAGCACCAGCCACAACGACAGATCTCGAGTTACCGAACCCGTAAGGGACCCGGCATCACATATGAATGAACCACGAACGATCATTCTTGAGTCCCGTCCAAGTTCCCTCAAATTGTCTACAACGAATACCCCAGATGCTTCCGATCCTACACACAGTGTCCGACCACCGCTGAAGACTCGGAAAACTGTTAGTTTCGGAAAGGTCACGACGGCAATTTTCAATGACATGCCTGTTGTCTCTCAGGACGACGACAACGAGTCGGAGCTATTTGTTCCGGAGCCCCCCGAAGAGGACCTGTCTACATCGGCATCGATATCGATATCAACATCCCAGGGCCCCGAGCGACGACCGACTCCGCCATCTAAGCCCAAGACGGTACTTGTCAAGGAATGTCTAATTGGCCCCCAGGCGTCGAAGCCTGTCAATATAGGCTTTAGTGGGCTGCCTCAGCATGATCAAATTTGGTTACGGCAGTTTCGAGGCTGCAACCGCGTCGTGCTTAGCCACTGGTGCAAAGTCGACGAGCTCAGAACTCAGTTACCCCTATTAACTCAGGGCGAACCACTCGCCAAGGGCACACTCACTACGCCGTCCGATCCCGATCTTTTGCAAAATATTAGACAAAGATTACATTCTTTGTCAAAATGTATCATTTGCGTAACCTCGAATTATATGATCACGGTGTTCCCCCCTCAGTACGAAGATTGGAACTTAGGGGAATTTGACTTTCCCGAGAACGCTGACCCCCTGAGATATATCATTTGGGCGCCAAGGAGCCCCGATGATGAGTCGACACCAGGCTCCTTTAATCTCGGCGAACTTGCTTCTACCTTAAGCAAGGATGGCAGGACAGAGATGCCGCAAGGATTAGCCCGACTTGTACATCTTGACTGCACTGCCCTTATTCCTAAGGAGCCAAGCAGCACATCGGAACTACCTATATTCCTAGCGTTTCCGGTCTCTAATGTTGTGGAAGCCCGTATGATGGCGGACTGGATGTCCATGTCGACAAGGCTTAAATGTAAATTCTACGATTGCCTTGCGGCAGGCGATTGGATGAGCTTCCTCCGTGAAGGCCGTGGCACGATCATCATCCACGAAGACCTAATATGGAAAGTACGGCTGTTCCCCGATATGTCCGATGTCCTTAAAAAAGCAGCTCGTGGCCTTTACGCCATTTCAGTATTCGATCGAGCCCTGTCTACTTCTGTCACCTCACTCTGGCGGGGAGAGCCTCCAGAAATTGGCAACGTTTGTGTAAGGCCAGCTTTCCAAGGCGGATGGGTCTTCCACCTCTGTCCGACGGTCTTTGTGGCCCAGCCGAGACAAGCATACATGTTTCTCAAGTGGTTCATGCATGTATGTAAGAATGGGCGGCCCGGCATGCCTATACGGCCAGGACAGCTGGTCATCCCCGCGAACCTCGATGAATGGCTCATGGATCTTGCTATTGAGCGCGAGGACTTCCCTGTGGAAAGAGACAAGGCCGTTGCTAGAGCCGATCTGGCTAATCTATACAAGGCCCTGGCACTTACCAGGGAGCTCATGCAGATGTATCCGAGGGACGAGGCCGACGACGATACACCTTATACGCAATCGGCTTCCGCTTTAGTGTACGCCCCGCGTGTTATCGATCCAAATGACGAGCAGAGCTTGCTTAATTGGCTCGGATGGTGGTCCATTGCTAACATGGATAAGCACTCGAGATTCTTCGCTATCTGCACCTCTAAGATTTCCCACAAACTCGCACGGAGAATCGCCCCAGTGCGATGGCACCAGGATACGGCATTCCATGAGACCCCACAAGATCCTGGTCAAGTTAGCAATCTTGACGGTCGCAGCCCAGGTCCTAGTGAGCTCGCAGGCGAGGACTCCCCGGAAGCATTACGCGGATATCTCCAGTCTGTCACGGCTAGTGAGCCATATCTTAGCCAGGCTGTGTTCCTAAACTTCAACCCAGTCGGGTACCCGGACTTACACGAAGTATCTCAGCTCCTCGGTTACTACACAGGAGGATTCACCGATTTCGCCTCATGGTTTCGGAAGTTACATCCACTCACCCCTCAAGGTATCCAAGTTCAGGCCGTGCGCGGCCCTATTAAGAACACGCTCGCCGGCCTGTTTCTTACACCAGAGGGAAATTGGCGTGAAGCTTTGAAAGAAACCGAAAAGGCGGTCTCACACAGGAGGCCATGGTTTGCACTATTCCGACCAGTAGAACCTCATTCTCGTCCCTGGAGTTCTGGTTCTGAATTGCTAATCTGGGATCCTTCGTACGCCGGCAAGGTATCTCCGGATGCGAAATTCACTGAAGCGGATATGGCACCTATCCATAGGGAATTTGTGAGGGTTATAGCAGAGGAAAATGCAAGGAAAAATCCCCAGGTACAGGTCCAGAAGGTCTGGGTGGGTGGCTGGGCCAACCTGAAGACGCGCTATCGAGACCCTCTCGATATCGTCCTCGAGCAACTCACAAACTGTGTGTCGGACGCGAGGACGTATGTCCCATCACCAAGACATGTGATGCCTGAGCGCGGGTGGAAACTTACCGAGCCTTCCAGCCCCGAGGATCTGAAGAGAGCCGATGAGATGGATCAGACGTCTCTCAAGGACTTGAAGAGCAACAGCAAAGACACAACGATCCGCGAGCCGGCAGACGCGAGGATAGTTTTCCATCCTCCCCGCGGAGCTCATACAACGCGGAACCTCTTCTACAAATGGACACAGGAGGCTGCAAAGCAAGGTCGAGTGGTAGAGACCGGTGGTTCTAACACGTTGGCGTGGTACGGTCAGCAGCGAAGAGACGGCAGTGATTTCAAGCACATTGTCGTGGCCGATTATGAAACGATCTTCCCGGAGCTGGGGATCCCAATTCGGCCATGAACAAGTTATATTGATACTGGGGCGAGCAGGGGGTAGGACTATCTTGCGGATGTGGGAAAACTTCTTGTACTCAATAAGGCGCCCTTTATGCGTCGAATATTATCTCTGACCTTCTTGGTCTCATCGTCCGGCTCTGCTTTCTTTTTCCCCGAGTAAAAATCCATCTCGACGGGACTCTTGTAGGTCAAAGCATCAAGGTCGTCCCGGAATACGTCCACCAGGGTTTTTATATCACTAAGATCGTCGCTCTGGGACCGTAGCCCTTCTTTGATTTCGCCCAGCGACTTTGTGAAGCCTTGTAACCGCGTTGCCTGGATCTCCGACGGCGACGCTTTAGTCGTGGTCGTCGATGAGGCGATGGGTAGGAAAGTCTGGGTCCCGACATCACGATGGAACATCTCGCTGGGGTCATCTTCGTCCTCGTCCGCGTCTGTCTTCGGCTTGGCCGTGGTCGGCACGGTGGACACTGTGCCCTCGAGGAGGGACAGCATCTTGTCTAGTTGCCCCGACACATCGTCATGTAACTCGACACGGGACGCCGTGAGGCTTTCGAGCATTGGGCCGAGAACGAACTTTGATGTGCCCACGACTAGCGTAGAGACCAATGTCGTTATTTGGAGGGTGGTCAACAGACGTGCGGTCGTCACGAGGGGTGGAGGCTGGGAAGGTGTTGTAAGAAATTCGGGATATGTGACGACGGGCGGATGCGACGTTGGCTCGGTATTAGCAGTTGGACTGCTCGGTTCGCTTCGTGGAGGAGTCGTTTCGGAAGCCGGCGTTGGCGAAGGTGTGCTGTTGGTCTGTGGTCTGTCAGTCCACTTGAGCTGGTGCGGGTTGTGCAAAGTACGAACTTCTGTGGCTGCCGATTCTGTAGGCGAGGGCGGGGACTCGTCTACGAGAGCCTCGATATCGCTGTCATCTATCCCCTTGGCCTTGAGGAAGGCGACTTTCTTGTCTCGCGATTCGTTCTTCACGTGCTCGTCTTGGAGGAAGCGCCTCGCAACAGCCAGGCTGTCTTCGGCATTGTCCTCGGTCTCGTTTTTGCGCTGCCATTCAGGAATCCCATCGTTGGGTTTGTCGTCTGCATCTGCGTCTCCCATGGTGAATGCGGGAATACGGTTGACGAACTCGAAGGACAGTCCAGGTTGTCAGAGTAATTGGCTGTGACGCAGTTGTACCGCGTCTAGCGGCCTACGACATGCCTCGGCTGTTGGACAGCGACTCCGGGGTTGTGGGTTACTTTGGCTACCTGGTAGCAACGCTGCATTGCATTGCCAGGAATGACTAATAACATGAAAGCGATGGATGTTCACAGACGATCGGACGATATTACAACATATTTGTGACTATGGAGCCTCACTCAGAACTGTAGAAGAAACATGGTGCCTCTCACAGTATCCGACAAGCCGAAGGGTGCTGCTCTCCTCGTGCGCACTGTGCTGCACTGTCAATCGCCTGTGACCGTCGCAGAGAATTGGCATGGTATTTGGTATCTGTCTACCTCAGGTCTACGCGTTCATTTCCCCTCTCTATAACAAAAATTGAAAATTAAAAAAAGACGTGAATTATTTTGCGTTTGGTGGCAGAGTTTATCCTGAGCAGCAAACTTTATCCGTGGTCCGGGAAAGCTTGAATTGCAGAACACGTGATCCATTCCCAGAAAGCTGTGCCTGTCTTTCTGCTCCCTTGGAGTCAAAGAGTATCGAGCATTCGAGCTAAAGAGCTTATTTCTAAGAGCAAAAAAAGAAAAAGAGCACAAGTTCAAAAGAACATTCAGAAGACCTCATCAAGTCGTATAAAACGCATTTCCCCCAGTTTGTTCCAGGTTCCTTTGTGCCTAAATTTGGGATTGGCATCGGACGCGCGATTCGCGACATCATCACCTGAGCGGCGAAGCACCAGAACGTCAATCTCCGCCACTGTGGTTCCAGCGCAATTCAGGGCGATCGCGACGGTCTCTGTTCAAGTTGGAGCGAAGGTACAGGCATTTCATGATCAGTAGCCACCGCTGAATGTCCGCCATTCCCAAGAGTGTTTTCATCCAAGGCAAGTGATATCCCGATTTCCTACAATGTCCTGGCAGAGAATTCGAGGAGACCCGGCAAGTGCCGGCTCGGGCGTGTATCGTCATGACATGCCGATTTTCGACAAAAGCTTTTCTCGAGACGGTGCCGTTCGAGTGGTCGACGATCCCTTGAGACCGAGATCCCCGGGGGTCTGGTCTCCCAGTCATCTACTTCAAAAAGTCGTTGCGTACGCAAGTTGGATGCACATGGACGTACCACAAGCAGAAAGTCAAAACAGACTGGAGCCAGCTGTGGTCGACTGTCGCTGCGTTGCATGAGGTACACTGCGTGTGCCATCGTGTGCGTGTGCCTGCATCGAAATGGCTCTTGGAGTCTTGGCCTCCAGGTACTCCGTACTCGATGTGGCTTGTGTTTGAGTGGGCAGTTGCATCCCAAGGGCCTTCCCGTCCACAGGAGCTTCAGCCATTGCCTGCCTCATGCTCCAATCACGTTCCTCACCCGCCCCTTCCTGCTCATCCCACCACGCTCACCAGAACTATCTTCCTCCTCGGGATTGCATGGCGGTGGTGAACCAAGATCTCCCATGATCGCATCACTCTCAATCGAGACCGCGACCTTGCACAGTCTCTATCCAAGCCGTCTTGTTCACTTTACCTCTGCTCACCTATCATCCTCATCACTCACAAAGATCACTCTTTCCTTGCCATGCCATCCCGCCCTCGTCGAAATGCAGCCGCCAAGGCATCTGAGGCACTCACTGCACAAAGTCGTCGTTCTAACTCGCCTTTAGAGAAACCACCACGAAGTACCAGGCCATTTGTCACTATGTCCTCTCGTCGGACCAATCGCGCTCGCGATCCAGTGAGCTCTGGCGACGACTCTTCTCATCTTGACGTGACAGTCAAGGTGCCGTCACATAAGCTGCGCCAGGCTACTCGCGGGGCCGCCCCTCCTCGCGACGACTCGTTTGAAGGCGGGGAGGTTTTGAATCAAAAGCGCGACCGCGGCGGCAAAAAGAAATACGTCGTTGACGATTCAAGTCTAGACGACGATGAAGATGACGACGACGGCGAAGTTCAACTGGATGATGATGACGATGAAGAGATGGGAGAGGACGAGGAGGATGCAGAGGGCGAGGACGACATGGACGTTGATGTTGAAGGCGATGAAGACGCGGATGGTGACATGGGCATGTCAACCGCCTCAGCTGTTCGACCTCCACGCTCTGGAGCCGGCACCACCATCAAGATCTCTCGAGGCGCTCGACCGCCTACCACCCGCGCTGCCCCGGATGATGAGGACGACGATGACGATGAGTTGAGCGAACCAGCCGATAGCGACATGGGTGACGAGACTCTGGGTCTTGAGGCCGGAAATGCCGATGAAGATGAAGAGGAGGACGCAGAGGGCGATGAAGATGCTGAAGGCGAAGAGATTGATGTCGCCGATGCAACGAATGCTGGTCTCGACAGCGAGGATGGGAGCGGCGACGAAGAGCCCGATCTGAACAAAATGACCAAGCGTCAACGAGCGCGGTTTGAGGAAGGCCCTCAGGATTTCATGAAACTTTCAGATGGCGAGTACAGGAGTTATTTATGGGAACGAAAACCTGTGCTAACACGTGCATAGAGGTCCAAGCTAAGAAACACTTTACGGCGGAGGAACTCTCTATGCGCAGGCAAGAGATGGCGCGCCGCCGACGCAACCTAAGCGAAAAGCGCAATGAAGAAGTCAAGGTACGTCTCCATTGCGTGAAGGCACGCGATGCCTCCATCGAGGGTATCGCGCCATGACTTGAGATGTCAAGGCCTTCTTCGTGTCCCCAGCACGGACTCATGTCAATGTCCTGGTCACTGACTCCTTGTAGATGGAGACAATCAACAAGCTTCTGAAAAAGCAAGCGCCCAAGGTCAACAAGAAAGCAGCAGCTGCCGCTGCCGTGGCAGAGGCAAACTCTGAAGAGGGGGAGCATGGCAGCCGCAACAATCCAGTGTTCATTCGATGGACCAGCACCAAGAGCGGTAGTCGAGTGGGCGTATCCAACGACTTGCTCGAGGGCCCCGCCGGCAGTGTATTTGGTCCGCCTTCCAGCGGATTGAAGCGGGGCAAAATAGTCGACGAAGTGGCATGAACTTGTCTGCTCTCGTTTTGACACGACAGCGGTTCAAAGCTAGGGAGTGGTCTTTGTCAATGATGGGCATCTGGTTCAGCTTCAGCCATTGTACGTACCCGATTCCCTCTCGCGTATCTTCTTTTGCTAACGATCAAAGTTCTGTAGTTGGGCATAGCAATAAACAAAGGCAGGGTACGCCTGCACGGTACTGTATTACTCTGTCTGTGTCGCCCGTTGGGTGGATGTTTGTACCATTATGCATACATGCGACCAGCCTTTCGACTACTGTAAACTTGACCCAAGCAGTTCATCCTTTGTGACCCCCAAGGCCTTGTTCTCCGTGCGCTGTTCCACTTGAGAGCGGGTTGACTGCTCTATGACGGTGAAACACTACGCGATAAAGCTGGCGAGCTTTTTCTCATGCTTTTGAGACCGGGCTCTAGGCGTGATTGCCACACCCTATGTCTCAGACGATGGAGCTCCTCGTCTTTAGAATCGCTTTGCAATCTCGCAAAGGCCGGTGACGTTCTTTGCGTATGACGACACCCTGCCACCAGCACACCTTTAGACGACAATTCAGGAGCGGTGCAGACCGCATTCCTTGACTTTGACCGTCAGCTTGCGGGCCTTCTTCTCGAACCGCAGTCGAGAAACCCTGGCAACGCTGGTGCAGAAAACCTCTTTTGCTGCTGCGAGCATTCGAACGTCGCTGAGACTGCGATGGGCACGGCATTAGCCTCTGTAGGAGAGAGTGCCGCCAAAGCCCAAAGCTGAATGACCACAATTCCTTAGAATATCCATGCGTAACAAGGAACTCTACAACTACCCTTGTGGTCCTTGGGAGACGAGCGTGCCATTGCCGGGGCAAGAGGGGAGCCTACGAACGTTCGAGTGTGAGGAGCATGCTGCATGGCAAGCCTGCTCTCTTTTCCACCACCGATCAGGGGAAGAATAGGGGGGGGGGGGGGGGGGGGGATGGTTTTTTTTCGAAAAAGAACCACACGGGCCGGTTTAAATTTCAAACCAAATAGATTCCACACCAAACATGAGGTTTATTTTACCAAAGTGGTGGCGCGCACCCA